CGTTTTATTGACACTTGACTCGTATCGCTACTGTTTACCTAAAATCAAGACCCCTGTTACTACACTCTAACGTACCTGAGTGCAGGTTCGTCACAGTAAGTACGTATTATTATAAGTTTTTTTTTAAAAATTCTTTTTATTATATAATTAAATTTGCAATTAATTAATTATAAAAAGAAAATAAAATAAGTAATAATTATATAATAACAATTTATAAACATATTATTAAAAATAAAATACTTTATTATTAATATTAAAAAAAATAATATATTTATTATTATTATATAAAAAAATATTATATTATTAATTAGCCTTTAATAAATTTTTCCTTTTTTAAATAACTTTAATATATTAATTTTACTTACATTATTATTATTTTACTTATTTATTACTTTTATTATACGTACGTATTTATTAATATATATTAATTATTTTTTTAATATAAAATAATTAAAAAAAAACGTTTAAACATTTAACTTAATTATATATTAAATTATTATTTGCTTTTTTATATTAATTAATTTATAATATTTTTTTATTATATTAATACGTTATTATGCGTTTTTAAATTTATTATATAAAATTTTATATAAAATTTTATATATATTTATAATTTTTTTAATATTTAATTTATTATAATTATTAAAAATGCTTAAAATTAAATTTATTTTAAACTTATTTATAAAACGAAATATTTTAAATTAATTAAGTAATTAATATTTAAAATAAGTAAATAGTATTTTAAAATATTTTAAGCGGTTAATTTGTGGGGCGCGTTAAGTACTTTATATGTATAATTTAAGCTTCCTTAGTTGAACACAATTTTTATTTCCTGGGAAATAGTAAAGTTGTTCCTATATCTACCTCTTGCTCCATCTCGTAACACTTAGCTTAGGGTGAGATATTCCAGGGAATAAGCTACATATAGGAGAGTACTTCCATAGGGCTTTCTTTATTATGTAGTGTTTTCAAAAGTCTTCAATGTTTCAACTGAAGGCAAGGCAAACAACCAGGGCAATAGAACGGAATACCCGTCATAGCATCAACACGAGATTAGTCAGTCTCGTGAAAGCTCTATATAAATTTCCAACAAGAAGCCGGTGGCTTGTTCAAGAAGTCTACTATGTATGGTAATTGACCGGGTTTCAGAAACTGGCCGCAAATGACCTGTCACAGTGAGTACACTCCAGTGATTGGCTACCCGCTGTTTCAGTAATGTAGGATTCCAACCTCCAACCTCCAACGCCAACTGCCCAGCGGCACAGCCGAGATATATCATCTCCCTTCCTCACATACCTACCTAACCTATCTACCTAACCTATGTAAACTTCGACAAGTAAGACACAAAACGAGCTTTACTTAAGTGCTGGATAAGTCCACTCAGCCACCTGGGTATAGATACGAATAATTCTTATTCTTACTTTCCGTCGAACCTAGCCGAAATGCAGACGTGGACGCCAACCGCCCAACGCGGCGGCACCAGCTCGGTCAGCGGCACGACAGGCGTCTACACGCCAACACACACAACCTCTCCTGCCAACCCGGACGCTAACCCCGTCCCCGTACCTTTCTCCACAGACGCAGGCGTCGGGACCGCGCCCGAAGCAGGCGGGACGTACATGATCCGGCACGTGGACACGAGCGAGGCGGTGGGAGTTCGTCCGGGTGTAAGAGGTGCGGGAATTGATAACTCAAGTAGGAGGTACCTATCTGGTATTACTAGGAGATGGTGTTGTACGATTGAAGTCTTCACTTTGATATCGTTCAGATTGAGTAATGTGCAAATTGCCCGGGGGCAAGCAAAAGAAAGTCCTTGTACAATGTCCAAAATAACATCAAAATTTGTCTGAAGAATGCAATAATTCAATATATTCCCCGTAAACCTACCAAAATATCAAGCCGCATATGAACTCCAGGGTATCTAAGAACGACGGCGCAAAAAATGTACTCTACAAATTACAGAGGGTCGCTACCCCAAACGTTCCGGAACTCGTCTTCGTTTTCAGGACTGAATATCGGGCTGTTTGTATTATGCCCCGCTCCATCATTACCCCATTGGTTGGCCTCTTGCCCTCCAGGAGATACTTTATCAGGTGTTGGGTCTCCTACTTTGAACAGATCTTCTTCCTCGGCTTCCTCTTTCAAGATTTGAGGATCAGAGGTCGAGAGGACAGGCGCGCCAAGTGGACCTTTGGACTGTGATTCCTCAGCAGCGACAGCCGTCGGTTCCGGGGGAGGTTCAGGTGCGTGCTTGGATTGATTCTCTTTGCCTTTCTTCTTTTTGCTCGTTACAGTCTCGGCACTTGAAGTTGTCGTTACCGGTGGCCTGTTACTGAGGCTCTGAGATGATAGACTCCGAGTCGCATGCCAAGCGCCAGAACGCGATTGATATATGTCTGGATGGCTCGAAAGCCAGCGGTCTCTCGTTGGCACGTTTGCGGTGATGACAGGATACTGAGATGACGTTAGTCACAAATTAAGAAGCCAACTAATATGACATGGTAGTTGAACTCACATTCCAGTCCCCAAACTCTAACTCCCGGGCTCTGGTATATAGGCTCTCATCATCGGGATCTAACGCAGATTCATCTGTAGCGCCGTGGTTGTACTTCGGCGTCGGATCTCCAGCGCCGCTCGGTCCTCCATTCGAATTTAATAGCGGCGTATTCATACTCAGCTCCCCTCTGACTTCTCCCGGTTTAGGAATCCAGTATTTTGCCTCACCTCCCCGCTTATATCTCATTCCATCTTTTAGCCTTGCGAATCGGGAACTAGAGTCTTCATGCGCGATGACCTTCCCGCTGGAATCAAATAACCTGTAGCTGTATTGATCACCCCTGAATGTCTGCTTGGAATCCTCAATAAGATCGAGGATACCAAAGGCATCTCTTGCGGCATACTTGACAGGTAATCTAGCGGACGAAAGTGTATTGTCGGCGTAGTCATGCCAAGAGAAGGCATACCAGTGTGCCACAGCGAAGGCGGGCATTTCGCAACAGATCAATGCATCTTGTATGGCAGCTGCAAGATTATCCGAAGTGTACCCCTGAACGTCGTCCGGAATGGCCCCTAGCCATACCAGGATGGAAAGAAAGAATCCTTGCCAATAGGAAGCGAAGATGATGAGCTTGATACACAGAAATTTCGGGACGGGTCGAAAGGGCACTAGATCATTGTGCATGCAGACCCAAAATAGCCCAAGCGAGTATAGACTAACAGTAACACTGATGTTGTAAATGATGCCGCTCCACAAGTAGCCTGAGGAGAGCCCAATATACCCCTCCTGATATATGCCTGTTGCTTTCATGATAATTGCGGCAAAAGCTAAAATGGGCTTAAGCCATGCGTACTGGAGGATTCCTCGCTTTATAGCAAGGAATGTGTGTGGGTCGGAAATATCGACTTTTGGAAGGACGTGGTTGAGCGGCCACAGGTGATGCACAGGAGCGCGTCCATGTGCCATTATTATAAGGGCTCGTTCGCCACCGAGGTAGTTTATCAGGAGCTGGAAAAAAGTGTAGATGGTGAAGGCCTTTTTGCTAGCAGGTTAGACTAGTAATTAAGAACCGAAAGTGTCTCTAGATAGAGTCGCATTCATACCTCATATATATCTCTTATAGGGTCGAGAAATGCTGACGCAGCCATAGATACCATACTAACCCACGAGCTGATCGAATAGATGGGAACCCTAGGTTACAATGTTAGAGGTGCACAGCGTTATGCTAGAACCGTTCTCACATCAATAATATCCGTACGACATATCGTTGTAAGAGGGGCTTCCGGTAATTCTTTCTGTAAATACGCGTTTAACTTGATGTACAATAAAACTACCGAGTCTATGATGATCATACAGTTGAAGCCATATCGAGCTGTTTTTTAGTAACATATCAGTATTGCCGTTTTAAAGAAACGAAAAGAGGAGATAAACAAGCAGCAGTTGAATCTTACACGATAGACAGCAGGGTTGCTGCCAGAGAGCAGACACCAGCAACAATTGTCGTAGCAGTGGTGAACTTTTGGCCGGTACCGCCAGCCATAGTGGCGGTTGAAGACCTACGCGTCGCCGGAATGGGACAACCGCCTACTCAGAGAGCAAGAGGTTCAAAATAGTACATGTTTTCGAAATCGGTTACGCTGTAAGGCGGAGGAGGTTTAATGTGTAATGATGAAAAAGTGGAGGATTTTAGGAGCTCTGAGAAATGTCATTTGATCAAGGACTTATCGAAAGTTAATGCATCGATGACCCTAGCACCTTTTTAATGCTGCCTGGCAGCCTGGGGCTGCTCGGGGGGGGGGGGGTTCTTGGGGGCTAGGTACGTACTTCGTATCCACTCAATTAATTCCATGCAAGCTAATGAATGTTCGTGCTTAAGCTTATGCAACTTGTGTGGATGCGTGTATTATCGATAAGAACGGGTTAAACGGTTCAGACGGGCTTGACCAATATCAGGTACCTAACCTAAGGTATGTAGACCCGCGGTTATCCCTGTCCGTCACGCGTCATGCAGTGAATCTAGCCCGGGTTTTAATATAATGCAGTGCTAAAGTACCCTTCAATTGCTACGCTTCGGTACTTACATCCGTGTAAGGTACATGTATTCAATCCGATCAACCTTTCAACCTTTCAACCAATTTGATGATATTCGCAGCCTCGACCGTCGCCCAGTTAAAAAGGTGACTCAATCTTACGTGCCTCTCCGGGGACGGCACTAGTTTAACCAACAACTATGATATGGGGTTCGACGTCTTGTGAGGTTAGGATAGCGGAGAGAACCTAGGTTGTCGCAAAATTGTAGGGGGCGCATTGGGGGAGTTGGGGGAGTTCTGGAGTTGTCATGGCTAACAACGTGGGATGGCGCGACTTCAAAGCGTATGTTTGATAATACTACCCAAGGACGAAAGTCTAGAAACATCCTTACTGACCCATACAAAGCCAATTCCTAGCTTATGCCATAGTTTGCGGTCTACTGTGAGTTATCTATCCCAAGACCGTATGCCGTTCCCATCCGTACCAATACTTAACTCATCTACAACAGTGCGATCTTCTTCCTACTATACTTTAATAGAGTTTTCGCCTCGATCGTCTCCTACATTATCCGAGCCTACACGTGGCATCGATACCGAGTCTATATCGACATCCAAGCACTACAATGGTCCTTACTTGGTGGCCGTGTCTTCTTTACTGGTCTTCGATATCATGGAAATAATGAAACTATTTTTATTCAGAATGGACACATCACCTGGTCATACTGGTTGCGGAGGGTACGGGATGTTGGGCTGGGCAACGGCAAAAGCACCAAGGAGCCCGCAGACGGCAACATATCAGATGCTAGGAAACAAGCTGAACTCCCCTGCCGCGTCAATATCAATGTTTCTGGGATCGAGTGGTTCGTGTATAACCGTAGCGCTGCCTACGACTCTGTGCTTGAAGCGTTGTCTGTACCACCTCAGTCACAACATGAAGATACGCTCGACGGAACTGAGAGCTTAGCAAATACCTCCGCTAAGCCACGGCAGCGACTTCGCAAGTCCCATGAGAAGGCTGAACATGTTGAAAAAGCCGGGCAAGAGTACAATGATGGGAAAGATGGCCTTGAAGCTCGTCCCCGAAGGGTGTTCAAATCCACGTCTACTTCCGATGGTGACTTTGAAACGGCGAATAAGGGGGAATTGCCTCAAATTTTGCAGTTGTTACCAATCCATTTCAGGTGCGATAAAGCAGCGCTTGTTATGGGGAATGAGAATACGAAGGCTATTCTTATTGTAAAGTCCCAAGGCTTGTCTGGAGAAATAGATGCGATTGATTGCCAGACTCCCGATCCCTATCGACAGTTGTTCAAGATACACTTTGACAATCCAGTACTTGAAATGAAGGAAAATGTTGGGTTCAAGGAAGAGCAGCTCGCCAGAGCTGCCAAGGACGAACAAGCCGCGAAAGCCTCTGGTCCTACACCGCGAAGGCCATTTTTTCAAAGACATCGCCGTAGAATGGTTGGGAAAGTACGGAACATGGTTCCATACTGGCGAGGGTCTGTAGAATCCTTTTCGGCAAATTCGCAAGATGGAGATGGCACCAATGCAACTCGCATACCTGGCTCTAGTCAATGGCAAGGACTTTCTCGGTATCTCAATGACGACGATGATGGCGATAGGCTTCGATGGTCATCGGTTGAGTATGCCAAGCTCAACCCGGTGGTTGATAGCCCAAAAGGAACGTTGACAATACTCTGGGATGTTCCCGGAAAAGTGTCGCCGCGGGGCGTGGTATATTCATCAAATGGCGGAGATGGCGCATCCGATGACATTAACGGATCTGCAGCTCCAGCCTGGGCGATTAATTTATCTTTGAGCGGCGGTACGATCAACTACGGGCCCTGGGCAGATAGACAACGAGCTGAACTCCAAAGAGTATTCTTCCCAAGCTTGTGCAAAGACGCGACACCTGCCCAGAGGCTGCCATTCGGCGCAGATCGCGTACCTACAAGATTTAATTTTTATTTGCAATTTGACGAGGATGTTATTCTCAGGGTTCCTACCCGTGAGGACTCCAAGAATTGGAAATGGAAAAATGAGGCGCTCGCATTGAGGCAACCTCAGAAGCAGGGTAATCGGCGTGAGGGAGACAGGGATCGAAAGCCCACCGCTACCACGGCTGCAGAACAGCGCCCGATCGGGTGGCTCGACATCAAGGTTTCGTCGAACGCTACTATCTCGTATGATATGGATATGCTAGCTAAGTCAAACGGGTATACGAATACTCTAAAAATCGATCTTCCCGCAACTGAAGTCTCGACTAGCGTGAACCATGGACTCCTGTGGCGATCTAAACGCCTGCAGATATCCTGCGACTTGTCTACGCCTCTGAAGTGGAATGGCCTCCGGACTTGGCGTTTTGACGTCGAAGGTGACGAGCTCGAGCTTTTTATCTTGAGAGACCACATCTTTTTGCTCATAGACCTCATAGACGACTGGGGAAGCGGGCCACCGTCCGAATATCTCCTATTTACTCCCTTTAAGTACCTTCTCAACTTGCGACTTCTCAACTTGAAGCTTTACCTTAACGTCAACGATGTGAATATCGTTAATGATCCAATCAACTTTGAGGAGAACACGTATCTAGTCTTATCTAGCCCGTGTCTGGCGGTAGATACTTGTATACCATTAGATGTCTATCATCCAACCAAAAATGCAATACCCTTCAAGATTGTGGCCGAACCCCTACATCTTGGCCTACATGTACCACCGTGGAATACTCAGGCAACTTTTTTGGCTTCGAAAGACATAGGACAACTCGAGAGTCTAACAGTCCAAGGAAGCTATCATTACAATGCAACAACTTCGCCCGCAAACACTGACACGCTTGTCCTCGACGTCTCTGGCCAGTCTCTCACTGCGTATATCTATGGCTTCCTTATTCGCTATTTCTTGCAAATGAAAGACAACTATTTTGGCGACAACATTCATTTTAAGACACTAGACGAGCACCAAGAAGCGTTACGGGCCAAAGTAGCGGATCCAGATGCTCAACCTAAAGATCGTCCTCCTTATAAGAAGTCAAACGACTTGGACGTAATATTAAGCATCCGTGCAGATGATCCCAGGGTGTTTTTACCTGCTAATATGTACTCTGCAAAGCGTTATATCTCCATCGAGGCTGCCTCCCTAGCTCTTGATCTTCGATTTACAAATTATTATATGGATCTCCATCTATGCCTTAGTCCCCTAAGTCTGTCCCCCGGGGATGACGAAGAAGGTCCCACTAGCCCAACGAGTGCTGTTCCAAGCACTCAGTTATTCATTGACGGCTTAAATATCCATGGGCACCGTCTGTTCGGCCTCCCACCTATTGAGCCGACATACCTATGTAACTGGGACATGAAAGCCGGATCAGTCACTGGGGATTGCTCAACTGACTTTTTGACTACTCTTATAAGGGCAGGGAAAGCATTTGGCTTTACTCTTGATGACGACGAGAACGCGTTGGTCCCCTTTTCTTCCATTATCGTGTACGACGTGACGTTTCTACGCGTCTTCGTCGAATCAGTTCAGGTTTGGGTGCACGTAGATGAGGCGGCGTTCTTGTTTTCCACCGCGACAATCGATGTCCAATTCAACGATTGGGCTCGAACGCACTACTCCAGGCGTGCCGATATAAAGGTACCCAACCTTGAGATTGCTTGCGTTAACTCAGAATCAGCAACGAGATATAGGTCACGACCTCGCTCTCTTGTTGATACAGATGTCTTCCTCCGAACAAATATACATTTTGCGCTTATTGGGCGCAAGTACGACTTCGCGCAGGAGAGACAATTGCAACAGGAACTTATACGCCGCCATGACCAGCGAACACATCGGGCAGACTTCTTGCTACTACCAGATCTTCTAAACGACTTCGCATCCGACCCTGTAGAGAACCCAGCGCAAAGTGTCCCACCGGTTCCCCAGCCGGCTCTGTCTAAGCCTATCACCGACAAAGAGTCTATATCATCTCTGAGTCCCTCGAACCGCTCTGCCAAGCTTCGTCGAAAAAACTCATTCCTTTCGTTGACTAGCTCGTATAGTGGGAGCATCCGACGACCAGGCTCTATCAAAACAACGCAACGATCCCGGGCCTCGGGCCATGTAGCTCTAAATTCCGTGTCGCGTACGGATAATATACCCAGACAAACCCGTCATGCTCGCGAACCTTCGACGCCTTTTAGCGCCTATGGCGAAGTCGGAGACAGTAGGGAACCACCGCATAGTAGCATAACCTTCTCAAGTCAATACTTTGCCCCTTTATTTCCTCTACAAAACGTTAGACCAGACACCAAAGAAGCAGTACTGCAGAGTATCGAAGATGATAAAAGCAGCACTCTAGACTCTTCAGATTTTAGTCTAGACAATCTACCGCCCGACCAACTAAGCCAGAATTGTGCTCACCAGAGCCTACTGCTTGAGCTTCCCTCTGGGATTACTGTTTTTCTCAACGCCCCATCTTTACGGTCCATAGCATCCTTGATACGAGCCTTGCCACCTTCCGATCCAGAGGATATCCTTGATACTCTACAAATAGAAACGGTGACGGATATATTTGATACGCAAAAGCAAGAGAAAGTAAACGGAACCATCACGGACTTTATTGTCCGATTACCGCAAGCAAACTTGCGCTTCTTGAACTGTTCCAGTATCGACTCTACTGATCCATCACAAGAGCCGCAGGATCAATACGATGTATCGTTAAAGCACATTGTATTGGCTACTCGATCCGGACCACCAGCCGACGAGGTTGGCGATAACGGAAATTCGCGGTTGTCATTCCATTTCCGGCTAGCTTCTATGCAGGTGTCAGCTGCGGAGAGACTTGCAAACCTAGACCAGACGCAAGCTGCTGTTTTGGCTAAAGTAGAGAGGATTATGGTATCTATGGGAACGAAAGAGGTGAACTATATCGATGTAGACGTGGGCGCTATACAAGCTTCTTCGTCTTCGGGCAAGGTAGAATACCTCGCCTCACTAATTCATAGGACGAATGTGCTTGCATCTGAAACCGAAAGGCTTTTCTCAGAAACTCTTTCAGCTGCGGGCGATCGTTCGAAGCAATTCACATACCATGTAATAAGTAGAGGGCAGCAAGCGAGCGATGCTTCTTTTGTTGTTAGGCCGTCAGCTGTCCTACGGACGGCTTCTAAGCACATTAGAACATACGATTCTTGGAAATTAGCTACAAGACTACGCCAGATGTGGTCCGCGCTAGATGCCGATACCAAAGAAAGCCTGAGGAGGGACTGTCTGTTCGGGTTTTCGCACCAACCCGCTGACATGAGACAACAAGTCACAGCTGCTTTCGAGCGATGGCGCAGCTGGGATCTTGAGGATCCAATGCATGCAGTGCTCTTGAATAATATTTTTGGTAAAGTGTCTGAGCCGAGCGCAGATGCGTCTAAACGAATCCCTATTATGGTCGTAGCCAGGATACAAGAAATCCAATTCCTACTTGACCCCGGGCCGAAACAAAACGAGGCTATTATAATAGATCTCACTGTGAGAGTCCAAGAGAGAAGTAGTAGCATCGAAACAGTTGACGAGAAGCCTGTCGATATTGGAGGGCCCTTCACACTTGTCAATGTGTACTGCAGTGAAGCTAAATTTAAAGCCAATTGGGAGCTTTATGAGCTTGCAAATGACATACTACGGCTTTACAAGAACTCAGAGTCTTCAGTATCCGAAGAATCTCCACCCAATCAACAGGATATAGCTAAACCCGAGTCGCGTCACCCACTCCATGTGGTATTTGTGCTAGGAGAAGGGATAATATCCCTAGAAGCTATCAACTTGAGTACCAGGTTGCAAAGCAACGAACTCAAACTTTCAATACTTACAACCAGCGGCGCAAATGGTACTACGAATTCAAACCTAATACTGAGCTGCGATTCAGCTTCTACCAGAATTAAAAGCCATTCACAGGTGCTAGCCACCGCGCGACTTCAACGCCCAAGCGTTATTATTGCACATGAACTGCAATTTGGCGGGCAATCCTCAATACATACTATTAGGTCAGCAGCTAGCAGCCAAGACCTTGAGTTTATTGTGAAGCAGGATCCGATCGTGTTAGCTGAGGTTTTAGATTTGCTGGTAAGGGATGAGGTTACACAACTATACGCTCTGGCACAAAGATTTCCTTCGTCTCCCGAGCCTGAGCCTGAGCCTGAGAAGCGTACAACGGCTGAACGCCTCTCAACGATCCAAGTTAATTTGGCTATGTTTCTGGATTCTTATACGATCTCACTGCCATTGCTACGGTCTCTCACCTATACCATCTCAGGAGTCGTGGCAAGAGCAAATATGGCTGCTAATTTTGGTAAGGAGGTCATCCTAGACTTTGATATAAAGGAAAATTCGCACGATATGCGAATTGAAGTCAATAATACCCCACGCAGCATCTCCCTACTGCAGATTCCCCCAACGAACGGTCGCGTAACTAGTCACATGGCTCCGGGAGAGCACTTAATCACAGTTCTGGCATCGATGGAACTTGTGCACTTGGATGCTTCGGCCGTCTATAGCTTGCTTACAGCTCTCAATAGACCTGAGATTTCAAATGCGATCAACGACCTTCAAGAACAAGGCAGGATAATACAAGAGCATATCAACGAAGTGTTTGGCTCTGCCGAAACCGAGCCCACAAAGCCAGCCTCGCCTACATTCAGCATCTCGAAACTTACGTACTCCGTCCATAGCAGTATTGCGGGACTTGAGATATGGGGTAATGCGCCGATCAAATCGGACACCGAACCATTTGCGCGTCTATCGTTTTGTCTGGATGCTGTACAAATGCAGTTAACAAACAAGATAGATGGAGGCCCGATCCTAGAGAACCCCGAGATCCACATCAACCTCCGCCAGATCATGTTTAATATTGAGAAAGGCTCCATGGAAAAGATGAGGTCCTGTGGTAATCTTTCCCTGGGCGCGTTAATCACAGCGACAAGCCGCGAATCAGAAGATGGAACAGAGGTGAGATCTTTTGACTTCAAATCCGATGGATTCGAAGTCAACCTCTCATCGGACACTGTGTCAACATTTGTAGATGTTCTCGGCTATATGGGCGACAAGATCAAAAACCTTGACACATCCCGCGAATTAGAATACTTACGGAAGTTGAGGCAGTCGAAGCCTCGCATTGCTATTAACGATGAAGAGCAGGAAACGGAAAGCGATATATTAGATTCGTTCCTTTCATCAATCATGTACTCATTTGAGATACGGAATATACAATTCTGTTGGCTTGTCTCTTCTCCAAATCAGCCGACGGTAGGCCAAGAGGACTTAGTATTATCCTTTAAACGAATCGAATTCGCCACGCGCAAGAAAAACTCGGCGAAGCTGACTATCGAAGATTTCCAGCTACAGATGGTTCCACTAGGCCAGGATAAATCTTCCCGCTCTCTAAATTCGGCGCTCCTACCAGAGGTGATTTTCAATATTGCTTTCGTCTCAACCGCAAACGCCCGCCGGCTAGCCTTCCAGGCAGTAGGAAAGTCGCTAGATTTACGACTAACCTCTGCTTTCATCGTCCCGGCAGCGCATCTCCAGGACTCGATCAGCTTATCAGCGAAGAATGCGCAACGAGCTTCAGAGCAGTGGGCACCGATAGTTATGCCAGAGAAGCAGATCTCCCGGCCAGACCAGACCGTCGAGACGAGGCGCTCGTTATTCGGGAGTCGGAGACTTGAATCACTTCTGATCGATGCTGACTTTGCGGGAGCTGTGGTACACCTCACCGGGAAACGATCGTCAGACGACTCGACTGGCTCTAGATCAGACCGTCCCGTGCTGGCCGGCAAATATGGGCAGTTTAGCACAGATGAGGCTGGTAGCAGTATGGTACTTCGCACCCCTGGCTTAGCGTGGAAGACGGAATATAGAGATAACGGTCAAGAAGACCCGACTCTATACGGCGAGGTTAAGGTCGATCCATCGGACAACACTCTCTACCCGACTATTGTTCCTCTTATCATGGATATTACTTCTAGTATTAAAGAAGTGGTTGGGGATGACGCTTCGGAATCACCAATGTCGCCGCCGCCAGTGCCGAGGGAAGAGTTAGATAAATCGAAGTCAGCCAGCGAGGATAAGCCAAAATCCGCCAATGAAGACAATATTCTCACGGCTGATCCAAGCGCCGTCCTTGGGCGTGTGAAATTAAACCTAGGCCTACGCATTTGCCAACAAAAGTTCACTTTTAGCTGTCAACCCATTGGCCGTGTTGCTGCTACGGCACGGTTCGAGGATATCTATATCACGATGAATACCATTCAGGCAGCGGAACAAGGGAACTTCTTCGCCATCTCAGGTACATTTAAAGGATTCCATACGTCCGTGCAACACGTGTACTCGAGGGAGTCTACTGGTAGCTTCCAAGTCGAATCTATCGTGCTCTCGATGATGAACAGCAAACACGTTAGCGGCACGAGTGGTATTTCTGCCATCCTGAAGGTCAGCCCGATGGAGGTAGCGATCAACGCCAAACAGATTCAAGATTTCCTACTCTTCCGAGAAATATGGATCCCAGGAGAAGTGCGACAGGGTACAGCAGCGCCCGTTGCGCCGGTGGTAGCAGAGACAGTCGCCCAAGGACACCTTGTACAGAGATACCAGCAAGTTGCCGCCACAGCAGCATTCCCATGGACAGCTACTCTCTCGATCGAGGCTCTTAATGTTGTCGTCGATCTCGGGCAATCCCTCGGGAAATCAAAATTCGCTATATCCGAGTTCTGGGTTTCGTCAAAGAAGACGTCGGATTGGGAACAGAATCTCTGTTTGGGATTTGAAAAGATCGGCGTGGATTGCACGGGCCGGTTAAGCGGATTTGTTGCTCTCCAGAACTTCAAATTACGCACGTCCATTGAATGGCCAGAACGCGAGCAGGCATTAAACGAAACACCGAGGATCCAGGCTTCGATCAGCTTCAGCCAATTCAGACTGAAGACTGCATTTGACTATCAAGCGTTTTTGGTCGCAGATATCACAAGTATGGAATTCCTGATGTACAACGTGCGCGAGGAGAAGACAGCGTCTGGGGACCGGCTTGTAGCAATTCTTGATGGAGAAGCCGTCCAAGTATTTGGCACTACAACATCGGCAGCTCAGAGCGTCGCGTTATGGCAAGCTATCCAGAAGCTTATACAGGAGAGAGTAGCAAGCTACGAGACATCACTGCGAGATATCGAGAAGTTTACAAAACGGAAATCAATCTCGAACCAGCCGTCCGTTCAGCATATCGTCCCAAGCAAACCAGACACAGACAAATCTGACATGAAATCCCCTATATCCCTTAACACGGATGTGGTGGTGACGCTAAAGGCAGTTAATCTCGGTATTTTCCCGAGCACTTTCTCAGATCACCAGGTCTTCAAACTAGAGGCTCTGAACGCACAGGCAAGATTCGCCGCGAGCATGGAAGACAAACGAATTCACAGCATCCTGGGCATGACTCTCGGGCAACTGCGTATAGGTCTCGCAGGGGTGCGTACAGTCGAGGCGCCCAAAGCCAGCAGCGAAATCTCGGTAGAAGACGTCGTAGCGAGCGCCACGGGCTCGAGGGGAGGAACCATCTTAAAGGTACCCAAGGTCGAGGCCATGATGCAGACATGGCAGATTCCGGAGTCTCGCACGATCGAGTACATATTCAAGAGCTCGTTCGAGGGCAAGGTGGAGGTGGGCTGGAACTACTCGCGCATCAGCTTCATCCGGGGCATGTGGGCGAACCACAGCAAGGCGCTGGCGCAGACGTGGGGACGGGAGATCCCGACCATGTCGGCGATCAAGGTGACGGGGGTCCCCGAGGCTGAGCACGAGGGGGGAGGGCGCGGGGAAGGAGGCGAGCGGCAGAAGATCACGGCCGAGGTCAACGTCCCGCAGTCCAAGTACGAGTATATCGCGCTCGAGCCCCCCCTCATCGAGACCCCGCAGCTCAGGGACATGGGCGAGGCCACGCCGCCGCTCGAGTGGATCGGCCTGCACAGGGACCGCCTCCCGAACCTCACGCACCAGATCGTCATTGTTTCCCTACTGGAGCTGGCGGGCGAGGTCGAGGATGCGTATGCGAAGATTCTGGGGTCGTCATAAGAAGGGGAGAGGAGTAGCAAGCAACTAATGAGAATGCAGTAAGAATGCAGTATATATAATTAGGTATTTACCTAACCTGATAAGGGGAAGCGGTGGTAGGAGAGAAAGGGCTGTTGTATTTATTTCTTTTTCCTTTTATTTTTCCCCCCTTTTTTTCGTATCAGCATGCATGCATAGCAGGGCGTAACAGAGAAAACTTTATTTATTACTTTCCGAAAACAAAAAAGGGGGTGGATGGGAGTGCGGAAGGGATGAGTACTTAGAGTAAATAGATAGAGGATTATACATACAAGGTACTGTACCTATCGTAACTTGGTAAAAGGTACCTAGCTAATATTTATTATAAGTCGTTTACCTTTGAAAGCTTGTGTATTCGATAGGTATGTGTTCCGTAATGAAAATATTTTTGAAGACTCATAATTACTGTTTATGAATTCTCACGTAAGGTGTCGCGCGAGATGAGTGTATATTACTGACTTGTACCGAGCACATATTACCGCTGCATAACCAACCAATTACGTTGCTATTATTTTATTAATTCTTTTCCAAAAAAAAAAAAAAAAAAAAAAAAAAAAACCATAAAATTTACTCGTTTTGCGCTCAGATTCTTGTCTCTGTTGGCCTCCAGAATCAAACCTGAGGCTTCACCGCACTCTTTTGAGCGGGGGTGGTCTTGTATGACTTCTTCCAGACGCAGGGCTTTGTGTTATACAGCTTGCATCACTTGAAATGGGACCGAGCATATGAGACTCTTAATCAGGTGCTGAACACATACCGCTGCGCCAGAGGAGGGTATTTGTTGTTAGCAGAGGTGGCTATTACTTCCTATATGATAGATAGCCTGTGTTTGTAGGTGACGGGAACGTGCGTATTTAGTCACTTAAGTTGATGTCTACATAGTCCAGCTATCCAACGCAGAAGTATCTAAAACCACCATCATAATTAAGAGTAAAATATCACGAAGTGAAACTCTAAACTATCATAACCCATAACAATGACATTACTCATGGCCCATGGCCATAGACGTTTCGTCTTGATCCTAACACATGATTAGGAGTATATGCATATGTCTACCCTGGCTGTTTGTTAAGCCTTTAGACGTTGATCCATAACTACCTAAGTGAGGAGTGAGTTGAGTCGGATGATATGTAATACAACAAGTTCTAGTTCAAGTTTGCCCAATTTCATTTATTCTAGTTTCCACATGGTTATTTATTTCTGTCTTGATGTTGGGTTTAATTTGAGACACACTGGGCTTTCATGTTGTAAGCCCCGACGGAACTTCAAGTGATATAAAACTCAATTAATATACCGGCTATCAGAAAGATAGATTAAGATAAAAATATATTAGTAAAAATTCTGTCCGCTATAAACAGTTAGGAGGTAGGCACCTAGTCAAGGTTATGTAGAATCAAATGCTGCTATACCATGATCAATACAACCCCATAGCCGTAATATACACACTAGATAGTGCCCAAGTACTCCCAGCATATAACCCTGCTTACCCTTCCCAGAAGCCAGCGAAAGATACACTAATAGTTCTCCTATCCAAACACCGGGGTTAAATGATATTTCACTCCAAAACACCTATTCCTCTATTGTTCCAGAATCCTATTCTATACGGCTATCAACGCCCAATGATCGCAGCCGTTGCGATAATAGGCTCTCTGCAACACCGGTGTTACCGTTAATGAGACGGGCAAACGCATTCCCCCCGTAGCCTACATCGCCTTTAGCAAGCTTGTCGTATTTATCGAACTGAGTGTCCGGTTCACCCCAGCTCGATACATCGCTCGAGTATTGCGTGGCCGGCTGGCTAGTTTGAGAGGAATCTGGGGACAAGAGATCAGCAGGACCTGCGTTGCTGGCTTCATCCACTATGTTCCTCATTCCACCATGTCTGAGAGGTACGGGTTCAACTGGAACGTTATGGCCTGCGAAGTTCGACAGAAAGGGTTGGTGTAGCGTATGATTAGGGGAAATTCCGCCGGTGGAATCGTACGCTTGGCCAGGGGTATTGAAATAGAAGCCAGAGCTGCGTCGTCTAAACGCTTTATCAGAAGCCAAACTGGCACCGGGACCGGAACCCGCCAAGGTAGGAGGGTGCATAACCCTGATCGGCTTATAGCTAGTGAACCTGGGCTCCGGTAGAGAAATCTCATTTCGAAGTTTCTCTTTCCCGTCAGGCACGCGGTTTGCAAAGACAACTCTAATACTTTTGTACAGATAATACCGACCTTTCGAAGGACAACATATATGCAGATGGACCAGATACCTTAGAATTGGCTTGTCTGTGGCCTCGCGGTCTTTTGTTTCAGGCATGTTATCAATGATTGGGCCAGCTGAATAGCTTCGCTGCCGGATGAAAGTCTTTGTACCAGGCTCCATCCCCGCCAGATCGTACGGGACTAGAAATAGCTTCACAGCGGTTTTATTGGGGTTTTTGATCACAATCTGAACTTGCCCCTTCTCGGGGATACGGTAGCTACCCCCCGGTGGTGCCCTGGGAGAACTGGACCTACGTTTGGATCGTTGAGCTCTGTGCGGGTCACGTTCCAACGGCTCCGTGGGACGGCTGCCCGTATCCGTTTTATCATCTTCCAATTTTCGGTCCAAGACCCGGCTTTGCATCTTTCGCTTTGACCTCGCTTCCTCTTCCTGATTCGGAAGACCATTTTCCAAGTCAATCTGGCCAACATACGGACTCGGCCCATCTTCAATTTTAGAGCGTCCGTGAGAAGAGTTGGCATAACTATAGAATACGGCAGGGAAAGGCAATGTCACATGAGGCGGACATCGTAAGCTTGATTTGCACTTACCCAACCCGAGTACGCCGATCTGAGCTAAGAAATCGAGAGGCTTTGAGGGGGTTGTAGACATTCGTCCGCGTAAGATACTTTCTTCATAAGACCCTACCATGGAAGCATGCTGGATGGGTGATATTTCTGAACCAAGCGACGGGCGCCTTGAACGGAAGAAAGTAGGGGTTTGAGGCGAAGATGTAGTAGTAGGGAAGTTGGGAGTTGAGGCGAGAGATCGCCGAGGTTGGTGAGCTTGATAAGGAAACGTTCTCTCTTGGCGTAAAGAGGTAGGTTGCCTTGGTGACGGACTATAAGGGATAGCGTATGAATTTGAATAAGACGATACTAATGGGTTCCGGTGCGGATTTCCAGAAAGGCTTGAATTGATATCAATGCCATCCATAGGGGAAGCCAAATCGACATCGTCATTACTTTCTGACTGAACTAAAGGGCTAGTAGGTGGTTTATATATAAAACTTGAAGAAATAGAAGAGGATAAAGGAGAAAAACTTGGGAGTATCTCATCTGGTCCCCTCGCTGAGGTCCGCTGGCTCTCAAGGGGGAATCGAGTAGTAACCTTCAGAGATGGAATAGTTAACCACGACTCACTAACACCATCGAAATCTTGTCCCTTTCGAGCTTGTTGACGATCCAGTATAACACCGGCATCCTCTGAAGATTCGTCATGGGTAAAGTCGCCACTATGAAGAGCTGAAGGAGGTCGCTCTATACTTAGTCCCTCTCTCTGCCTTGCTTCATCAGCCGAGTCGGTGCTTCGCTTTTCCGGAGTTATTGTAGCTGAAGGTAGTAGGGACGGCGAATCCGCTGTCGAGCGTTTTGGACTTCGAGTAGGAGTTACTGGTTGTTGTCCCCATATTGCTCCGAACTGTTCCCCAGCCATGTCAGCGGAGTAGGAAGTATAAGGTGGAATGCTACTACCAACATGTCGATTTGGCCTCCAGGTTGGACTCTCTCCTCTTTTTAATCGCTCGATCAGTTCCGATCTATCGGTGCACTCGGTCGGGGAGTTTTTCTCTGGCTTTTGAGGTGCTGGGGTGTCTTCTATTGGACCATCGCATAATTCGCTACTGATACTCTCTTCTGACCGCTTCTTCCTTAATGCGCTATTGTTATGCAATTGATCTGCTGGTGGTGCCATATCAAGCGTCGGTAAGTTCTCAGCGGACTCCCTCCGCTCCAGGTCTATCTGGAAAGCGGGCATCATACATTCAGAACGTCAGCCTGAAGCTTGAAAGATGACGTTATAAATATTCGAGCATATTATTTTCAAGTAGCCACTGAAGTGGTTCTTTATATGTTACTGAGAAATGAAATCGCTACAAGTAGCTAACTCGTTGTGTTCTTTTCATTGACTCGTTTGTCAAGATTATGCGAAACGGAACGGAACGGGAACGAAAAGGACCTGCCTTGCTCGACAAAGGGACTTGGAATTATTGTTCTGTTCGGACTAAAGAATAAGTTTAGGTTAGGTACTTGTAGGATTTGGAGTTGAGAGGTGGAAAAGTGAAGAAGAAAAAATAAGGAGCTTATGTCAAAAAAAACGTATGTGAAAAAAAAGACGTATTATCATAAGACAAGTGTGCGAGAATGAAGAAGTAATGCAGGATTGTTTCTGATCATCCGGTCCTTCCCTCGCCTATCAAATTATGACTCCAGGTGAGGTGTTACTAAGTGCAGCGTCATAGTTAGTGGCCCATTTTATTAGTGGCCCATTTATTCCGTTTCACGCCCGTTTGGCAAGAGCGTGGCCAAGTTTGGCAGTTTGGGACATAAAACGAGGCGGTATTCGGCAGGGATTGACCCGTAACACTACATGTACTAACGCCTGTAGCGCTTCTCTAGGAGGTAAACTTGAGGGCGATTTTTTCAATGCTAACAAGTCTCCACTAAATTCTTATCAAAGATTCATCTCTCATCTCTCATCTAGACATATCACCTATCAAAACAAACACTCAAGATCCCGATCCCTTAAAATCAGTAATAACTCATCTGCCGAAAATGGCACCTAAGAGACCTCTTGAATCGGATGCTACAACCACACCGGCTGCGAAGAAGCATCGCAAAGGTTTCCGTGTAGGACCAGCAAACTTACCTGATGGACCATGGCGAAGAAAAGGTTTGTCAACATCATGAAACCTTGGCTAACTCAATGCGATACTGACTACCTATGTTTTTTTTTTTTTTTTAATCAAGTTGATAAAATAAAAAGAGATCTCATTCATAAGGCAAAAGTTAAGAAGGCGTATAAAAAGATAAAGGCTGCAGAGCAAGCATCTTCTAAACCGAATACTACTCTCGTCACTGAAGATGAAAATTCGAAGGCAAATGAAAATTCAAATCCGGACGCTGGTGCAGACGCGGATGCGGATGCGGATGCGGATACAACGCCTCCCGCGCCACAGCTCCATCCCGAGAGGCAGGCGATGTTAGACGGAGACGAGGAGCAAGCAGAGCCTTCCTCGCGGCCCCCATCAGGAGACCAACCCCCACGTCGGCGGAAACAGAAAGCCCGCAAACCCGGCTATTTCGACAAAGCTGTAGCTGATGCTGACCGTAAAAAGGCGGAAGCCGAAGCACGCGCCCAGGAGATTGCAAGACGAAATGCGGAGCGGGAACGTAAGATTGCAGAACGCGAGAAGTTTAGGAAAGCCATGGCGAAAGCGCGGACTCCAGGTCGGGATGGCAAACGAAAACTAGGTCGTGAGAGCGGGTTACTACTCGAGAAAGTGAAGAAAATGGTCGAAGATGCGAAGTGAGCCGAGTTATTTCGAGAGTGACGTCGTGGCTCCTCACGGAAAACAGGTATTCCACGAGGAGTTCCAAGGCGAGCAACTTAAATTCGAACTACCTAGGAATAAGTAAGAAGAAATCCAAGCTACAAGGAGGGAATTCACAAGTATGACCGATCTGTCTCGGTATGCTTCGTCTCATAAATTTATGAAAAAGTCGTCTTAGCTGACCAGATTAACGATGAGTTATACTAAATTTATTTATTTATTTTCTCTTTGCAAAATAGTATCAACTACCCCTACCCCTTATTATTGTGAAAACCTCCCAGCTGGAAGCTCTGGCCTTAGCCGTGGGGTGGAATGAGGCGTGGGAACTGGAAGTTCGTATGTCCATTCTACATCCTCCGCAGGTAATTCTCCTCTTGTCGTACCACTTATTTCTACTGGTTCCACCGGAGTCGGCGAGGATCCGAACGTCATTATCGTCCCTGGCGTAGTCGACCGCATTCGCGGTGAATCTTTCGGCCACGGCTCTGGCCTGTATTCATTTATCGTGCTGCTACCAGCTTGACTGCTTCGGTTGCGACGACGTTTTCTTCGCCGCATTAAAAATATGGCAACGGCAACGGCCGTAAGCACCAACATTCCCCCTACAGTGCCGCCGACAATAGCACCTATTCTTTGCGCCGAGTTCAAAGAGCTTTTCGGCGGATTATCCATCACAGGAGGGTCGTCTACCGGACCGTATGAGCCTAAGGTACCATTCACAAATAGTGCTTTGACCTCATTACTATCCCAGGTCATAGTTTCCATATTTCCTTGGGCATACCAATCCCTCACCACCGCAGGACTCTCGTAATCTGCAGCATTTACGTCGTACGAATTTTTCCATATCATCTCGCTCATATCGTAAACACCAAGGCTCTGTTTCCACGGATCAGTAGTCATATTTTGAAAACCCAGGTCGGTACCAGCGTCAATGCCTCCGTAACTCAACATCTGTCTCTTGCCCTTGCCGATCACTGCGCAACCATGATCAGCGCGCGGTGTACCGGAAGAATTCGATTTAAAGAAAACGAATCCGGGTAGAGATAATACGTAAACATCAGAAAAGGCATTCCCAGCACGGTTAGCTGATGAGCCGCCGTATATGAATCTAAAAACCAGTTAACATTATTAGCTCGCCTTCTTCCTTTTTGTTACTTCGTAACTGATTGCTCAGGACAAACCTACATTTCGTACGTGCTGTTGGGCCCCCTAACACCGACGCGGCAAGCTCTTTCGACCAGTGGCGGTGACACCCCTGTCGTCCTTTGTGTGTACCACTTTTCTGTTACCGGATCGTATAGCGTAAGTGTGGCCCAAGGGAGACCGCCAATATAATTATCGTCCATGATGTCTACGGGCGCTTCGGCGCCGCCGAGGAAGACCAATAATCCGTTAGGCCCAAACGGAATATATTCAGCACAACCGTACAAGCTAGTACCGTACTGTCCAAACGATTTAGAGCTATGATTAGTCCATTGGTTGGTCTGGAAATTGTAGGATACAACTCCGGTCACAGCGGAGCCAGGACCGTCATTCTGAATCGAAACATCGCTGCGCCGAGTGGCTTGGCCACCAAACGAATAGCCCACGTTGGCACTTTGCGTGAATGATGCGCCGGCTGGACGCAGAAGTTGTGAAAACTTGCGGTAATTGCCCTGTGAAAGCTGTAGCCACGACCCGCCACCCGAGCCATCGGTATTAAAATACCAGAACTGGTCCTCCGGTGGTGGCGATCCGTTGTCCATCGTCATTCCACCCCAAACATAAAACGCTCCCGGTGTATACGAATGATCAGTCCAGTATACTTGCTGCCCAAGGAGCGGTGCCGTCTTCGGGATCGTACGAAATTCGACCGTCTCGTTCGTCCATGATTCGTTCAGATTCAGGGAAAGCGTTGAGCTTGCTGCTATCCTGTTAGCGGAAAGGTTTACAAGGCAAGGTAAGGTTAGGTAGGTGTTTAAATGCTGCTGAACGTACCGGCATAGGGAGTATATGGATTCGACAGAGTACTACTCGTCCCATTTCCGCTGCTCCTCTGAAATAATTGACCGCCGTCTATGTAGACATAATCACCAAATGGCACGACTAAACCAAAATGTTAGAAGACCAAATTCTCTTTCTCTCTTAGGAAATCCCATCTTGGCTGACCTGAAGGATATCGATGCCGGATAAAACTATCGGGACCGGGATTATCGACAGCACGTCTGGTGAGGCCGTATCCGTCGGCCAAGATACTTCTTCCCAAACATCCTAATACCGCGAGTACCAGCGGGAAAGGCGAACGCAAGCCCTTCATTGGGGCGATTTGACATTTCAGGAGGAAATATTAAACATTATGAGGGATTCGGTCGGGGATATAGTAGTCTGGGGTCTCGAAGGAAGCCAAGGGGAAAGTGTAGGATTCCTTCTAGGTATGGCAAACCTTCATCGCAGTCCACGGCACCGGCAAGCTCAATTATCTCGTATATGGATCTCGCAGTCACCCAGCCCGAATTGACTGATCCGACTTAGTTTGACTTGGTAGGAGGTGGCCGATACATAAACTACGACCCAGGGGAGCATTACGAGGGCGGAAAATGGTTCACAACTCCCAAAAGGATTATTGGCGACTTATAAAAGAAAGTGAACTATCCAACAACGGGGTTGGCGGCGACCCATTGGGACAGGGGGGTCAAGGTCGGATTAAGAGGACCCCCTTGCAGCTGGATATCCGGTACCGTAGGAAATCCATCTCGATTCCTATGATGGTCTACCAATCAGGGCGCAGCACTAACACTACCTCGAATGCTTTTCGCGAGTTTCTCCAACGGCATGGCTGCGGCACCACCAAATTGACGAATACCAATTCGATTTCTTATTACTTCCAGCCCCCCCAACCCAAAATTCGATGCACCTTGAAGTTTACAAAACTACTTCTACTTCACGTTTGTGTCTCTCGGTGATACATTTTCGAACATGTTGTGTCTAGGTGCAGAGCATGCCGTAGAGTTTCAAAAGCAGGCTGTCGTGTTGTTGTTGGCGTCCCTAGCTGCTGTTAGACCAATCCAAGTGTTTTGACTTGATCCTGCAATTCACAAGCAATCAAGAAAGGATTGTGCCCAGCGTGTTTTTTATTATTATTATTATTCCTGCAGATGCCTCGTAGGTATAAAGGCCCTATGCGGCCCTAGCCAAAGAACCCTACCCCTCGTCGTCGCTAGCAGGTCAACTAACTACTAATTACCTACCTACCTGGTAGGCAATTAACCAAATCAGGTCTTCCAGACCAGGTCAGGCACAGGACAGGAACAGAAGCCAGCACTACCTAGTTACGTTCTAATTAAAGAAACAAAGTTGGAAAAGAAGAACACAAGCCTCACAATTCTGCGCTAAATCGGGGATTTTTGTCGCTACTAAAGCCACAGACATGTCCGAATATAGCTGTCATGTGTCCAATCGCGGACAGTTCCCGTTTAGATCAGGGGTAAGAGACAGCGCCTCAATGCTAAGCATATGCGAATGATCGCCCACCATAAGCAGCCCTGCCGCATGGAGCTACATGCTGTTGTTGCTGCTGCTACTACTACTACTACACACACGCAACATTCGACGAGTTTACGCAGACACTATTACATACATAATACGCATATGTGGGATAGCGAACTACGTCGGCATATATGTATTATACCTACCTAACCTAACCTACTTGAATTCGAACTATTAAAAATCACATGTCCAAAGAAAAGTCATGCGTCTCTCGGATTAGGACGACGAGATTAATGACGGTTACATCCCATCCTTTCGAACACGACATTCTGATCAATCGGCGTCGTTCCCCATAAATTAACGAAGAGGGATTTGATTTCCTCGGCGCGAAATGAAAAAAAGGTAAGATTAGTTGGTACAGCAATAGGAAGGTGAGGAGGGTTTTGGTGGCCTTCAGCTCGTCTAGACCTTTTTACACTACTATGTAAAAGCGATACCTAGAGTGGGTAGCAATCGCACGTCTACTAGATGTCTTGCCTACTTAAGGTATGCATGTCAGACGGAGGCTTACTTACGTACATAGTACATGGTAGGTATTGTTTTGTACAGCCAACGCGGGTAGGATCTAGGTAGCCAGCAAGCAGGTTGGGCGAGCAAGCCTTCCACGTTTTTGACAGCGCACAGGCCGGACAAGGCCACTGTCAAATGCTACCGCTATCCGCTTCCTGCTTGAAGAATATGTGGCCATCTATCTTCCTATTCGTGACTTGTGCAACTCGGCACCTATATTCCCGGTTACAGATCATAAATAGGCATTGATCCCCCCCTCGAATCATCTGGCTGTAACTTAACTTAAGCAACCTGAACAATCTCCGTAGAGCTATCTGGATCCGGCTTCTAGATAACCTCAACCGCAATCTGATCGTAGTTGGCTACTACAACTAAATATCATACATCTTTCCAATCAACCTCTCCTGGATCCGCCGCTCGATCGTATATGAACACGATCCTTACGTAGTATGAGGCTCAAAGAAAAGAAAAAGTGTCATCAGCTACCACTATTAGTATCTATATCTATAGCTAGCCTGATGCATATAAGCAGAATTAGACATTGCTGCGGATTTCTTCCGCGGTATAAACGGAATCTCACCTCACGATAGAGGGTCTGAGTCTAGTTTAGCCGGTATAATAAATAGGTTTAGGTAGGCAGGTTAGCAAGTACATATGCTTATAGTCCCCCAACTATTAAGCACCACTATTAGACGCAACTAGATCAAATAGAATAAATACCTTAGGTACCTGGTAGGAAAGCGAACTAACACGATCGTCTTACTTGCATGCTTCTATGTAAGCTAACAAGCATAGGCTAGGTGCCTAGCATATATATTATAGGAGGCACCGGGGATGATGCACTATATCTCTATACGTGGTTCCAAAAGAAGCCTTCTTCGAAGAACACTCCGTAGCTTCATCTTGTGCCCCCAAAATATATCACGTCGAACCTCGTAAAACAAAAAAGCCCCCCCAAAGGTAGGAAAAGTATGGTAAGGTAAGGTAAGGTAAGGTAAGGTAGACACCTAATATATACATACATGCATATGTGGTGCTGAGTGGTTTACTACGTACCTAGGTTAGTTCAGGTAACTAGTAAAGGAAGCCTAGGTACCCGGTGTTTAAATATGCGCTTTTAGAACACGCGTTGATTTGAGAGATGAGTGGCTGAGAGGTAGTATGCATACATACGAAAGGCACGATGGGAAAGGAGAGGAAGACATAGAGAGACGGATGTATGTATAAAGAGCAAAGGTAGCAAACTTATATTACTTGCAACTACAGCTTTGTCTCTCGAATTGTAATTTATATGATTTACTTATCGAATGCTAACCGGGCGAAGATATCAAATCAAGCCAACAAAAAAAGGAGGCAGGGCCTCTAATACAGAAGGTTAATTCTCACGTTCTAGAAGCTAATTCGCACCAGTCACACATTTCATAATATGGTTTGGCCCAGCTAATCTGTTCAGACGACTAGTTTTTTTTTGTTTGCCAATGATCTATTTCACCAGCCCTGTCAAGACCGTCTTGCCTTGCATCAAGACCTATCAAGTTTACACATCACCCCCTAACCCCTACACAATCAGTAACGTCTCGGGAAATAATGTCATCTCCCTTCATCCTTTCACATCCCTCCCCTTTTGCATTTTTCTCTCATCTTCACCTTCGTGCTTCCTATCTTTTCGGCCTTCCTTCATTTTCACCCTCCATCTTTCATGAATACACGCCAGCGTCGTTCTCCTACATATATCGGGTCGGGTTGTCCGATGGCCGAAGGGAAGGGGAGGAGAAGGAGATTGTTCCATTGTGGACGTGATTAAAAAAGAAAAGAAAAAAAAGGAACGGAAGAAACAAAATTCGCAATGCTCTCAAGGATATCATTAAATTTCCTACCGTGAATGACAGAAAAGACAGTAAAAAGAGCCGCCGTTACGTCTCCCGGGGAAGAAGGGAAAGAAAAGCTGAAGAAAAATCCAATGCCGTGCCAAGCCGAGCCAAGCACAGCCGTGTGCCAGGGCTCTCAACCTCAACCGATCATACGGTCATAACCCCCTGTGAAAAAAAAAGAACTCCGGGCTTAGACGTGAATGCTGTTGACTCCCGTGTGGTTTCACTGCCGAACTGGCAAACCACGTTCGTCCTTCGGTCTAGTATGTACAAATGCCGAGTAGGTGTATGGATGCATAAAATAGGAGAGAACCTCAACTTGTTTTAAGTGAAAATGTTGTGGGTATTCTCAATGATAAATTGCACAGCAAGATTCTTAGCGTGCATGTCTGTCATTTCTCGCTCAATATTGTGGTCTCGCATGATGGTAGGTGCAAAAACCACAGCAAGATTCTTGGGGGTCATCTACACAAACGTTAGCTCACCAGACTCACCAGGCTCAATATTAAACAGTGCAATTACTTACAAGGTTATCTCGTTCTCGCTCAGCGACACGATGAAGATGGAACATCAAAAATTCAAGACAATCCTTGTGCTGAGGCGGGAGCTGCTGGAATACACTTTGCAGATGCGTGCATTTCTCCTCGTCACTCGCAAGTGCTACATTGCATTAGTTTCGTCCAATCCTCAAGGGCTTTCTGCGGTTAATACTTACAATTTGTCTCAAGTATGCGGTCATAAACATCAAATGTGAGCAATGGTGTCGGCAGCTTCCTAAAATACTGTTTCAGTACGCTTGTCACAGCCGTGATGTCTATGTCCGGATCCGAAATATCAAAGTTCTCATTCTTATCGAACCCTTCTTGGATAGCCTTGGTCTGGGAGTTTCCACCGGTCTTCCGGTAGATACCTTCCATATCCATACCCCTGAGCTCGACCTCTTCAATACACCGCGTTACAACGCACGGGATCTGACGGCGCTCGTAATCAGCCCTCTCTGCTAGTTCAGAGCCAAAGAGAACTGAGGGCGCCTCGGCGAGAGCCGGGGATGATACGTTAATTGCTGTCATCGTTCTTGGGAGTGTATTTCCCTTCTTGAATCCGAAGAAACCTTGGCGACCTCCGTCTACAGCTTGTCGATTTTGTTGGCCATTTATAGGTGTATGCGTAACTGGTGACTCAACAGGTACAACCGTCATGTTGTAAGGGAGACCAATGCTTTCGCCAGCCATGCCTAGCTGGTGACGCTCACGTTCTGGTTGTTGGAAGGCGACAACTGTACGGTTTACACCCTTGGCAATGTTCTGAGCCATGGCTTTTGATCCCTTCTTCCAGTTGAACTTCTTGACCTGACCCTTTCCTATCTTCACTACGGTTGGTCCGGCCTCGAGGATTGGCTCTTCGTGGTCTCCAGCAAGGACTGTCGTACCGGTCTGGATGCTGGAGCTGTCCAAGCTGACCGAATGATTCGATGAACCCTTGTGCTGGTTGTAGATTCCAAGTCCGTTTGGAGGCGATCTCGGGTCTGAATGGTTCTTGAATCGTCCCTGGATCTGGTTCGTGAGATCGTTGTTCAAGTCGGCCAACTGTGCGTTCTTAGACACAAGTTGTTCAAATTCCGCTCGAGCACGATCTCTTTCGGCAATTGCTCTGTTCTTCTCTTCAACAAGTTCATCTCGCTCGGTATGGAGCTGCTCCAGGCTAGCTGACATGGACTGCTTGAGCTTTTCGAGCTTCTGTACAAAATCCTTCAGTGCAGATTCCTCTAACTCGCGGGGGTCAATAGGTCGCTTAGTATCCTTAGCCCTTTCCACGTATCCGGCCAGCACTTCCAACTGACGAATCATTATTTCAGTTTGAGTATCCAATACGGAAACCGTCTTCCGCTTCTCCTCGAGCTTCTGGTTAAGAGTCTTCAGGTCTTTCTCGTTATTGAACTGGCGTTCCAATTCTGCGACTCTCTGTTCCGAGTTTCGTAATCGTCGTTTCAATAGGACCGGGTCATCGTTCGAATTTACCGACAAGGGACTTGTAAGATCGTGTATGTTACCATTCAGGGCATCCTCGGCTATGGGGGTCTTAGGCCAACGAGGCGATGTAGTCGTGCGCGTTGTTTCACTGGCGCTCCGAGTATGGCCAACTCGAGGAAGGTTAGTGCTTGACTCAGTGCTATTAGTCCGTCCATGCCGCACCGCGTTCGAAACCCGGCGAAGTATGGAGGAAGAACCCTCATCCGTACCTAGAATACGAGCCATGTCTTCATCCATACTGAAGTCACCACCTGCGCTCCATCTCGGCAATTTAGGCGACGTTTTGCTTTCACCATTCGAACTCATCGACTCCTGACCCGAAGTCAACACTGGCGGAGCAGGCGGCGCCCTTGGGGTCATATACGCATCAGAAAGTTTTTGTTCGGCGGGTCGAGATGCTGCACCGTTTACTAAAAGACTGTTAGTCAAAGCCGGGATGCCTTGTTTCCAAAACTTACCGTTTCTAGAGGCAGTAGGGGGGAGTTCTTTTCTGGTAACTGGCTTCCCATTATTGCTAATTGATGCAGGTAGAGAGTCGTTGGAACGCACTTCATCGTCTTCTTTGGGGCGAGAATCCTGTGAAGTACGAGGGGTGCCCGTCTTATCACCTGTGTTCAAATGCTGAGGTGAACTGTCGTTCCGGCTAGAACTGCTGCTACCCCTAGAAAGAGTAGAATCCTGAACGGCGTTCGATTGTGAATCCGACCGCGAATCAGTCTTCTTGCTCTTAGGTGCTTCCTGCAACTTGAAATCATCCGAAGAGTGAGACTTCCCATTCGGTATCTTCTGAGACCAGTCTTCCGGAGGGGTTGATTTAGGTGGCGCGTTCTTATCGCTTCTGGAAGACTTAGAAAGCTTTCTTCCTATGTCCCTAGGAGGCGGACTCTCGTGATCAACAGAAGATTGTCTTCCCTTCTCTTGGAAAGCAATATGCGGCGTGGACGTTTGCGAGGTATCCCTTCGGTCTGAGCCAGTAGTTGTAGTTGGCTTTGGCAGACTGAAATAATCTTTGTCTTTCAGCTTCCTGTTGGGGTCGGCCAGAGCCTCTGAGGTCGATCGAGGGGTTGTGGAAGGTACCGGACTTGGGTCTAAAGCAACTGGAATGAAGAAGCTTTGATCATCTGCAGTGGTATTACCTCCAACCTCGCTTCCTGAGAACATGGATGAGTTGCGATTGTTTCGATAAGTCCGCGAATTCAGAGTCATTCCATCATCTCTTGCGTTGTGGTCGACCGAACGTTCAGGTGATCTGGATGGTCTTGAATTGCTTCTTGACGAATCGTTTCGAGGATGTGCTGGTCGTGGTCGAGGCGAGAGTTCTGTAGGCGTGTCGTAATCGGGATCAACTCTGTCGTCGGAAAAGGCATTTGGCGGTATTGCATTAGGAGGGAGTGCCGGGAGAGATTTGTCGACAATCATTGGTGATGCGTCTTTTTCGCGCGCCTTTGCCTGGGCGGCAGCTTTGGATTTCTTTCTACGCCTAGCCATCAAGGATTCGTGACAGTTCATGCAAAAAATTCCTTGTGATGTTCTTGCATATCGCAGGTTTTCAATTTTCCTCTTGCAATTTCTGCATCGGAAGCAGGCAGCACAGAAAGCCTGGTCACCAGTAAGTATTGCAAGGTCCTCAATCTTCTCGCCGCAAGCGCTACAGCTGTAAGTGCAGTTATTGCAGATAAGTGAGCCGTCTCCTAGCAACAGAAGGTTTGCGTCCGAGTCGAGAAGGGTACCGCAGGTGTTACATCGGAAACAATTAAGATGCCATCGATTTCCGGCTATAGGGTAGTTAGAATAATTGTACATCAAGTATGGGTTTTCTGAGCTAAAGTAATGAAGGTATTGACCGCAAGTTAAGACGAGATTGGAAGAGGCGTTGAACCTACCTAATTCAAATGCTTTACCCTCCTCAAGTATCTGGAGTAACAGTACATCTTAGCAATGATATCCCTCAGTAGATAAACGGCCTTTGCCTACCTCACCGCACCCTTTGCAGGGAAAGACATCATCACTCTCCATTGGAGCTTCCGTATATTCGTCCATTATGTCCAGATATTGTACGTGTTCAACACGAATTTATGTCCAAGGCAAGACGACGTAGCCAAACTGACGGGTTACTTGATAGTTTGGTTTAACTAATAGGAAAGTATCGACCTAGGCTCGGAGCGTCATGAAAGGCGATCAAGACCAGAGGTATCGCAGCATGAAGCCTATTATCTAATAACCTCCAAGGGAAATAACTCGAAAATGCGGTATGGTCAAGTATAAAAAGATACACCAAGCGCGTGGGCGAACGGTTAGTAGAGGTTGGTATAAGGAGGTGTAGGATCTATGTCGTCGGAGCTGATGGTTGGGTAGTTTTCTCATAGACTTGATCAGTGGGACAATGTCGGAATAAAGTGAGTAAGAAAGCGATGAGGACAAATGTGATAGGTATCGAGACCTAGTACCTGAGGCACGACGGTGGTGTGTACTGCGCGCAGTGAATTGGTAGCTAAGAGGCAAATAAATTTGAGGCGTTGAATGTTGAATAATAGGTAACAAGCCAAAAAGGCGAGACAGGAGAGGCGGACAGGTGAAACCAGCCCACTTAGAAAAAAAAAATATGGCCACGGGCCGTCTAGTGAACAGTATTTCAGGAACAGGGGAGAAGAATCTGGTTTGTCGATTTCATGTAAGAGAAGAAAAAGGGAGGCGTGACAAACGTAACAATCATTAAAAAAACAGATTCAGTATTTTTCGGGATTCTCATGTAAATCCTATTCAGTGATTCACAAATGATAAAAAGTGAATTAAGTTCGGAGAGTACAAGAAAGGGGGGAATCCACGGCTTTGGAGGGGATACTATGTAGATAGGTACTTAGGTACACTTACGAATTGTGGATTGGGGGAGCCCAGCTTGTACCAGTTGTTCTCCCATTCGTCTCAGAGATGGACCCTTATTAGGTACTCGAGTGGGACTGGAAGTTAGCGTATGGGTAACGGTGAGGTTATGTACACTATTGTACTAAGTACAGTACGCAAGTACCTAAAGGCTAACAGTCAGTACCTAACGTAAGGTACAACCCTGGAGGTAAGAACCTTGGAAGCTACACGTACCAACCATATGCACCTATCCGTGCTGTATAATACCTATTCCAGATATCTGAGACTGCACGCACATATCCGTCTTTTTACTTACATGCATGGACACTCATGTGTCCTCTTAAATTACTTCCTGTGATTAATTCTGTTATAAGTGATTTTCTGTAACAGTCCAAAATAATGTAATTACCATGCTTCAACGATCAAAATTGCTAAGCACATATTCCTAAGAATTAAAAATAATAATACTATACCTATATTGACGCCTACGATACATGTACCTTATGTAGGTACATGCTGTTACTTTACGCATCTTCCATATAAGATGGAAGTCCCAACTTAATAACCTAAAACCTTGACTAAACTACGATTAGGTACCAACCTAGGTAAGCTTAAAATTAGCCGGATTGGAAATATACTTGTAGTCCGAGGACAGCACTTTCGACTTCAATTACAATTCAAGCAGTTGCCTTACAAATGAACCGAAATGCTCACAATCCATAGGTAAGCTAGGAAAGAACGTATCACATGCTGACTTATTCTAGAATTGGAGGCCATAGGACTGTTTAAATAGGTAGGGCTGAAGAACACATGCAACGAATTTGTGTAAGTTCTACGGAATACATTAGGAGGTACCTTATGTTTCGTACATGCATGTCTCAACCAGCACACCTTCATTATATGAATATTATAAACATCTTCTCCCCCTCCCATTCTAATTCCAACCAATCTTCAATGTACGATCATATCCCTTCTGTTAATGTTGTTTTTATACATACGCAAGTTGCGTCCAGACCTTGTAAAGAAACTATACATACCATTCCTTACAGCTGTACCAACAAGTCGGATCACCCTTTATTGCCCGACAATTTCTAATAGGCTTATTTAGGTAATTATTAAAGAACAGGAGGAGGCTACACGAAACAGGTCTGGTAAGATCTACCCAGTCTGCCCATATATTTATTTGGTAAGAAAGGAAAAGAAAGGAATCCTTTATGCCATTAGCCTCATCCTAACTTTAACTGATCCTAACCCTATGATTTGTTCGGTCATAGACTCATAATAGTTGTCACATCGATAGGCTATCCTCATAGCATCAAGGTAGGGAAGGAAAAAAAAAATGACCTGTTTTCTTCCTATGGCACGAGTCATGCACTTATAATAGGACAAGGACAATGCATTGTCGGCCAGTGAAACCGCTCCAACACTACTAGCGATGTTCTGTACATGCAGACATGAACATGCAGACCGTGAACGTGGCGGACTTGTGCTACGTACAAAGTTCTTGGTACCTGCTTTAAAGGCGGTCTAGCCCAGTGTTCGAAGATCGGCACTGCAGAGACCATTTCTCCCCAGATGGCCATTCGGTGGCTTTCAGTCTGGAAGAGCCACAAAAAGAACCATCAACTAGGTACTAGGTACCTAAGGTTAGGTTATGCTAGGTTAGGTATGTACTATGTATGTACCTGCCACTACACCAACACGGGGAACGCCTCGTACGTCCGTCCTTATTGCCGTTATTCTGTGGCACGACGCGGCGGAACGGTATAACAACTTTTAAGCTTAGTTTAGCAGCCAGACAGCGAGTTAGGCGCGCTAAAACGTGTTTCAAATTGAACATGGGATGCTCTCATTCAGCCACGAAACGATTCAGACAAATTATTTGATTTTTTCATACGTAGTACTTGGCGACGGATCGCTTACAGCACATTGCGCCGTTTCAAGATTGCTATTAGTCGGTCCCGGGGAAGTGGGTGCAAGCGCTGCTCCTCGTCAGAATGTGGAATAGCCCAACCCGCCTAGGAATTATAATTTTGCCAGTTTGTTTCTCTTTCCGTCCTCACGTCAAGGTCCCTGACCCCTTTCATTTCGATGTCTATAGTTACCTAGGTACCTTATAACAGGTAAAGTCATCTGTCTGTAATAGGAAGCAGTAGGCGATGCTTCTTGAGTCCTTCGAACGAAACCAAAACTCGAAAATATTGAGATTGGACGAGCTCAATGGGACTCAATTCGGATCTACTAGGTATTAATCTTAAGCGGACCGATGCAACAGCGGGTATTACAGTAACAATAACGCGATAAAACGCACGGTTGGTGGATAATAATGCCGGATCTAGATCTAAAAAACCCAAAGCTCATCGTCCGTAGATCTGCAGTGCCAAGAAAAACAAACGATGTCTCTTGTCCGTATGTAGACACTAGACACGCAGCAGATCCTACGGCGATAGCGAACAATCCGAAACGAAATGGCGATGCGACGTGGCCGGCGACGCGGCCAGCTAAACGGCGTTGAGCCGTTCATGCATTATGCCAGGGCCTACAGTATGTATTGTACGAACTCCTAACTACCTCATTTCCCCTAGTCCTATGATCGTCCTGTCAAGCCTGCCGATCATACAGATTGCTGTACATCATAACGACCGGTCCAGATAGGCGCATAATTATTTCCGGTTATTCTTAATTGCATGTTGTCAATATGTAATAGGATTAGGTACCTATAAGCTTAGCTTAGGAAGTACCGATTCGATTGATCAACCTTCACGATACCTACCGAATTGACAATCCCACGCATATTATAAGCATATTATAAATACCCGGTATCTCCTACCGGGTCCTACCGGGTCCCACCTTCGGTCAAAGGAGATGCTTGAACATGACTTGCTTATCTGATCAACCGTGTTTGCTGGGCTTGTCCAACCTTCAGTTCATCTATCTTATACATATTCTTTACCCCTTTCCGCAGAACCAAGAAAAAGAAAAGGAAACAGCATAAAATCATACCTGGCACAACAGGGTCTAGGCAACTCACATGACAACACAAAACCTAGCTAGGAGACACCATATTCACACGCAATATAGCTAGAGCCACGTGCACAGGGGAAGAGGGTCTAGTATATTATCGCCAAGCTCGTCCACCCAAACCTGCCTTGCCTTCTTCTTGCCTTACCTGCATAAGGGACGCTATTATATTCCTGTTTTTCAAACTTCCATACCTCTCCCTTATCAGATGAACTCTTTACATAGGTACCTCATCTAAGACTGGAAGCATACCTCATGCACGAGATCGTTACTGGGAGGTAAAGCGGCTGCAGCAAGTGCAAACCCCCGTTGTGGGACGGGCGAAGCAAAGCAAAGCAAAGCAATCGAATCAGCACGCGCCAGCGCCTCCAGGCACCGGGAAGAGAGTATAACACGGGGCTTTGCGATGCGGCAGGTAGCCTTAGGTTGCGTCGAAGCATGGCCTGGCTTGGAGGGGACGATGGGAAATTCCCCGACGGACACGGCTGCCCGCTCGACTTTTTGCGACTTGTCCTACACACCATTTGCTGGTTGCTGAGTAGGTACCTAGGGTAGGTGAACTGGCTCATTATGTCTTCTCGTTATCTGTCTGTCTCTGTCTGTCTGTCTCTGCTTCTGCCCTCTTCCCCTTTTTTGTCTAATGTTGTCGGACACGTACAGGCGGACTCATGCACACAAAAACCGTTATTAATAACGAGGTAAGCCAGCTTGTGCTTCGTGACACGGGATTATACCGAGTTCGATGAGTTACTCTTTATAGTGATGCTCTGAATAGTCTCATAGACAGCAGGCAGGCTCTTCGCATTCACTAAGTACCTAGGTAGGTAGGTATAGTATGTTTACTACATACCTACCTATATCTAGGGTTAAATATAGTAAGGATAGAGAGCTTCATGCAACCGGCATGCATACCTCCTATAGCTAAACCAGCACTTGTATATATCTAAGGTAGGTACCTGCCTAGTCATGGCAACTGTAAAAACTACATAACGTAATATAAAACAAGTTTCCCCTGCCAAGGTTTCCCGTTCCAGGTTTGTCGAGTTGCGTATTACTAGTAGGAATTACCCAATGTCCAATCCCATCGACACACGAAGTAATTCCTTTCGTCGACGAGCCGTGGGGCATTGTCCTCAGACATCTCATACGTACATATGCGCTTCCGGGGTCGAAACCAAGGTCAAGCTCGGATGGCCAACCAATCAGCACATGACACCGAACGAGATCCAGAAGAAAAAGATGATGATGAATAACTTAATGTCGATTGGTGCCGATTGTTTACCTTGCGTATAATGCCAAATTGGTAAGCTACCTACCTACCTTATGTACCTCGCTACCTCCTCGGAATCTTCTCACCGCTCACCGCTCACACCGCCGCCGACTGCGGCTCCCGCAGCATGATCGTCAGCACCGCCTTCCCGTCCCTTCCCGCCTTGGTCAAGTCGTACTCCAGCCGGTCGACGGGCTGGAAGCCGAGGCGCCGGTACAGCGGCACGGCTAGGGGCAAGGCCTCGAGGTACGCGGGGATGCGCTCCTCGTCCGCGAGCGCGAGGACCGGCCGCAGCAAGGCGCCGGCGATGCCCTGGCCGTGGTAGGCCGGGTCGGTGCAGATTATGGAGAGGACTAGGGGGGAAGGGGGGGGGGAGAGTTGCTGTTAGCGCGCACGGGAAATAGGGGGTGAAGTGTATATTATGAGTATCGAGGGAGGTGTTATGGGGTTGGGCGTGAAATAGAAATACAAAAAAAAAAAAAAGGGGGGGGGGGATGAGCCAGTTAAGGACAAAATAAACAAGAGTCGAAGAGATTCGTTCTCACATACCCAACTTCTCGCTCGTCCTCCACTTCTCCCCCATCCTCTCCAGCCCGTCGAAAAACTCCTCATACAGAGCCTCGTCCGCGCCTTCGGGCGCCGTTAACTTCTTCTTCTTCTGGGGGACCCCTCCTCCCTCTTCTCCAGCAATGATTTTCCCATCCTCGTCCCTCGTCTCCATCTCCGTCTCCTTCCCCTCCTCCTCGTCGTAAACCGCAAACCCTGCTCGCAACCCCTTCATCGCCGCGGGCGGGTCCCATTTCGCGAACGCGACGACGGCGCTGCCGCTCGTGGCGGTGGTAGCGGATACTTTGAATTGCTGCGTGCGAGCGTCCCCGAAGCGCCCCCGGATCCGGGAGGAGTGCCACGCGCGCATGACGTCTAGGGACGGCGACCACCAGTATGTGAAGTCCGGGCTTCGGGTGAAGGCGTTTATGACTGCGTCGGCGGTGGGGGGTTAGTTACCTTAGGTATTTAATCTTCTTGTGTCTACGTTGCTTTTTTGTTCAACCCCGCGGGGAGGTAGGGTTACCCAGCTTCTAATCCCTCCGTTGGTGGGATCAAGGTGCTTGGTCTCCTCGACATATTGGTTTCCCCTTCCTTGTTCACTTGGTGGTCATTGCACCAAGTTTATATATATAGGAGGTACCTGTAGGTACCTGTAGGTACATATATCAAAAAGATACATGACGTGAAAATAAATAAGGGTGCACGATATAAATATAAACACGAAAAATGTACACTCACTATATTCCCGTCTAGTCAGTATAAACAAATCCCCAGAATCGTAGGTATCTAAACATGCGGCTCACCAGACTTCAGTCATCTCCTTCGTGTCCTCCGGCTTACATCGGGCCATCACGAATCCCGGCGGCAGCAAATCCGACGGGTGCAGGAACGGGAGCGCCATGTTGCTCTTCTCGCTACCGGTAATAACTATCACAATAATAGTGGTTCCAGTTCCAATTCGAATTCTATTCCTAGTTCCAGTTCGTATTTGTGTTCGAGTTTGAGTTTGCCAAGTCGGAAGAGAAAACCCTTAGATAAAATTAGGTACCTCTTACCTAAAGAACAAGGGCAAAGAAAGCTTACGTTGAGTTATAATAGGTTGGTTCAGGTAGGTATCGTCCGTTTACGGCCAGGATGCATCTCTTAGACCCACATACAAATCGGTCAAAACTCATATCACACAGGCAGGCAGGTATGCACAACCATGATTTATTTACATGTATCGATCCACCAAGATATACACAGATGTCTAAACTATACAAATCCTATAAGGCATCAATGTCGTTCATTATCTAACCTCGTAAGTCTATCATCTATCGAGTGAGTATAATATGTCCAATCAATATACAGATTCAAGAGTTACATATACACGGCTTGATATACATCTTTATATGTGTAGGTACCTAAGGTACCTAACCTAACATTCTAGGCTAGGTTAGGTAGGTTAGGGAGTTCGTAACTCGTCGCCTTCATCCCCATCATCATCCTCGTCCTCCTTCCCCATTTCTATCTTCGGAGGGGCAAATCCGTCGTCCCTCGGGTTGATGGAATCGAGGTCGGCGTAGTCCTCTTCGCCTATGATCTCTATCTCGTGGCGCGAACGTAACCGAATCATCGACTTGATAGCTCGAACCACTTGTACGCACTCCTGCTCTATCCCCCGGAGTGCTGCAGCATAGTCGCTAGACCAGACGCTGAGCCTGTCTAATTCCATATAGCCTCGTGTAAGGTGATACAACGTTGTAGCCGTAGGTCGGAGATGCCGCGGGCTCGTGCCTTTTCGTCGAAGGTCCAGAGGCAGCTTGTTCTTCACACTCTCTCTAGTACGTACCACAAACCATCCGGTCCAGTTTGGCATCAGCATCTCTTCGCAGGTCGCAAATGCTTTTTTGTACTCTTTCAACTGAACGAGTGCTTGTATGTTAAAATTCCAGTTTTTACTGTCTAGCTCGAACCCTGCCTCGCGAACCTCCCGGACTAGCTTTTGGATGCTGGCTGCATCTCCCCTGTCGAGGTATAGCTTTTGCATGATCACGAGACCAGTCGATAGCACATATTGATATTTGGCCGATACTTTGGGCGTGTGAGGTAGCTCTTCGACGTAATCGGCCGACCGTGCTTCCTTCTTTGCGGTTTCGAAGAATAGCTCCCACGTATTTATAACACTACCGAGTTTCCCTTCCCGAAAGTTCGCTTGCATGAGAGAATTGAGCATTGCCACGGGTAAAATTCCGTCCGGGTCTTCCTCGCCTTTGAAAATGTAACGGTAGAGGTCGACAATCTCCCGAGCCCCAGCGTAGTCTTTGAGCTCCGTTAGCATGGAGACCATAGTACTAAAGTGAGACTTCTCGGTATTTTCCTGCAGCAGCTCGCCCGCCTGGCTGTGCCGACGTCCAGGTTGCATCAAGTATAATCTCTTTCGCCTCAGGCCGTATATGCTGTAAAAGGAACGGAATGCTTCGCCAAGCCACTCCGTCGGGGTTAAACGTGCTCGTTGAAAAGGTGGTAGACTTCGAAACTGCCCAAGCGTTTGTGTTAACAGGAACAGACTCTGGGCTGAACTGGGAAACCCATAGTCTTGCATCATCTTGTCGAGTCGCAAGACGGCACCGGGCTCTCCTGTGACAAGCAAGGAGCTCATAACAATATGGAAGTGTTCCGCTGTAACCGGGAAAATATTATCCCTTAAGGCCGTTGTCAGGACGTTCAAAGCATTGACGGATTGTCGGCATATGGAGAGACCTATTAGCAGCTGCCGGTAAGTATACTGGTTGTAAGTGATGTTCTTGTCGGCCATAAGAGCTAGAACTTTGTTGATATTGGCAAGATCTCGCCGAACCGCGTAGTAGTAAAGGAGCTTATTCCACATCTGGGCGTCAACAATTCCCTTGCTGGCGGCGCGAATACAGACGTCTTCAGCAGACTGCATATGGTCATTCCGGCAGTACGCGTCGACGATAGCACCAAGAATGGCCGCGTCCGCTTGCCCACCAGCAGCCAATAATTGACGATATAGATCGATTGTAAACCCTAAATCGCCTCTTGCGCCCGACATTTGCATCATCGTCCCGTAGCTATAACGGTCCCATTTGTTCTCTCTAACTAGACTTTCAAAGACAGATATCGCTCCGTCATAGTCACCTGCCTTGACATAAGCTTTAAGAAGGATGTTCCAATGGTGCGCATCATGCTCTAGGTGGAATTGGCTCGAAATCTGGTCGAAGATGCGCTGTGTTTCCTCGACTTCCCCTCGGACGGCATGTGCCTGCATAAGATGTGAAAAGATGTCGTTGGCTGAAAGGACAGGACGTTTAGGGTCGCCTCGGTACGATTTAATAAACTTACGCCAGTACCCGTAGACATATTCTGTATCTCCTCGAGACGCATAGAAAGTCAAGTACCTCTGGAATGCCCTAAATGAAGGAAGGGTGTGAAATTTATGCCAATCATCCCATAGCATTTCTACTCCAGCATACACTACCGACGCTGGCACAATTAGGTTATTATAGGCTTTGAAAATTTCGTGGAGGACGGGGTGGCTTGGTACGCTCCCATGTAAATCACGATAGATACGATATACCTCAATGCCTAGTTGGTCTTTACCCCTGGAGGTAGCTGTACGTAAGAACTCTTCGAAAGCTAGAGGGTCTTTAGTTAGGTTAAGCAGAGGGATGACTTGATCGTCAGTACATGACAAAAGAGCCCTGCGGACCAGAATCCTCTGGAGAGAGTCAAATGCATCCTGACTGATCTCGGCACCGTCGTCTTCTTGGAGCAGTTGCGGACCATGAGTCGCAAATTCGATGACTTTTTCGGTAAGCCCGGGTACAAGCGCCACATGTTTGAGTTGCGAAGTTATGCCTTCGAAATTCCATCTCTCTACCATGTCGGGGTAATACTTCTTCACATCCGTTAACACCGCGAGATTAGAAGAAGGAGCTGCAGATCTTAAGTATGACGAAATGTCTTCAAAATCCCACCGTGTGGCCATTTTGGGGTACAGTTGCCATAAGTCTCTCAATAGCTCTAGCGTCGTAGACCGTAACGCGGTAGCAAGGAGTAAATCAATGGCACCAATTAGGGGAGGAAGTCCGATGGCTTGATGCTCCAGTCCTTTGGTGAATATTTCAAGCGCTCGATACGCGTTCTGCAAGTTAATCTCAGCTGTGACACCCGCGAGGAAGACCTCATTGGTCCATTGGGATAAAGGTATCTGGCTAAATAACTCTGAAACCCTCCACCGGGCGGATAGTCGATCACTTTTCGAGAGAAAGAGCAGCACCTGTCGTATATAGGTGGATTGCGAAGGCTCATCCAAGGACTTGTAATGATACCAAGCACGCTCTGCATCTTCAAAGTTCCTCTTCTTCAGCAAGTCCTCGAGGATCGTGATATGATCACCATCTATATCGAACTGCTCAAGTTTTTCTGCATCTACGCCAGAGAGTGCTTGTTCCTTATCGACTAGAACATCGCCCTCTTCGTCCGCTTCCTGGATAGCTTTACTCTGAATCCTCTCCGAATCCACCTCCTGGCTGTCTTCTTCGTGAGTGACGTCATCTCGAATAGCCGATACGTCGCTATCAGGTTCGTTTACTTTCGGGTCAGCAGCACCTTCGGATCCGGGACGGTGAATTTGGCGCTTAGGAAGCGAGGACGTATAAAGACGAGGCATGATCTTTCTGAAACGCTGTCTATAACGGAAGCCACCGGGACGACCAGAGACGGGCGCGGCAGGGGTAAGGCGGCGCATCAGGTTCATGGCGCCGCTTGGATATAGAAAATCGAGAAGAAAGGCGGAAGCGCTCAGGACGGAGCCATTACCCTCTTCGGGTGCGGAACCCAGGTTGAGATCCAAAGTACCATGCATCAAAGCTTGCCAGGTGGCAGAAAGCTCGATGTCAGCAGCTCCATGCTGCCAAAAAGCGTTCTGAAGCTGTCTCGTAGTCCGAAAGGACTGGGTGGCACCGGGAATTACTCGATGGAGACCGCATGGTTCCAAACTGGCGGCCGCCTTCTCCAGCATCGGGAGAGGTATGATTCAAATAGCCGCCGCCTAACACAACAGCGCACCAGCACAGTAGTCGGCAAGTCGAAAAGATCGAATGTGGTACCCGGTTATAATACTTTAAGGCATTATTGAGACTGTAATTTCTATGAGCGTGAGTAAAGTCGACGGGGGTAGAGTTGAATGTTATATGAACTTTTAAGATATGAAGTCGAAGAAATCGAAGAAATCAATAAATCACTTACAACGCAGCATCTCATACTAAAGTCCAATTTAACCAGACGCATATAGACTCTATCTATCCCCAGCTCGCGGATATAAAGCGTCAGATATTAAGCATTATACCTGGGTTTTGAGTATTACTCGGTTAGATATCATAACATATAAAAGATATTGTAAGGTTAAGTAGGTTAGCTCGAAAAAGGTGAACTATTGCATCTTTTTCTTTTCTTATTTTTTTTTCAAGGTTTATCGCTAATCTGCTCCCCCCCACTTGAGCCACAAGCATCGGGTCATTCCTTATTACACCAAAGTACCGAAGTATCTGCACGGATAGCTAGGCTACATGTACCTAAGGTACCATATCTTAGATAGGTAGGCACCTATGTATACTCTGGATACTTCCTACCTAGGTACCTATGGAGTATCTAAGTTTATGTAAGCCTGAGGTAAAAACGATCCGACCCCACGTCAACCCGAATTTTTGAAGTCGTTGGAGAATTGAAAGCTGGCCCAGTCCAAAAAACCCCACCATATTTCAATCAATCCACCAAAGACGTTATTAATACATTTGATTTTCAGCCCTCAACATCGCATCATATACTGTATCAACAACATCATCTGACCGTAGTCGCTTCAACGTTCCTACCTGGCTATGGATATCACAAATTTTGTGGTTTCGGCCAGAAACCAGGCGCTACTATATGGCGATTACACCACTTACCACAAGCAGTTGGCTAAGAAGCTGCATAAATGTCGAAAAAGGTTGAATATTGCTACTAAGAACCGTGGCAAGTTCACCAATAAAGGCCCCATCACGGCCGAGAACCTGTCCGAGAACCGAGAGTATGCGCAGCCTGACCTATTAGATCTTACACATCGCTGACCGTAACGAGGTTTCTTTACTTACAATTATTGACGGCCGAGCGTGCTTGGGCACATGCCATGAGGTTCAAGGCAGTCCACTCCACCGACTCCAAGGGCATTACAGGAAGAACTCGTTCCCATATTATATCGAGACTTGCTAAAGGCGCCCGCGCCGCCGAACATCTCGTCCAAATATTATCCGACACCTCTACGACTGGCGCTACCGACACCGACATTCTCGAAGCACGCGCGTATGCTTCTATAATACGAGGTGCCGCTCAGTTCGAAAACCAGAATTGGGAGCCATGCCTGCGGAGCTATGCCACCGCACGTATCATATATACGGCGCTCTCTACATCGATGAAAGTGGATACTTTTAAGGACTTGTTGTCCGACACCATCGACCCTTCTATTCGATATGCGGCCTATCAGACCAAAATTCCAAGGACCCTGGCGATACCCACCATCGCTAGAAAGGCCTTCCCTTCTTCTGACTCTGCTCTAGTCGAACAAATAGGCAAACTAGCTCCAGATTTGTTGAAGGAGAGCGATTCCGATGCTCAAAAGGGCCAAGTTGGTGCCCCGAGCGCGCCCCAGACTATCACGTGGAGGTCCCGAGAAGTCAAGATAGAGGATGCAGCTATTGCTCTCGCGCTCGCTTCGATAGATGCAGCAACCGCGCAACTAACGGAGAAATTAGCATCTTCTGACGTTATATTGCCGAAAGAGATGGCGGCCGCATACGATGAAGTGCTTATAGCTAGTCAGGATGCAGTGGATGCCACCAAACACGCTATCGACGAACTCAAGGAGGAGGGCGTATCTCAGGACGACGCTCGAATACAAAGCCTACAGATAACTCGCACTGCGGTCAATTACCAGGTTATCAGCTGGAGAATCGGTCGCAACCGGGTTTTGAGCGGCGAACACGACGGTGCTTTGTTAGACTCAGCGCCTACAACTACTCGGAAATCCAAGAAAGACGCCAGCTCTCGAAAGCCTAAGATAGAGCCACCTAGTAGGAAGATATCTCGGCTCAAAGACAAAGTTGTGCTTTATGATTCCACACTTCAGAGCATTGAATCGATTAAAGAGCTACCTGGTGTTGCGGCCGACAGAGATCTGTTAGAGCAATTAGATGCAACTGCTAAATATTTCCATGCTCTCAAGTCAGTAACTACAAGTCCCGCATTCTCATATTCTCATATTCCCATAGGCACGTATTTGCGCGAATACTTATATAGATAACAGGTCTCTCTCCATTGCGCGGTCGCACTCCCTGACCAACCAATCACATAATGCTCTCGTTCTCACCAAACACGCATTTGACGAGTGCGAGCAAGCTGCTGCTTTTTTCTCTAAACGGGAGACCTCTTCCCCAGAGTCCTCACCCCGTAACATAGAGATCCGATCAACTGATACCCAATTCCTTCATAACCTCTTAAAAGGTGAGCTACAGAGATGCCGGGCGATTGTCGAAATAGATAATCAACGGCAAAAGACAACGAATGCGACCCCACCAAGCGCAAGGGCTCCTCTCGTGCAACGCTTGTTCGAGTACCCGTCAGACGGTGTTGACTTGGAATACCTGGTCGAGTTCCCACCTAAGGTCAATCCTATCCCGGTCAAGCCTTTGTTCTTTGATGTTGCTTGGAATTACATAGATTACCCTGGGAAAGCTCTAGCTACGGCCCCCGAACCGGAGCAAAAGGCGACCGAGCCGGCACAACCGCAGAAGAGGGGATGGTTCGGGTTTGGAAGATAGTTAAGGCCAGCCTGTTATCCCCCTATGCCTACATGAAGTAGGCCATAAGTCAGCAATTCACATTCTTAAGACATTGGATTAATCGCATATACCCTTGCTACATGTTGGTTCCAGTGACTGTGTCCTCAGGGGTTAACAAAGGGGTAGCATGGTATCTTATTAAAGGGCGGTTTGCAACAGCACATATCTAGTTTCCCAATTCCCGCATCCCTTGGCGCCACCGTAGCCCCTAGATTACATAGATAATTCCTAGAATCCCCCGAGCTCAACCTCGTCTTTATAAATCCGCCATGGCCCAATATGTTAGACAACGGCTTTTAAGCAATGCCAATGGTAGAATGACGTCCGACTACGAAAGCAGCCCGAAGTTGGGTTTTCCCCCACGGCCGTGGAAGACGTGGGCAACCACGAGCGAACTGCCCGTTTTCATTACCGAGACCAGTCGCGGCGTACGGTATCTTTACGTCTCTTCATCTGGTCCCTCGTTTGCTTCACCGCTGTCGCGCTAGCACTAGGCCTAGGCCTCGGACTCGGATGTGCGCAATATAGGGCCCTCCACGCTCCACCATCACCACTACCAGCTGCTAACTATAGTATTCGCTATGGCATCCCTGAACACCTTGACTTTGTCCCGACAGACCGGCTCATCAACAGGCGGGAACTCGAGCTAGATACGCACTTCGTCGCGTCGACGAAACCCCGCGTTCGCGAGTTCGAGTTCAACGTATCGGTGGCGCTGGCCGCGCCGGACGGGTTCCGCAAGCCGATGGTGCTGGTTAACGGGCAGTCCCCGGGCCCGCTGATCGAGACGAATGTGGGGGATACGATAAGGGTGCGGGTTAACAACCTCATGCCGAATAGCAGCAGCACGTCGATACACTGGCACGGCATCAACCAGATCGACACACCGTGGATGGATGGCGTGGCGGGCGTGTCGCAATGCGGGATTCCGGCCGGTCGGGGGTTTACGTACGAGTTCCAGGTGACCGACCAGAGAGGAACGTTCTGGTGGCATGCGCATTCTTCGATACAGTATAGCGACGGAGCTTATGGAGCTATTGTTAGGGATATGAATTCTTTTTGATTGTCTCTTGTCTAACTGAGATACAGATTATACGCGATCCAGGGGAGTTGGTGCCGAAGACGGATGACGAGAAGCTCTTATTCGTGTCGGATGTGTACCATACTTACGGATCTGTTGTAAGAATGTTTTCGTTATTACCATCCCCCATCTCACGCACAAGGGCGTTTAATAACTGCAAGACTCGCTTTTCTCTAATGCGATACAGATATTAACAAGCTATTTGAACTCTACGTCGAAATGGGTAGACTGGGAATCCGGAGTCGAGCCGCTCGCAGACAACGTCCTCTTAAACGGGCAAAACACCTACAACTGCTCCATCGCCTCAACCACATACGCACCCTCCGCCGACCAACCCTTTGAGAACAACTGCACGGGCAGACAACTCTACACGACCAAAGTGCGGCGCGGGCGTACCGTGCGCCTACGGCTGATCAACGCGTCTTCGTTCCTATCGTACTGGTTCAGCGTCGACAACCACACGATATCGATCGTCGAGCTAGACGGCGTAGAGATCGAGCCTATCTCCGCTCGCGGCGTGTACCTGAACCTCGGGCAGCGGGCGTCCGTGATCCTGACGGCGGACCAGCAGCCCGGGAGCTACTATGTCCGAGCCTCGCTGCCGAAGACGTGTTTCCTGCCGTACGCGCCGTATAACAGTTCCGGGCTGGAAGCGGCGGGGTATGGCGTCAAGGGGGTAATATCGTATGTCGATGACGACGGGCGGGAGGCACAAGACGACGATGGTGGTGTAAGTGCGGTGTCGGAGCCTATTGGGGTCGCGGGGAATATAACGAACCCGTACGGTGTCGAGAATAACGGGCTCAGGGGGGACGTGTGGGAGGGATGCGATGATATGCCGTTTGATATGCCCAAGCCTATGCGTAGACAACCCGCTGTCAACGTGAGCGAGGCGAATACACATTATCTCGAGTATGCGTTCCGCCAGGCGCAGGAGGTCAACCGAATTTTCGTCAACAAGGTGAGTTCATTACCACCCAATCTCTCCCTTTCCCCTTTCCCCCTTCTCTTACAAAGACTTCCAAGGGTGTAATTAACGAATATCTAACTCTGAACTAACCGACTTATAATACGTAGACATCTTACTTACCCCTACCCGATAACGCCACAATATGGAGAGCTTTGGATCAACAGTTCACCTCGGACAAGTCGAATTCATATAACAGCTGGGACTTCGGACTAAACCAGCAAGTTCTCCTCGTCCCAGACGCGAACCAGGGTGCGCAAATCGTCATCAACTCACTCGACGCGATGGAGCACCCATGGCACATGCAGTACGTCCCTTCCCCCCCCCTTTTTTTTCCCCTTTATCATAAACCCATCTCGGTCTGAGATATAAATACCTACCTAATCTAAGCTAAACTAACTTTTCATGAACAGCGGTACGTAATACATATATATTCCTTGCACCAAAGGACAGCGCCCCCTTTCCCCTCCCCCTTCCTCGCAGAATAAGCAAAGAAGAAGAAGAAGAAGAAGAAGAAGAATAAGGGGTATAAACGTAGACGTATGTAGTCATCTCTTCTCACACACCAACAGGACACACCTTCCAAGTCGTCGGCTGGGGCAAAGGCCTCTTCGGCACCGACGCCAGCGCCACGACGTGGAACCTCGCGAACCCGATGCGCCGGGACACCGTCACCGTGCCGCCCTTCAACCACCTCGTCCTGCGCTTCGCCGCCGACAACCCGGGGCTCTGGGCGCTGCACTGCCACGTAGCGTGGCACGTCGAGGGTGAGTTTTCCCCTTTCCCACATCCCGACCTTAACCTACCCCCTTATTCTTCTCGTCAACATCTCTCCGTCGAAATCAACTATCCCTCTCTAACCTTGACGTAAATCTATCCGATACTAGGCGGCATGTTCCTCACGCTAGCCGAGCGGCCGTCCGATCTCGTCGCGCTAGTAGATCGGATGGATCCCGAGACGAGACGCCAGAGCCAGAGCTTCTGCGGCGCGTCAGCTACATAGATACGTAGCAAACAAAGCTTCTGACTGCCCTAAAATCAAGTACGCCGATGGATGGTACCAACGTGAACGACTGCAAAACCCAGAAAAAATAAATAAATAAACGCTACTAATGACCACCTCCTATACATCTATCTACCTACCTCCGATCGAACAGTCTTGTGTTAATTACGCTTTACCCATCGCGAATATACCCACGGAACTAGCACTGGATATTTCAGCAGCATGATATTTCAATTGTATATAACACGACATATGTATATAACCTAATATTTAATCCAATACACTTCAAAGCATACAAAAACACATCGTAATCTTGAGAGGGGATGTTATTTTATTATTTTGTCCTTAAAAGTCGTGTCGTTAAAAAAGAAAACGTCCTATATACAGTAGCTCCCAGCCGGGAAGCCCGCCTGCCTGCCCATTGAATAATGCCATTCATTTTTCTTCTTCCTTTTTTTTTACCGGGAAGACCCGACGTGAAAAAATACATCTTTCATCGTCTAGGTAAAAAAAAGGTCAACTAATGCGTTTAAACAAAGATGATGATAACTTTCCCCAGATCTCAGAACGCCGCTCCCCGCCCGCAAATTCATGGAGACACCGCCGAGGAGTAAATGTAGGTAAGGTAGTAGTGGTGGTGGTAATGGTAGGTAGGTAGGTGGGGGAATCATGGGTGGGCGGAACTATCTTTTTTCAGAAAAGGGGGCGGTAAATATGAGTACAGGTTAATGTACAGTGATGGAGCGCTAAAAGCTCTTACAATTCCCGCCTCGAGGGTAATTAGTATAAATCGAGATTGTTTCGTGTACAAAAGGAGGGGGGTATTTAAGGCTTCTTCTCATCCTCAGGCTTGGCTTCCGAAGAGCCAGCCTCGGAGCTGCCGGCCTCACCCGACTCGGCGCGGGCCTTGTGCATCTTGTCGAAGAGGTTCAAGCTAGCCATCTGCAGCTCGTCGGTCTTCTCCTTGATCTCGGCAGCGGTAGCAGTACCCTCGCCAGACTGGCTCTTGCTCACGAATTCCCGTAGAGAAGCAATCTTCTCCCGGATTCCATCAGCCTCGGTCTTGTCGAGCTTGTCGGCATATTCGTTAAGAGCCTTCTCAGTGTCGTTGAGAACGCTGTCAGCGCGGTTGGCAGCCTCGATAGCGGCCTTGCGCTCCTTGTCTTGCTCAGCGAACCTCTCAGAGTCCTGAACCATCTGTTCGATCTCAGACTCGGACAGACCAGAACCGGAGGCAATGGTGATAGACTGGTCCTTGTTGGTGCTCTTGTCCTTGGCGTGCACGTGGACGATAGAGTCGGCATCAATGTCGAAAGTAACCTCGATTTGAGGAACACCACGGTGCGCCGGGGGAATGCCAACCAGCTGGAAGTTACCAAGAAGCTTGTTGTCCTTAACCAATTCACGTTCACCTTGGAAGACCTTGATCTCGACAGCAGTCTGGAAGTCGGCGGCGGTAGAGAAGACCTGGGACTTCTTGGTGGGGATAGTGGTGTTTCGGTTGATCAAGCGGGTGAACACACCACCGAGGGTCTCAATACCGAGAGAAAGAGGAGTGACATCAAGAAGGAGGAGATCCTTGACCTCGCCGGAAAGGACGGCACCCTGGATAGCAGCACCAATGGCGACAGCCTCGTCAGGGTTGACAGACTTGGCAGGGTCACGGCCGAAGAGATTCTTGACCGACTCGGTAACCTTGGGCATACGGGTCATACCACCGACGAGGATAACCTCCTGGATATCCTTGGCCTGTAGGTTGGCATCCTTGAGAGCCTTACGCACGGGTTCGATAGTTCTGTTGATCAAGGGTTCCATCATGCTCTCAAGCTGAGCACGAGTCATCTTAGTGTTGATGTGCTTAGGACCGGAAGCATCAGCAGTGATGAAAGGCAGGCTGATATCGGTCTGGAGAGAAGAAGACAACTCAATCTTGGCCTTCTCAGCAGCTTCTCGGATTCGCTGAATAGCCATGCGGTCGTTAGATAGGTCAATGCCGGTGTCGTTCTTGAATTGTTGGACAATGTGGCGGACTAGGCGGATATCAAAGTCCTCACCACCCAAGTGGGTGTCACCGTTTGTAGACTTAACCTCAAAGACGCCGTTCTGGATCTCCAAGACGGAAATATCGAAAGTACCACCACCAAGATCGTAGACGGCAACAACTCGGTCAGCCTCCTTCTCAAGACCATAAGCCAGAGCGGCAGCAGTAGGTTCGTTGACGACACGGAGAACGTTAAGACCAGCAATCTGACCAGCGTCCTTGGTAGCTTGACGCTGGGAGTCGTTGAAGTAGGCAGGGACAGTAACGACGGCGTTCTTGACGGGCTTGCTCAGGTAGGACTCAGCAGTTTCCTTCATCTTTTGAAGGATGAAACCACCGATTTGCGACGGAGAGTACTTTTGTCCTCGAGCCTCCACCCAAGCATCGCCGTTGGTGTGCGGGACAATCTTGTAAGGGACCTCCTTGATATCTCTTTGAACCTCAGGATCATTGAACTTTCGTCCGATTAATCGCTTAGTGGCAAAAAGAGTGTTCTCGGGGTTGACGACGGCCTGTCGCTTAGCAGCAACGCCAACTAATCGTTCCCCATCTTCTGTGAAAGCAACGACAGAGGGGGTTGTTCGGGCACCTTAGCTAGAGTTAGTTTTTTTCTTCTTTTTTGTGGTCGCAAACATATGCGCCGGAGAGGATATCTTACCTTCAGAATTCTCAATGATTCTGGGCACCTTGCCCTCCATAATAGCAACGGCCGAGTTGGTGGTACCTTGGGGAATATTAGTAAAAAAAAAATCTTCATATGCTATGGTGGGGTTTGCATGCAAACTTACCAAGATCGATACCGACGACGGCACCTTGAACCTTTCCTTCCGTCGACTCATATCGAGCGAAGCTGGATCCTAAAGGCTTTCGTAGAGGCGCAGCCCATCGCGCAGCTATGGGAGTTGCTCGGGGAAGCTATTGAATCGAATCGCAGTTAGTCACGCATGTCTTTCTCTAATTGTTGGAAATGTGTGCAAAGATTTCGGAAATTGTGGGGTTATCAAAGTTGACTTACAGCTCTGGAGAATCTTGAGGCCAACATCATGATGGCTAGAGGGGGAGGGGGTGGAAAACGACGGGACTAGAGGAATTGAGAAGAATTATCGCAATGAAAAAGAAGAGAAAGGTGAGATAAGTGTACAGGTTGGTTCGTCGACGTATTTATTATTTACCTAGGTATGTATGAGGGATAGAAAGATGGCAAATCGATCAAACTTGGTGGGGACGATTGCTATAAAATTTGTTCGGCGACTTTGGGAAGTAGAATGAGAGAATCTTTCTGAGAGCTTCCTCGCGGGCGGTGTGCCTCGGCAATAACGTCTTTATCCAATCATAATTTGATGAAATTTTTGAGAGGAATTAAGAGAAGGTGACGTGAGCCAATAACCGATGTGTACCGATGATGTACCTCATACCGTACCTACCCGTACTGGCCGTATCTCCCGCACCGGCGGCGAAATCTGCAAAATCTAGTGGGTTTTACCTCCAGTGGGTTCTAACTAGTAAATTTAGAGCCGCGCTTAGGTAATACAGACCTAGGTACTTACCTTAGGTAGGTACCTATCCAGGTACTTATTCCAGAATTCGCAAAGCTCGAAAACTTTTAGATGCTTGGAGATGTTTCCAGATTCGGTGATAGCATTAGCTTTTACTTAGTACAGATTTTATAGCATTTTAAGCACACTAGTGATCCGAACTACTTAAGCTGCTAGGTAACTCAAATAATTATGTATGTGCACTTGAGGTAAGTATTAATTGAGTTTTGAACTCGTCTGATTATAAAGGATTCTAAGTCAATGATATAAAAGTTCCGATGATGTAATAATACCTCAGGTACCCATCTACCTTTCACATTACCAACTTAATACCTACGGCACCTATACGGCACCTATATGCCATCCGGATAATTGCGCAAAGTTAGGCGTTCAGTTTACCAGAATGGAAACATGTCTCACATATGTGGAAGTAATTCCTATAGCACAAGCCTAATTAGCTGCACAGCAGTAGTATTCTGCACAATCTGTACCTGATAGTAATTCTCTGAGTCCCAATGGAGGTCTTGAAAAATACCATAGTAGATTATATTAATTGTATTTAATTTATATGGAGAGGTGCTATACGGTACGTGCTGCTACACCTCGTACTGTACAACACAATGCAATCCCGGCTACATAATACAGGGTCACCATAAGGTAGGTATTGCTAAGACGTAGTTTCCCGGTACCGTTGATTGTCGGCGGTGGTAGCTGCTGCTGCTGCTGTTGTTCCTGCTGCTTGTTTGGTACGAATCTGGACGTCATCTGAGGAGCCTTCTCAAGAAGGAACTCCTGCCTTTGTTCCTTTGGTCATTCGACAACTTCTTCAATACTTTTAGAAAATCCAACCCGCATTCATGATTTTAGTCAAGAAGAAAAAATAAATAAAACAAACGTAATAAAAAATAATAAAAAAAGGCACACCTCTTCCAAAAAAGCACCCTCATGATTGCTCACATTCCTTTTTAGGATAACGACGCCGAAAGCTAGTGCTTCACTTCTATAACAAAACAACTTGTGTTAAACGGTTTAGATCGTTGCTAGGGCTATTCTGTGATCTCACCTCTGATTACAACTTTTACTCAGCCCCATCATCTCTATCCCACCCCCCGTCTATTACTGCATCTCGCATCTTCGTTGGATCTGCAGCCTGCTCTCTCTCTCTTCCCGACCGGTCGACCAGTTGAGCCAGTCGAACTATCCACCACGAACTTAAACAACCATACGATCGGCGCATCTCCCCCCCTTACGTGTCACTTGACTCTCCTGCGACGCGTTTCCATGATCGATACGACTTGATGAGCCATTATTACGATATTTACATTCGCCATTGGCACCATGGCCGTAGACGAGGAGGCCAGGTAGGATTTATTGCCCGCGTTGCTGCTGCGCGCATCCAAATCGAAATCGCCACACCCCGCTGATTGTCAGTCGTCTCTAGTCTCTGGCCTACTGAGAACCTGCTTCTTAAAGAAGGTCGCAAGCATTATCGCACCAGCGTCTCGCCAATGTAAGTTTCATGGCCTATCTAATATCTAGATCCTATACCACATACCTTAGGTACCTACCTACCTAAGGTATCATCATATAGGTGCTTATCCCTATCTCGGCGCAAGCTACTAATCCCTACCCCATTTGTAGTCATTGGCAGCTTCGATCATTGGTCAGCGCCGAGCAGCAGGGCATCATCTACTTCCCGGCTGGTGTCAACAATACCCATATTCAACGGCTCGATACTTCTACCCGCGAATGCGAAACTATTAAAGTCATAAGTTTTCATCCTCGCTGTCTAATTGCTAGTAAGGGCTGGATCTGCTGCGGAGGCGAAAATGGAGAGTTCGTGGTCATACGAGAATCGGGCAACAGCGATACGCAGGCCGACACCCTCAGCAGAGATGTTCGCTCCAGACTAACTTCGCTCGAATCTTCTACCATGACCGAAAGTACCATATATCAGCTCGAACGTGACATGCTCTCCGTCGTGGAACGAATAAATGGCACCAACAAGACGTGGTCAGCTTCCAGCTATAAGATCGGCACAGAGCGTGTCAACTGCATAACCCTCTGGCACCCCCCCAAAGACGCGGGCGCACTAGCCCTTGGACAGTACGAGTGCCCGGTGGCTGTTGTGGCTAACAATGATAAGACCATTACCGTCGTAAGCCTTTACGAGCCAGATTTGCATAAAGATGTGTTGGAATATCCAGATTGTGTCAACCGCGGCGTCATCTCCCCCGACGGAACCCTCTTAGCTGCTGTCTGCGACGACGCCTACCTTTACATACATGCGCGAGAACAATTCAACAAGAACTACGAAGGGCTGTCTCGGCGAGTTACTCGGCCATCTTCTAGATGGGTATCACTGCCGAACATACGACTTAAGGGCCAGTGGAAAGATGACAGTACAGATTGCCGAGGGAGCTTTGCAGTTTGTTTTTCCTCGTCGGGAAAGTATTTGGCAGTTGGCACCCAATACGGTACCATATCTATCTTCAATGCAGTTAAACTTAGGGACCCCAACTCGGAACCCTTAATCGCTTACTTTAATTCTTCCAGGGCACCAGGGGAATATGGTGCCGTTAGGGATATGGCCTTTTCGCCGGGGCCATTCGACCTCCTAGCGTGGTCGGAACATCGTGGTCGAATTGGCGTAGCAGACGCGCGCACAAACTTCAAACGACGACAGATTATCCCTATAGATAGCCATGAAGGATTTAATCATTTTTCACTTAATGATAGTAGTACGATCGATCCGCGCCTACTCGATCCACGCAACGAGCATCCTGCCGAAGGCGAGCGTAATACCGACAACGACCGAAATGCTGAATCATCTCCGCTAGGGATGGATCGTTGGAACAGATCAATGGCTGATCGGCGGCCCTTACCAGATCCGGAAATTACAGATCCCATGTCACGAGTCAATCAGCCTTTCAGCTCGGATGAAGTTTCGATTCTTGAGGCGTTCCAAGCTCAGCGTCGTCGACGAGAGCTGCGGGATCGAGGGGAGCAGTTGGAACAGCATTTTATGGAACACCGGAACCAACGAGCTGCCGAGAGGAACGCGTTTAGATCTACGGGCTGGGCAGATCGTGTAAGTCTCCAGAGCGGCAGGACTAGGCGTGTGAACGTCAGGAATCCCATCGTCCATTACTTAAGCAGTTATCATTTTGGTACAAATCGCACTAATACGGGTGTTGAACAGCGCGAAGCGCTGACGAGATTTCTCGAACGCGAACGTATGCGCGAGGCACGCGACCAGTACCGCTCGAATGTCAATCAGACGGGCACCGAACAGGAGCGAGAGAGAGGCAGTTCCATACCGCGGGACCTAGGTCGGAGTCGCACATCCATCATGCGCACGCTAGCCCAGAACTTCGATACTATCTCGCAGACGATGAGACCGCAGGGTCAGTACAACGACGCCGGTAACGACAGCTCTGCGACGTCGCGCGATCCGTGGTATGTAGGAGGATCTGGCTCCGGATGGCCGGATCTTGAGAACCTAGCCAACATAAGCGGATGGACAGGTGGACTTACTGATAATGCTCGGACCGAAACCAACAGAGACAGAAACCGCCGAGGCATCCCAGTCATTGCTGATGTGTGGGGAAACGACTCGCTCTTCAGCAGGATCAGAATAGGTAGTCGCGAGCATGTACAGAATCCAGATGACACGGCAGGTTTGACGTGGAGCGAGGACGGCCGGATATTGTAAGAGGATCAATACTTACAAGGTAGAACTGGATACTGACGTGTTGAATTCCTAGGTATATTGCAGCAGAGGACGGGATATACGAATTCCGTGTCGATTTGCTCGGCAGAAAAACGTTCCCAGATATTGAGCTCCGCTGAGTGGCGGTGCAATAAATCGTTACATTCATCTGAAAGCTACCAAACAGTACCCTTTATTTTTAATATTTTCGGCAAAGGGGATCTGGACGGCGTTAGGGACGGTATTATATACTCACTACGTGCATAAGGGAGGGCAGAGGCGTTTTACATTCTTCACTGGTCCGGACAACGGTGAACTGTGTTATTTGGTTTGTTTTGTTTTATTCCATTCTATGGCCGATTTTTTTTTCTACGCCCCTTCGGGGCAAGGGCAGCAGTCCCGATTGGAGGTTAGGAGTAGATATCGTTTATTGCTCGCCGGACAGTTTCCACGAAAAAAGTTAGTTTCATCGTTGGAATTTGGCAAGAAACGGGAGTGGAAAGAAGATGCTCCAAAGGGAGGGATGGCTTCAGTGGTGCCCGATCGGTTACCTACCCGTAGTTAGCTGTTCTTGGGCTTTTATTGATCGAGAGATGTACATACATTATATTCCCGTTGATTCCCCCGATATCAAATGTAGCCACATCACTCAACTGAGTCGTTACTTGGCATGTCCTTACCAGGATCTCTAAATTAGGTGATCGTATTTCTTTATTTCAGATCTATGCTTGTGTCTATTTTGTCGTAAATCGTTGTTGAACTGTCCTAAGGCCCCTTTTTCTACGGCGTCTCTAGCGGTGCCGACTCCTCCACCTTCCCGCTCCCATACAGCATATCCCGCACCATGTCCCCAATCTCCAGACAGCTCGTCAACCCGGGACTTTCTATCCCTAGCAGATTCACCCACCCGGCGTACCCGTCCTCCCGCCTGATGTAGAAATCCACAAACCCCTTCCCGCCCGTCGCCACGGCCCCCGCGGGCGCCAGCTTCGGGCGTATGCCGGCATAGTCGGGCGACAGGCTCCCCTCGTCGATCGACGGGAGGTACTTCCTGATCTCGGCGACGGCGGCGGGCAGGCGCGCGGCGTTGACGGCCAGGTCCGTCGGCGACGACACCCACTCGACGTCCGGGCCGAAGCGCATGCGGCCCGCGAGGTCGAGCGTGAGGTGGGTGCCCAGGCCGCCGGCGCCGGGGGCGGTGACGGGGTAGATCAGCCGGCGGACCTTGGGCGACGAGGCGGCGTAGCTGAAGTAGTTTCCCTTGGCGTAGTACAGCCGCACGTGCCTGTCGGCGGGCGCGATCATGTTGTGGATGGCGGCGGCGCCCAGGCCCGCGCTGTTGATTATGGTGGAGGCCGTTATGGTCGATGAGGTGGATGTTGCGGCGTCGCGGACTGTGATGCGCCAGCCGTTGCTGCCGGGGAGATTACTGCTACTACTACTGCTGCTGGTGGTAGAACCGGATGCTAACGGCTCAATCCCGACAACTGCGGAATTAAGCGCCAGCACACCCCCGTCCTCCTCGAACTGCCCGAGCAGCGCCATCATCAGCGCGTGGGAATCGACGATGCCCGTCTCGGGGCTCTCCAGCACGGCCCCCGTGGCCCGCACGTCCGGCTCCTCCCTCGCGGCCTCCGCCCTGCCGACCCACCTCGTCGGGACGCCGAGCTCGCGCTCGCACAGCTCGTGGATGCCGCGCAAGATGCGGATCTGGGCCCCGTCATCGTCGCCGTCGTCGCCATCCTGCTTCTGCGCGACAACCCACTTCCCCACCCGCGCGTGCGGCACCCCGCGCGCCGCGCAGAACGCGTACATGCGCTCCCGCCCGCGGATGCACAGGCGCGTCTTGAGCGAGGACGCGCCGTAGTACAGGCCCGCGTGGATCACCTCGCTGTTGCGCGAGGAGGTCTCCGTGCCGATGTGCGGGTGGCGCTCGAGGAGGAGCGTGGTGTCGCTTGGCGAAGAGGAAGAGGAAGAGGAGTGGGAGGCTAGCGCTCGCGCGATGGCGAGGCCGACGGCGCCGCCGCCGATGACCTAGGGCTGTGAGCTTGGTGAGGACTTGCGCGGAGGTGTGGGGTGTGGGGTATTATTATATTATATTGCATTGTATTGTATTATATTATATTTGTGTGTATGATGGATTATTACACAGTCGTGTAAGTGGTGGTGGAGTAGGCGCGGGACATTTTTTTTAAAAAAATTAAAAATAAATTAAAATAAATTAAAATAAAATAAAAGAAAATAGAAGGAAAGAAAGAAAGAAAGAAAGAAAGAAAAAGTCAACTTACAACATGTGTGAAATCCGTCCTCACCGAAGCGGTACTAGAGAATAGCCGTGTCGTCGAGCCTAGTTGGAACTGTTGCTGTCGCCGGGCCGTGGCCGTGGCCGTCCTCGCGAACATCTTCGCTCCCGTGATTCGCAGGAATAAATCAAGTTAGGTACCTGAAAGTTGGGACGTAAGGAACGGAGCAAGAGTTCAAAAAAATCGGGATGATATCATAGGCACATACATACCCTTTACCTAAGAACCGCCCGGACCGGAGAGAGAGAGAGAAGCTCTTATCACTTATCGGCCGGCATGACGCAATTCTCAATATATGGAGAAGTATGTACATAGTAGGAGATCAACTTCATTCTAGGTAGGAGGTAGACAAATAAATCCCCGTCTTGAAACTTGATATATTATGTATACATGATTTATTAGTTAACACCGTTACCTAATAATTAACCTAGGTGTTTAATTCGTTTCCCATAAAAGTGAGCAGCTGTTAAAATACATGTAACTTAACAAGCTGCCCAATGATATCACTTTTCAACTCTCTCTTAACACTACCTCTCTTGCCTGGTTCTCTATGGAGGATATATATAGGTACCTATATATAAGTCGACCGGTAGATACTAGTTTAAGCCTCATATTCGTTGCCCAACGAGCTAGGAACCTATTACTGCTAAACATGCCATAAATTACCTACCTAGAGGAATCTAATGTAGTCAGTAGGTAGCTAATAAGAGACACTCTTCCCCTACGTATAGTCAATTGCATAGAATAAAAATACTGATATTACTTGGTAATCCTTAGAACAATCATAGTCGAATCTAGCACATCGCATGATATTCTCAAAACTTTAGACTTCAAGTACAAAGTCCCGTGATTCGCATCACATGCAATCAGAATCTATGAGGTCCGAGCAAAATGTACGCATATCTTAACCCCATCCCGAGGAAAAGAGGGGAAAAAAGAATTTTCACTGATGCTAAAAAAGGTCCGTAATGTATTGACGGACAATACCAGAAACAGTTGTAATACGCCATGTTTCGTAGAGTCGTATCCCTCTTTCCCTAATGCCCCGACCCTGTAACCTCCAACAACGCCGCCGAGATATTTTTGCTTAAAACCATCGCAGAAAACGGTCCGACTTGCCTGTGCCTGTGGAGAGTGGAATAACCGAACGCCGGAATACATTATGAGTTTACAAAACATAGTTCGAGCCCCTTAATCATCCTTAACACTTTCTGAAGCCGCAACGGGTTGAGCGACGATAGCCGACGCAGCAGTAGGCGCGGTAGAAGATGAGCCTGCTGCAGAATCTTCCTCGGACGCTGAAGTAGACTGTGTGAGATGTGAATGATGCGTTGGCTCTCTTGTTAGGGACGCACCAGCATGAGCCTCGCTAAGTTGGCGTTCTACGAAAAGAGTTAGCGATGCCTTAAATATGCTATGGAGTTGGTAATATATTATTTACCTAGTTCACGAATTCTATGGCGCAGCATCTGGTTCTCGCGAACCAGAGACTGAGTTTCGGCTTGGTAATAGGCGCTCTCGTCGCGAACTCCGGAAAGAAGCGGCTCTCCACTTTCTGCGCTGATCGACGTCGATCTCATCCTAGGCGAGGGCGCGCCACGGCTCGGTGTTCTGGATCTGCGGTGAAGGGCGTCGCGAGCTATGTCAAAGGACGAACGCGGATGCGACAAAACCGGTGAGCGAGGAACCGAAGTGGAGGGGGCCGAGAAAGGTGGTTGAGGAACGTTGGGAAGCATCATAGAGCTAGATCTCTCCGAGGTAGGTGTTGGATCTTCGGCGGCTACGCTCGTCTGGGATTGGCCTTGGGCAGCTTGAAGCTGCTGTAGTTGGAGTTGTTGCTGACGGATCATCTGTAAGAGGCGGTTCTAATCATAGCTCATGTTAACATTTCCGAAACATGCATTCGAACGACTTAGCAAACACATAATGCATACCACTTGTGCTTCCTGCTCTGCCTCAAGCTCCTGATGTAACTCTCCCAAGCTTGGGGCTCTATTATGGTGGGGATCGCCTCCGGTGAGGAGGGGTGACGCAGAGATCGGCTGTGGGCTTGTGGCGCTGTGTCCGCTGCTACCACTCTCCGTAACCATTTCACCTGGACCCGGGAGGGATGGATCGTTGAGTTGTAGGTTCATTAGGACCGTGGAGCGCCGTCGTCCCATTTGCGGTGATTGTCTATTTCGTGATAGAGAGCTGCTCGAAGAGCCTGGAAGAGACATGTGTAAGTAGGTACGTAAGGTATTAATTATAAATATGATGGAATAATTTAAAGGCGAAGCAAGAGCTTACGTCGCGTTGGTTCGTGCTGGAGGCCGGCATTCATAGTTGCAGCTGCTTGCAATGATATAGAAGCAGAACGAGGAGAAGGTGATGCTGACTCTCCGCGTATAGCAGAGTCACCGTTGCCGTTTGAAGAGGTCATGATGCGTGGTCTTGCTGACGGTGATGACGGTGGAAGTGAATTAAGATCGGGAGCCATGTTGACAGCGTGAACAAACTCGACTTGAAGTTGACGTATGAAATAAGTCGATAAAAAAGTGGTCGGTCCCTGGGACGTCGAGGTTACAAAGGGCTAACCTAGGTCCTAGGAGCTCTAGCCAAGCCACCAGACCTCTAACCAAAGTAAGGCGTAACAGGGCACGAGGTAGAAAGGAGGGGTGGAGATGAAGAAACCGTAAAAGAGACAGAGAATAGGTACAACTACGCAGGTGGCGGGATTAATCCCCAAATTATGTCTAATAGGACTAATAGGACTAATAGGACTATAAATCCGAGGTGATCATGATATGAACGCTCGAGAAGGGTAAGATGCACACGTGAAACAAGTACCTTTTCAGCTCGCGGAGGCTAGAGCTGATGGTTCTCTTTCTGTGCTGTTCAGGTGACGCCGGAGTCGAATGTTGTAGGTTAGGTATTTTTTTATCTTATTTTTTCTTCTTTTTTTTTTTTCGAGGACCGTGACCAAATAGAAGACTGATGCACCAAATTTAGTAGAGTTTGGTACTTTGTCTAGCGGACCAACAAGCAGCAAGCACAAAAGCACAATTGAAGTTTAAAGTATAGCACTAATAATTATCTAAAAGCTTGTTCAACATTGCTAGGTACTGTGTGCTGTAAACGAAGCTTGGAGCTGGGGAAAGCACCTGCCATTTGCTATGGCACACCACACCACCTAAACGTTATGCAGGTGGGCTGTGACGTTGTGGGGAATACCTGGCTCATGGTTACCTAAGGTTTAATTGTGCTTAGAAAGAAAGTTGACCGTTACGTCAAAAGTCCGGAGTTCATAGCATATTTTATCCGTAATTGCATGGGTCCCAGGTCCAAGTGATGGCCCACCGTAAAGTGCGTGTCCCCAGCTGCCCAGTTTATGACTCTATACAATAGGTACATAGTACATATGCAGTATTAGATAATCAGGATAGGCGTCTTTGTAGTACTATGTAGATCATCTGACACATTTCGTAAGTTGACTGCTAAAAACATCATTTTACATTATACTTACTTCGAGTCGTTTTTCGAGATAATCTCCTGATCACATTAAAAACGGTCAAGAACATTAAAGTCGGAATCATTTCAAAATTCTTTGACATGGTCAGGAGTCCGTTTCTTTAATCTCCATACCCGAATACACCTGATCCCCTGACAACGCTACCTAACAGATCGAAACCAGTGTTCAGGGCACAGGTTCCGGGGAATTAAACTACGTACATACATGTGTCTTACATACCAGGTAGGTATACATGTGCGTAAAGAACTATCTAAATTGTGTAGATCTAAACTCTATCTTGTTAATAGAAAAAAGAAAGAAAAAAAACCAGCTACGACTCGAAATTATTCCAAATTCTACTTCGACTTTCGACTTTCTTCAACTGTCTTCTCTGTTCGTAAAAATGAATCACGACTCGATGGAAAATACTCCAAGATCCCAAGAGTACGTTTCCAATACTTGGATCGGATCACGACTCTCGGTGGTCGGGTCTTGAACGGCTATTTCCAAGAGATAGTAACACTCAGCAATATCCCGCCAGAAGAGACGCCCAATAACCATTCGTATATCAAGCTACGGACACTGGAAATAATATATGGGCAGAGTCTAGCCATGCGTGTCTCACCACATCAAAGGCCCACCACCTCAGAAACTTTGGGAAAAACCCTCTCTGTGATACCTAATACCCCGGATTTTCAACCCCAAGCTAAATCTAGGTAGCCTAGGATTTGGCACCACACCCTTATTCGGAAATCCCCCTTTACATTCGGCCTATTCCATGCTGCGCCGAGATTCCGCTGCAGCGGGTTTCCCACCAGCGAAGCTTGGCTGAATAACTGAGTAACTGAGTAACTTTGCTGCAAGTACATGGTAATGTACCTATTTTACCCCCTGAGCTCAGCCTCTTTCTCTTCCCATTTAGTCATATGTGCCGAGACGCGCAGGCGCGCAAGATAATCTTCTTCACACCAAGTCGAAGAGCTTCGTGATCCGTATTCTCGCGAATCAGATATGCTCAGCGCAGTTATCCGGCTCCGGGACGCCAGCACATATTGGTGTTTCGGAAGGTTCCAAGTAACTCTCATTGCGGCTATGAATGCTTCCGGGACTTGATAAACCCGGTGGCTTTGCGGCCTCACGCGTACCTATATACTATGACGATGCATTAGTATAACGTCTAGTGCACAGGGCATCACTAGCTGCCTTCTATGCAAGGCCGATGTGGAAGCATGATTAATTAGTACTGGCGGTAGTTTTTGGCTTTACCTTGGAAGTCGTGGAGCTAGTCAGCTCTTAGTATGCAATGATTAGCGTCGCGATATTGATCGGCGTATACAAATCTAACCCCTAAGCCATTGGATGCCTCGGCTCAAGTGGGCTTTACCGTATTCTGGCTATGACAGGATGCGGATACCTCAGTCTCAGCGATCCCTAAGCGGGCTCCTTCGGAATCTCTAACCGGCAGAAAAATGCAGCATATCAGGTATGCAAAAGCCGCTGATAGGGGTCGCAACCCGTACACGCGTAATCCCAATACTCTGGTCTTGGGAGCCGTCGGCCGCATACGCGTGCGTTTCATTACTGTTAGATGCGGGCTGGGAGGCCAGTAATATTGCGCAGCCGACGTCATCCTATTGACGCGGGCTGGAGGGCTAGAATCGCTGCTCGGCCTTACCTTGCTGACGGATATAGCAGGGTAGTCGTACAAGTCGCCGAAGACGACGAAGATAGGGGACAAAAAGTAAAAACCGGAGATAAAAAAGAATTCGTCGGTGCGTAACATGCTCACGAAAACCCGGCAGAAGGCCTCACAGGGAAAAGATAAAAGATATGTGACTTGGGGTGCAGCTTTCTCTGATCGGCAGCCCGTGCAGATAGGCGCATCTAGTGCATATATAAGGATTATGCACCGGTATCAAGGATCTTTTACTTATGATTCGCGGGTTCCTAGACGGCTCTGGACTTAGGTACCGGTAGTCTGTATGCACGGAACGGCGTCGGGTCTCCTATTACCTTCTGCGGCTGGGCCTATTGATGTAGTGACCACTTTCTTGCTGCGACCGATGCGGTCCCGGTGGTTCGGATCCCGTTGATGAGCAGGTCTCAGTTCGAGCATCTTTAACGCGTGGCGGCCATGTCGATAGACCCTAACCCCTGTGCGGATTACTTACTGGGTGGCAGGAATCCCTCCTCGCAGGTCGATGGCGATACCTACGTAGTACAAGGGATGTATGCACGCACAATATATCAAGTCGACTACCTAATGTATAGTGAAAAAGCCACAAATTCTACGAGTAGACATTGCTGCTCGGGCGCGTATTTTGATTGGCTGGCAAGATATCCGTTATGGATTTTTTTTTTTTTTAAAAAAAAAAAGGGGGGATGGGAATGTCTGTTGGATGCGCACCTATCATTCCTCATTCCGAGACCCCACGGCGCGTAATGTATTACGTTGGCTTGGCACGGGCAGTTGGTCAGAAAGCTAGGTTAAGTTCAAGTATTCAGGTATTCAGCTGAAATACCTAGCGTTATGCAAAAATAAACCTACAGAGAGCATTAATGCATGGTCCTTCAGCTGGAAGCTGGAATGAGCTGGACTTTATTAGACGAGCGCTGCGTTAGGTATTATTAAAGAAAGAAAAGATAACTACCAGGTAACCTAAGGTACCTAATGTGGCGATAATAGCTGAGGGATTCCTTTCATTATAGGTAGCCCCTCTTTCCAAGCAAATATAAGAGTTCCACAGTAAGATTGGAACCAGACAGAAGAAACAAGTAAAACCAGTAGTGTAGTTACATACCTAACCTAACATACCTTAGCAAGGGGGAGAGTGGGAATAGTGTTAGGTATTTTCACGAAGCTCAGCCCAGCTTAGGCGATTCCCGGTTCCCGCGGCCGCTACTGCAGGAACTATCACCACGGAAACAAACAGACTACCTCCTAACCTACTATGTAAGTTGCCACGGCGCAAGTACCTATCGGGTGCGGGTTAAAAGGGATAACTAAAGGAAATAGTGTATGTGAGGCTTTCACATACTTACCTACCTACCTTAGGTGTATATACCTAACCTAGGTAGTTATTAGTTAATACCTAATGTCATTTATTAACTACCGCGTCCCTTCATCGATGGGGGGGCTTGCGAGGGTACGCGGTACACTAATAAATGCTTGGGCAGGTAGGCTACTTTATCTGCTTGGCCGGACCGGGCATCTTTCCCCTAGGGCAGAGGAGGGCTGGGACAGGGCATGGGTTACGAAGTGCCGAGCTAGAGCTGTCGTTGCCATGTGGTCTAGAATGGGAATGCGACATTGATACTAGGTTAGGTACCTAGGTAGGTATCTCAATCCGTGCGCCTGGGTATGGTACAATATTAATATTATCCACTACCTACCTATTCTGCTATTATAAGACGTAGGTGGTGCGTACATACATGCCTTATTACGTGGATTAATAAAATACGATGCGATGATGCTATTGCGAGGGTTGAGGTATTGTGTAATACACACCTACCTAGCAATATACTATATTACCTATTACATACATACCTTAGGCAGGTTAGGTACCTGTAATGCGGAGGGAAACACAGGACGTCGTATTCTCAAATTTGGAACCCTAGCGACTTTTGGGGAACGGTACCGACGAGAATTTGTTGGATGCGAGGTCAGCTGAGCTGAGAGAGCCAGAATCCCGTCTTCCAGCATTGTTAAGCATTGTATCTATTGTATTGTATTGTATTGCATTATATGTACAATACTTTGGAGTGTGTGTATCCGCCAATGCAAAAACCGCGTGCCTTCGTCGCCTGTGCCGCGGCACGAGGAGGTAGGGAGGAGGTAGGGAGACGAGACCCATGGTATTGTACACCGTAGGGTTTGATAATAGATACCTAGGTAGGCTAGGTACCTAACCTAGAAATTCATATGTAGGGTACACTAATAAAGAAAAAAACGTGTTCGACGGGTCTTACCCATAAGGCACATTACATAGGTTACATGCCACTGGGGGCAGACCGCAAACTTCACGAATCTGGCCGGCGGCTATGTATGCATGTAGGTGTGAGGTTCGTATTACCTAGGTACCTGTATACTAGTGTAGATCATCGAGGTGTCCATCTGTCCATCTGTCCGGTATGTCTGTTGGCCTGTCTCCTCTTGTAGTGTAGGTACAATACTGTAGACATGTCTAGGTTATGAGGTAACTAGTTCATATACCAACCACTATACCGCTACGCACGTAGATATTATATTGTTCAATATGTAATGCCGGCTATGGTTACCTTCCATAGCAAGGCATGTATTGTAGGTACCTGGGTAGAGGTATGTGAGGCTGTTCAAGGCTTTTCCCGGGCTCCGTCATGATTGATCACGAGCCAATATATTCTTTGAGATTTCGGCTCGCTGCATAACCTGTACCTAATTTAAGGGACTTTGTTGGATGGAATCTTGACCGTGGCCCGTGGGCTTCAAACCCATGGTTAGCACGAAGCATGGGGGGGCCACTACCTAATGCATTGTTGAAAGAGCTAGGGTACAATACCTAAATAAGAGAAACACTATGTGATTTTTGGACAATGATCAGCGCCGGTGAGAAGGGTACAGCGCTGTCTCTAGTGTAGTGTATTCTTCACCGTTCATCCTTCACCAGGTACACTATTATCACGGACGCAGGGGAAGGAGAGAGAGGAGAGAGAGGGGAAGAGAATGGGAGAATTAGGTACCTCATATGGAGAGAGATGGGGAATATTTCTGGCGCCATCATCCACCTGCAGAGAAAACAAAAAGGGGAGCGCCGCAGAAGAAAGAACCTTGGGTTGAATGGTTGGCCGTGGCCGTTGATGTCGGACAGTCTGATACAGTTCACTGCAGGTTCCCGGAGCGCAGATACGCATGTTTCGCATATTTGCGGGTTGTAAAGATTCAATAGCGTCTCTCCCTCGAGGAAAAGAAAAGCGAGACCTCGCTTCGCATTGCCGGTTGGTTGGTTGGTTGACTGGCTTGTTCAAATGGGGAGAGGAAAGGATAGGTATATTGATGGACGAATACGTACGATACGACATGAAAACCTCTGATTCTTTCTTATTCGCCTATCAAGTTACGAACGTGTTATTGGGGTTTAATATCAATTTTGGTCGGCGTTGCTCCGACTTCCCAATGGTATCGGCACTTATTACAGCAAGGTAATATTGATCGCTCTATATACCAACATTACCGAGCTTGTCCCTCCTCCATTGAGGAAGAGGGAGGGGTGGTTGGTTGGAGTACGTATTACTAGATACAGCCTTAAGAAAATACTACAGTGCATACATACTACATACATCGAGGTGGTCCTTTCTTCTCTCCACTTAAGGGAGAGAGAGACCAAAGAGAATGAAGCCCTTGAACATTTCTCCCATCCGGTGATGATACCTGCGTTTCCCCGCTGCTACCACTACTAACTAACTAACTAACTAACTGGATTGTCCATTGCTACTACAGTGAGCCTGCAGGGCCCCAAACAAATGCCTTCGCGGCTCACGAGCGAGATCACATACTGGCACGTCGGTGATTCGCTCGTGGTAGCCAGGGTGTGTTTTTGGTCCCCGCGGCCGTGTTTCTTCTTCTCACAGGTTCAAAACAACATTGGAAACCTTGGAAAGACCACGGGAAGCAGAAGTACATACGCAATGTGACAGCCTTTATTTTTTTATTATCGCTACGCTACGGAATATTCAAACTGACGATAATTGGTCGTTACCTATGAGAGGTAGGTTAGATACTTTAGGTACTTACGTAGGCGCCAATGTTCGAAGATGGGATGGGGAGGCAACACGGGAGTTTTCGTCCTTCTCTCCGAATTTTGCAAAAGTACCATGTAATAAGAAAAAGGAAAAGAAAAAGAAAGAAAAAAGGCCCCATGTTCCCCAACTGGGTATCTCTCCGAAGCGTGAGGAGTGTCAGACAAACGTAAGATGTTAGCGCTTTTAGTGGCAGTGTTCCCGCGAGAGCTTTTTTTTTTTTTTTTTTTTTCTTCAATGCCTCTTCCCCATCGCGTGCATATGAAATACCTACTGTACATACATACATACATACATATCTGTCGTGCTCCGCGCCTATCTGTCATTAATTGCGTATCAGGTCGATCGCATGCTGAATTTGACAAGATCGAGGCCAGCATGGATTAAAATTCCACAGTTGAAAATATCATCATTAAAAAAAAAATAAAGGCTTGTGATGAAAAAATATGCTCTCCTTTATCCTTGTAACTCTAGCCCGGGAAGACGACGTCGGCCTTACGAGCTACGGGTCTGGTACAACTAGCGCTCGAGAATCCCACGAGTAAAATGGAAACGAATAGAGGTATTTGGTATGTACCGTGGTAAGTAATAGAAGCTTGGAAGTAATGTAGTATCCGCAAGTCCCGCACGGCCATGGGCCGGAGCGCTGGAAGAAGATCCCTTACCGGGATGCTCTCCAAACCTGTTCCCCTTGTCTGTCGTTCAACATCCCAACCCACTTCGTCAGTTGCTCAGCAGGGGGTTCCCGCGCGAATCCAAGCTTAGCCAAGGTTCGATCAATTATTTTTCCATATTTTCTATTATGTATTATTTTTTCACCACCGTGCATTGGGGGCACGTCTTACTCGGGGCCTGCACATATGTGAGTTACGTGAGCTCACCCTCACACTCACACTCGCACTCTCACACACTTACATAGTACACACATACTCTCTTCTGTCCCTTCCGCTCAGGAAACATGAGACGGCATGACCTCGACATACCACCTGCATATCCCTATCCACACCTTACCTGAATCTAGTAACTTTTACCTATATCCTTATGTGTATGTATATACCAGGGCCGGGATCAAGAACCAGGACCAGGACGTAGGACCCAACAGCAGACCCTCTTCTCACTGGGGCTTAGAGGGAAAAGAGGTTGATTCCTAATTTTAACCACCTAAAAAGTCTTGTCTTCCCGCCTTATGGACCACCTAGGTCTAGTCTTTACTCTCTTTTGCCCTAACTCCACCTCTGGGCCTGTTCGCTTGCTGTCATCTACCGCTTAGCTCGAAGCTATATACGAGTAGTCAGGACCGTCGAGGCAGTCCTGCCGACCTAGACTTCCAAGGACGAAACGACGCTTCCGGCTTTGCAACACAGGGTTGCCCTGGCTTTGATCGTCGTGCCCCGTTCGTGCTTCCCCTCGATGATCTCGGTTGTCGGGTGACTTTTTGCGGATTCGCGCGGTCTTTAGGGCTATACCATTGACCTAAAGCAAACATCCTACGTCTCCCTAGATCTGATTTACCATCTGTGCGTTGGTAGCTTCGTTCCATGTGTTTACAAGTCGTCCCACGTCATATCATCCAAAAAAAAACTAAAAAACCTCGGGATCTACTTATACATCACTTATATATATCTACAAATATACAACTGAAAACTATTTAGACCAATTATATTGATCATTACTAACTATTCAGCAACTGCATAAAACATGGCTGAAGTAGACGTTGCTGGACCGAGGAGTCCGACTCTCGAGACGCTCCAAAACCGCCAACGCGATATGCGGCGGGCACGACCGCCAGATATAACGATTCTTAAAAGCGAGAACCGAGTTCCGTTACGACCAGAAAGATTAGACAGGCGCGAGTCTAGGATTGGCTTAAGGAGCTTATTCGGCAGGTCGAGGACGGGGAAGGATGACAAGACGGGAGAAGAACCACTGCCATCGCCAAAGGAGTCGCCACGGCATGGTGGGAAACGCTCCTCGCTAGCAGACATCAGCGTCTGGCACCGGGGAATTCATGCATCTCGCTCAGAAGTTTCTCTTTTACATTCACCTCTAGCTTCGGTGAAGCCATCGCCAAGCGAATCTTTTCACTCGTTAAACTCACGAGGACGACGGGGAAGTAATGTCGATAACAAAAGCAAGCTTGGTCAATCAGTAGGCCCAATCACGGGCTTCGACCCTCCACCATTGTTCAAGATGTATCCCCAGGCGATCAAGCATGCAACACTACCTGCTTGTATCACTCCAGTAGAAACCCTAGTTCGCCTCAGCGAGTCCAAGGAGAGCTCATTACAGAGTGGCGCCACCTTCGATCAACGAGAGGCCGGGCAAAAAGCAGAAGGAGACAAGAAAAAGAAATCCAAGTTTGCGCCGGAATGGTCAAGTAAGATTTACGCGCTCGTTACCTCTGGGTACTTACTTCAATATGCGGCAGAAGGCACTTTTAACAGACTACCGGAAAAGATCCTCCATCTCACTCGAGACTCGGCTGCCTACGCTAGCGATCTAATTCCTGGAAAGCATTGGGTTGTTCGAGTGACTTCATCCATGAGTACCGACGGAAATCCATCTTCAGACGCAAAATCACTCCGGTCCAGACTTGCCCTAAGAGGAGCTGAGAAGCGACAAGTCACTAATATGTTGCTCGTTTTCGAGAGTCCCGAGACAATGGATGTTTGGCTCGCCATCTTAAGACGGGAAATCGAGTCGCTGGGCGGTAAGAAGAAGCTTTCGGAAACAGGAGACCTCGACGCGGATGACGATACTACTACGCTGAAGGCTCAGGCTAGCCAGAGAACTCTTGTTGTGCGAGATCCGACCCGTTTTTCGCGAATCATTTCCAAGGACTTTTCGTGGACTTACGAGAATGCGCTTGTGGATCCTACTGAAGAAAGCGACGCCAATAACCCGCCATTGAAGAGAATGTCGGAGTCAACTGTCGACGACGACTCGAGCACGGTTTCGTTGGATGGTCAACGCCTTGACAGTCTCCGAGATAGTGGGAGCGGCAGTAGTGGTAACCGACTTTCCTCCGTCTCATCCGGGCAGCGGACGATTATTTCATCAGCGGAGTCTTCGCCGACCAATTCCCCGATTCGAGCAAGTTTCTCGAGCCAGGATGAATATCTATTCCAAAAGAATCAAACCCCATTACCACCTACCCCCGAGGTTAGGCCGCGACCCAACGCAGCCGCGATTGCGAATCGGAGACAGTCGATGCAGACTCTCATCCCCGCATTCGATCCTCGCCTGGATATGGGTAGTCACCCGTCCTTAACCCTGCCTCCCCTTCCCCCTAAAACAAGTCATGGTGACAGGCCTCAGTTCGTACCTAACTTTAGCGTACCACACGCAATGGGTAGACGGTATTCGGCCGCGAATCTGTCTGTGATCACTCCGAGATCTGAACAGGCGCAATTAGCCGACCGAGACGGGCCCGTGAAGTTTCGTCCTTTCCGAAGAAGTCCGCCAACAACGCTTCCCATCTCCCGCCCTCTCTCCATTGTCCTTGATCAGCCAACACCAATATCACCTGCCCTTCCAACAGACAGGGTACCTGCTTTGCAGGCACCTGACTCGCCGACCATATTCGGCTCTTGGGCTAGCAACGCTATGAGACGACGGTCGCAAGAAAAGGCAAAGTCTCCGAAAAAGAGCCATCTGGCGAAACAAATCATAGATGAAGCTCAAGCTATCCCCACAGGGCGTCGTAGTACAGATGATGTACGAGTTAGTCGACAAGGTCCGACCAAGACACGTGCATCATCTATCCCTCAGCCGGCCCGTAGCCAGCCATCAAAGCTCGAAGACGCCCCTGAGGTACCGCGCAGGCCTGCCTCATCGTTTGAGATGCGGAGAGTTACAACGGACCTAGTTCCCAAATATGTATCTTACAACCGCACCCCGCCGCTAGGGGAGGACCATACAAGACAGAACCGCCGCTCCTTGACCTTCCCCAAGCAAACCAATTTGCCCTCCATCGAAGAGCCAGCTTATACGCTATCCCCGCCCCGCACATACTCACGAAAGCACTCGATCTCATTCCCCAAGACCATACAGCAGGAAGTGCCGCAAAAGCAATTTTTGACGATAGACATGGGTCCAAAGGGCCTTCTAACCAGGAGGAGCATGCCTCACCTCTCCGAGGGGCCGCCCCCTGGTCCTCCGCCGACCTGCGCGCTTCCTCCAATCCCGGGGAAACGGTCGGCCAACACGCCTAGGAGCGTCGACGCATAATGTTTGCTCGCTATTTCATGACGTATCCTGAACCTTTAACACACCAAGGACAGGAATTTTCCTTTTTGTACCTGCTTTTACCCTATTGCCCCTTCTTGTACGTCATTGTATACTCTACGACCTATGATTAACGAACGGCGTTCCAATTATGATTATATTACCACTAAGCATAGACCCATGGATATATGGGCAAAAAAAGACACCAATTACCCCTGCGGGAATCTTGTTTCATTAGCTAAGGAGAAAAAGAAAGAAAGAGATAAGCATAGTATAGTGCATTGGAAAGGGAGTACTTGGGACGAGGATGAAGACAAATGTTTTGATGCAATGATGGATATGACTAGAGATGAGCGGTGGTTTCACCACCGGGAAATATTGTGTCTGAAGACAGTACATGTTACAGCATGATAGCAACAGATAATCTTTTCTATGTATGGCTTCCTCTGGGTTAATGGTATTAACCCACACCAAGGGAGAGAGATAGGTGGATGAGATATTGGGGGGGATCTAGTATCTCACCTTAGGTGCCTATGTCAGGTACATATGGGTGTCAATGTATTACTGCAGGTAGTATCAAAAAGTAAAAGAACCAAAAATAAAAATAAAAATAAATTTTATGATAATTCGGCTGTTTTGAAACTCTGCGTGTTCTTCAGGCGAGCTGAAGTTAGGTAACATATAGATGTTGAGAATAGAGTTGAAGAATTCCCGTCACTTCAAATGTTGGATGTTGGAACCTTATCCTCAGCGCCTTGTAGGTACCTCTAGGAGGTAAGTATCAGGTGCGCACTGGCCAATCAACCTATTATTTTTAAGTGGAGAAGCCTCGTCTTTGAATTGATAGCGCGGGGCAAATCTCGTGGTGCCGATAAGACAATTTGAGACCCCACACTTTGCTGAGAAACTCTGACCTGAAATTGAAATTCCACAACAAAAAACGCCATCAGCAGCCCAGCAGCCCATAGGAAGATCCCATTTACCAAGACAAACAAATTTCAAGGAATATTAATATTCAGGGAAGAAAGAAAAATAACACATCACGAAAATGGCTTCTAAGAACAGGTAAAGGAATAATCTAGCGATTTAAACGTCTTCTAGCGTTGAAATGTGAAAATGCTAACGCACAAAAAACACAGGGATTGGGCCGACGACGATGAGATCGACGACGTCGCAGCAGAACTCCCCCCTCCCCAAACCATCCAGAACAAAGACGGTACCAAAACCACCATCACCTACCGATACAACGAGAACGGCCAGAAGGTGAAGACGACCCGGCGGATCCGCCTGGTGACGCACCGCGAGGTGGTGAACCCGCGGGTGGCGGAGCGCAAGACGTGGAAGAAGTTCGGCTTGTCGGAGAAGGACGGGGCGGGCCCGCAGATGGACACGACGTCAGTGGGCGAGAACATCATCTTCCGGCTCAGCACGAACTGGCGCAAGGACACCAAGGAGGAGGCCAAGGACCCCAACGCCAACGCCATGAAGGAGAAGCTCAAGGACAAGACCGTCAAGTGCCGTATCTGCAACGGCGAGCATTTCACCGCCCGCTGCCCTTACAAGGACACCATGGCCCCCGTTGGCGCCGAGGGCAGCGCTGCCGACGTCGCCGCCGGTATGGCTGACGAGGCCGCCGCCGCCGCTGTGGGTGCTGCTGGCGCCGGCAAGAAGGGCAGTTATGTCCCCCCTGCGCTGCGGGGAGACCGAGGCGCGGCTGGTGGCGAGAGGATGGGCGGCGGAAAGTACGGCAGCGAGCGGGATGATCTTGCTACGCTGCGTGTGACAAACGTGAGTTTCTACATACCCCTATCTCCTATTTCCTTTTCCCCATTCCATTCCCCATTCCCCATTTCCTATCCCTATTACCTCCTTCTCCTTTTTTTTCAATCTACCTCCCTTACCTTCGACTTCCGCGACATCTCTTCTAACATGTTATATCCACTACAGGTCTCGGAAATGGCGGAAGAACAAGAGCTCCGCGACATGTTCGAGCGGTTCGGCCGCGTGACGCGCGTGTTCTTGGCCAAGGACCGCGAGACGGGTCTCGCCAAGGGCTTCGCGTTCATCAGCTTCGCGGACCGCAGCGACGCCGTCAAGGCGTGCGCCAAGATGGACGGTTACGGTTTCAAGCATCTCATCTTGCGCGTCGAGTTCGCCAAGAAGGCTGCTTAAACCCAGTCATATTTTTTTCAGTCAGACGGGTTTTCTTAAAAAAGCATTCTTGGGAATTTATTTCCCTCTAGTTAAGCATGGTCTGTGATTATGAGGAGGGGAAGAAGAAGAAGGAGGAAAGCACAGGGTGTGATATGGTATGGCATGGAACGAAGGACATGGTACTATAGAGCTTGGTTCTACCATGCTGGGTGTGATTGTGAATAGAATGATGACTTTGAGGTACAATAGGACACCGGTATCTTAACGTATCTAAATCTATTCGGCTACTAATAGGTATCTGTCTTCGTTTAGATACATGTTTCTGCTGCTTTGCTGGTTTGTGACGATTTGATTACCTACCTTACATAGGTACCTGGTACATAGGTATATGCATAGTTTGCTAGAGACCATGAGTTAAGTAAGTTGTGTCCTGATCCCTCCCCTCCTCCCCTTTCTCTATTCTCTAGATCAGCTATCTTTCTAATGTATATCATACCATATGCAGCGAACTTCTATACTAAAGGCTATGGCTAAATTGTATACCTATCTTAGGTACGTTATTTAAAAGAGCCCGGACTTGACACGAGTAAGCATATCATGCAACGTTAAAGAGGAATGGGTATTACAATAGACGTACCTAAGGTAGATAGCCAACCATTCAGGAGATCATGTGAGAATCTCCTATATCAAGAACCCAAAGAATGGCTTTGAAAGAAGATACATAGTCTTCTAGAGAACCCAGGGCATCAAACAGCTTTACAGCTTGCCGCAAGGCTTTATATATATGAAAGAGGTCTTGACTTAAGGAACTGAATTAGGAGGCTACCTAACCTAGCAGAGCTAAATAACTGAGTAACTCCTGACCGTAACCTCCTATTGTAAGACTTACGCCCACGTTGAGAATCGTGCAGGCAGGTACTATTTTCACCGAGACTCGGCTGCTAACTTGAGATGCTATAGCGTTAGATAGTAAGAATGCGTTGTTCTTATCCTTCCATTTGATAATTCAGTAACTCGTTTCTATGTGCTCGTCTAGTTTACGGATTTCAGGAGGTATTACAACACTAGGATTTAATTATTACACCCATGCTCTATCATTTTTACCTACCCATACACTTCGGGCTTCATTTTATTAAAATACCATGTCCTCAAGTGCCAACTAGACACGGTGGTGTAAAACTTGAAATCTGGGTAATTTGATTGGGCATATCTAGGTAGACTTCAATGAATTCTGCTTAGTACACCAGTAGTGAAATTTTTAAGTTATGCTTTACGTAGTATACAGAAAATAAATACGTGCAAGACCGACGCAAAATAGGTGAAATTAGAATGACGATATATTTGGTCACCCGCGCGCTTCCAAATCACCACAATTCAACCCAAGTTTCTTTTCTTTTTTTTTTCTCCATCTTTCGAATCTCTTAACTTCGAATAAATACGCATTTGAATATCTTCAAGATCGATATGAGTAGAACGGCTTTGCACAATGGCCTCCGAAGACGCACACACGTCTTTACGTGCTAAGTGGACTCCCGAGCTAACCGCCGTATATATGGGAAACCCTCGCATCTCTTGCAAACGAGGGCATATTCGACGTCGACGATGAGCCTGGAACTTGGACTCCAGCTTGGCCGCGCTTGCTGGAGGCCATGCAGGAAGCAGATCCTGCGAAACCCTGGTCTACGGAACTGATGAAGGCCAAGCGCAGAATTGAAAAAAACCGGTACCGTCAATACAAGGCCCTGATCGAGGATTACGCCAGCTACGAGGAGGAGAACGAGGGTGCTTTCCCCACGCTATCCGAAGAGCAATGGGCTTCTTTCCTCGAAAGGCACCCTACAGCCAAATGGCTACGTACCACGCCCCTTGGCGATAGGGACATATACGAGCAGGCCTTTCCGTCCCAGGAAAGGTTAGGCAGCTTCATCGTGGCGGCTGGCGAAGAAGACACCCTTCTAGAAACCGTATGGGACGATTATAACGCCAATCCTACGGAGAAGAATAGGAAAAGGGCTCTAGACAGGGAGACGATACTTGCCTAGTTTATAGCAGCTTGCCGTGTCTTGCAAGAAGGGCTACGAGCTGTTGTTCTCAACGCGCTATTGTGTCTTGGTCAACTAATTTCAGAGGCTGAAGAGTGAGTGGTGTATTTAGCTATTTAATTACTGCAAATGAAAAAGTTAGTCATTTTAATATATATTGTGATGTGGGTAATTTGATGTTGTATTGGTAACGTTTTCTACCTCTTTGAATTATTATGGACTTGTCACATGCTTTTCTTTTCTTTTTTCTTCTTTTTTTTTTTCTGGCATATCATTACATAAGACCTGCCTCATAATCCGCGGAGTCGTACGGGATACCCCTCGTCGGATCGGGTCAAGTCCCAAAATATTCCTTACCGAACCAGACCCCTCTAAGTCTAGCCCCCTCCGACAACAGCTAAGCTAAAACGTCCCGTTTTCATTGGTGGTTAATGAATAGCCGGGGCTTGCAGACTCCTGCATTCTAGAACGTGCTGGTACCTAGCGAGGTGTGTGCAATGCTGCAGCTTGCATCTCGTCCTTGCATGTGATGCGGATCCGAAAGCAATCCTTCAGCCTTAGGAATAACGAATAAATAAATAGATTAGGTACCTGTACGTACGTAGATACTACGTTGGTATGTATCATCCCACGCGACTTTTCTACGGAGTAGTATTTATTGACACTCGAAAATTTGTTGACTAACAAGGGGGGGGTTGGGGGAAGGTTTGGCGCGGTTTGGTATGGTCGGCATGGTTTACCTTACCTCGCTCAGGTTTGAGGCCATAGTGACGTCGCACAGAAACGGTGCATAGGTAGGTATACAATACCTGTGTACATTTAGGTTAGGTAGTGCATATCTGGTACCTTAGGTTAGGTAGGTATTGTACAAGTACCTAACCGGTTAACTTACCTTAAACCTAGCGGATAGAAACGGCTGCGGTCTTGGTAGGTTATTCCCCAAAGCGAACCAGATGCCAGCAAATGGCTAGGTAAGGTACCTCTTACTTACCTACCTGGTACCTACATCAAATCTGTCAAATACAATGAATGTATCAGATGCATCTCACGTGGAACCAGGCCCTTCGTCACCTCACCCAATCGAACCCTTCCACACGCTTCTGCATTAAAAGTAGGTAGTTATATTCATTATTCGGTAATAAGTTCTCTTGTCGAAAAATAATATCCTCCACTTCTTTTTTTTCCTCTTTCCCTAATCTTCTCGTTCTTCTCAACGCTTTCCAATTGCCAAATTCAACTTTTGGCTTTTCTTTATCCCTCTACATGGCTGCAAGTAGACGAGGCTCATCACGCATCATTGCTTAAATCTAAGCTACCCGGAGACAACTCTTTAGACGTACATAAGAAGTATCTAGTCTAATGGCCCCAACGGGTGATTCCTCTGCCCAAGCTGGCGAACTACGCCGTAGGCAGGTGACAACGAATGAACATGTAAACAGTGATAGTGACGATGGAAGTGAAGATGTCAAACCATCATCCAGACCCAGGAAGACATATGGCCGTACCAAAGACGGAACAAGTAAGCAATAGCAATGGAAGTAGAATACGAAATCCACATCGGATACTAATAATTACCCAATTAGTCTTTACGGTTCCTACCACTCATGATATGGTATCCCAATTACTCGACCCTAGGGAACCTAAGAACATATCGGACGTGATTGTCCTTGCTGTTCTTGCCGGCCATATCCTGGCCCTGTATCTACTTCCTGAATCGCTGAGGCGGCCAGTGTTCGCCGCTGTCTTTCTGTTCTGGCGTACCGCTTACAACCTTGGCATTGGCATCCTCTTACGCCTACAGTCTAACGATAACAAACTCGTAGCTTGGGCTCATAAATGGAAGCTCTTCGAAAACCCGTCAACAGGCAAGAACCCAAGGCCGTGGCTGTATAAGATCCTCAAGCGCGAGCTGGAGATCAAGATTCCCGAGGATTACGAGTTCGAAAAGGCCCCAATTGAGTACAATACTTGGCTAGTCTTCAGACGACTTGTCGATCTCATTCTTATGTGTGATTTCGTCTCATACTGCCTCTTTGCTATCGCTTGCGCCCACGTTCCTCCTGGAGAATCAATCTACGTTACGATTGGCCGGTGGCTATTCGGCTGGCTTACCATAGGATTCAACATCTGGGTTAAACTCGATGCTCATCGAGTCGTGAAAGATTATGCCTGGTACTGGGGTGACTTCTTCTTCTTGATCGATCAGGAGCTGACTTTTGATGGTGTATTCGAGATGGCTCCTCACCCAATGTACTCGATTGGGTATGCAGGCTATTATGGTATCTCTGCCGTTGCTGCCAGCTATGCTGTTCTTTTCATCTCCATCGCTGCTCACGCTGCCCAGCTTGCCTTTTTGGTATTTATCGAGGATCCCCACATCCAGAAGATATACAACCCTCCTACTCGCAAGAGTGAGGTTCCCACTAGGCCCCGGATTCACAAATTGTTGGGTATTAGGAATATTGACCTGCTACGGACTGTCGACTATTCCACTTTCATAATTCTCGGACTCGTCGCTCTTTTCGCTTTCACCACACCCCAGACGCCGCTGCACCAATCCATATTCTTCTCGCTCGCGCTCTTGGTTCGACTTTGGTATTCCGTTGGATTAGGTGTGATCCTAACCCGACAGTCTAAAAGCAAAGCATGGACCCGCCACTTTTTGAAGGTAGGAGAGACTCCGGAGGAGGGCTGGCGACAGTGGAAAGGATACTACCACGTTACTCTCAGTCTGTGCCATGCTACCTTTATCGCTGCTTGCTGGAAGATGTATTCTACCCCGGTCGACTGGAATTACGGGTTCGTGCTGCTTAGGCACGTCATTGGTGCTAGTCTCATCGCCCTTCAGATCTGGACATCTGTGAGCATCTACGATTCTCTCGGCGAGTTCGGCTGGTTCTTTGGCGACTTTTTCTTCAACCAAGGTGCAAAGCTTACTTACACTTCGATCTATCGCTACTTGAACAACCCCGAGAGAGTGCTCGGCACTGCCGGTTTATGGGGTGCTGCCATCATCACATGGAGCAGATCTATATTCGTCCTGGCACTCATTAGCCACCTTCTTACTCTTGGTTTTATTCACTTCGTCGAAAAGCCTCATATGCAAAAGATATACGGCCGCAACCTTCGGCGCGAAGCTGGCTTGACCAAATTTATTAAGCGTTCCCTGCCTCCGCCTGTTGTAGAATGGCAGTCGAGCGTCAACAAGGTCATGGATGAGACGTCACACTTTGTGGAAGACTTCCTGGATACTGCACGACCAAAACTAGCAGCAGGTGTCTCGACGATCGTGAGGGATACTACAGCACTTTTCAACAAATATCCTGCCCGTCTTACCTTGACAAAACTTTCCCCCGACCTCGCAGGCTTGGACCCCAAACGGTATTCCATGACCGTAGAAGGCGAGGCGTCTGGATTCTCCGCTCTGTCAGAACGAGCTAGCGGCAAGGAAGGCACAGCAGGAAGATTCCCTAATGAGTTGAAGACGATGATCTTCGAATACGGGGCCCCGATCAAGGTCAAGTGGAGGGCACCGGCAAACCACGGTAGAAAGGATTGGATTGGTCTTTATATGGTAGCTGACAACCGATCCCGCGAGATCACTGAACTCTCATCTCTTGGACGTTGGATTCCCACTGTACCTGGCCAATTCGAATCTACCACAGCGGACAGGGGTATTCTAACGTGGGACCAACCCGTTGAAGACGCTGATAATAATGACGAAGACCTTGTATGCGGCGAGATGGTTTTCTCAGGCGATAAGCTGTGGTGGACACAGGGTGTATTCGAATTCCGGTACCATCACGACGGCAACCACAACGTCATGTCCATCTCGCAACCCTTCGAAATCCACGTCAACCACTTCGATTACAACGACGTGGACGCAGATACCGAGGAGGCTGTCCAGAAGGCCGTCGAAGCCGCGCTCCTGCCTGTAGTTCAAAACTGTCTCGACCGCGACCCAGATATCGCACCCAGCACATCCGAAGAACCCTTCGGAAGTCACGTGGAAAGAGACGGCAAGTACGCCAAGAGGTTGGTGTATGCCATCCACCAGACGTTTGGTATCGAGTTCGCGCCGGCGGTGGTACCTGCGGATGGAAACGTGAGGAATTTGGCTTGGAGGATTTGTAATGCGAAACAAGTACTGGTAAGTGACCACCTACAACCCCTCCATATCGCCTCTTCCACGAGAGCGGGAGTGGTGGATGTCAGGTATCAGGAGAAGAGGCTAACGTTCGTTATAGGCTCCCTACAGTATGTCCTCCGCGAAAGGAACAACGACTCCGGGGGATGAGAAATAGGAGGATGCCTACCTAGCTAGGTACCTATGTTACTTGATTGTAAACAGCGAAGTATTAGGGAGCACATACAGGCATACATACAGACACACGCATATGATTATACTTTATAGAAGTATCCCATACACCGCTTAATCGAGTAATCAAAATATGCGGTCGCGGAGTTAGAGAGGGGGGTTGGGTGTTTGAGTTGGAGCGTGGTGGTGTTTATAGCGGTTTGAAAGTAGCTGCAACTCGTAGGTACAGCGTTAGTTGATGAATAGTTAAATAAAAATAAAGGGAAATGGTAACGTGTTTACTTGGGTATATCGAGGTTAACAATAGGGTGCTATGCTGGATTTTTGGACGTGTCAGGGATGTTACTGAGACAGACATATGTTATACTAATAGCACTGGGTATTGAAAGGCAACCAACCTAGTCTTGTCTGTAGGGCGGATTAGTATATAGCAGGCTCTACTTCTGTTCCTTAGAGTATACTCTATCTATACCTAGGTAGTTAAGTTTCTCTTAAACATGTCCTATCTAAGTACTAGGTTGCTGAAATATTGATATCCTGCTATATGTACCTATAGGTAAGTTGATGGGAGTAATAACTGTATGTGCCTTATCTGGAGAGTATAACGTAGCAGCGCAAGGGAAAAAACAAGGTAAATATGTATATCAAGACTACATACATACAAGCTTAGGCACTGTATCTAAGAGAAAGAGGAAGAGAGTAACAGGTACCTAACATAATAACCAAGAAAGAAGTAGGTTTTTGATTTCTCAGTAAAGCCGTAGGCCAGACACAACAGGTATACAAAGCACATAAAACCACGACTAATGCAAGGACACCAAAAAAAAAGCACAGTACCCTCTTACTCACTCACCCATTCAATTCATTCATTCATTCATTCATTCATCATAGGCCCTTATAGATAACATTGAACAGCAATAAGTCTCTTCTATAACGCTGCTTATCTTTTGTTTCCCATAACCAATCCCAATAAATAAGCTAACTCGCTGACTAGACCTAAACCAAGCTTCGCTTCTCTTCGCTTTTCTTCTCTACTCTACTTCGCCTCACTTCATCTCATCTCATCTCACCTCACACAAGCCAAAGCAAGCTCAAGCTACCCTATCCTACCCTATCCTATCCTATCCTAAACCAGGCGATCTAAACCCATCATCAACACCCAACCCGATCCCCGCCTCCGAGCCGCCCTGCCCCACGGCGCTCCCGCTCCCGCTGCCCCCTTGTCCCGCGCGCCGCGCCTTCGCCCCCGCCTTCAGCTGCTCCCACTTCTCCCTGTAGCGGACAAGGTTCGCCCTCGCCTTGTTGTAGTTGCGTTCCGTCTCCTCCATCTGCTTGGCCATGGCCTGCAGCTGCTCCTCGAGCTCCCGGTTGCGCTTCGCGAGCTGCTCGTCCGAGATCCCGGCGTTCAAGATCCCCGTGCCCGTGCCCGTGCTCAAGGCCGCCGTCGCCGTCGTCGTCGTTGACGACACGGGCGCCGACGCTTTGCCCGCGAGCGGCGACCCGGGACGCATGAGCCGCATGCTCTCTGCCAGCCGCATCCCCGAGTTCTGCGACATGGACTCGAACGCGTGGAGCCGCTTGCTCAGCTTGTCGAGCATGTCCTTGAGGCCCTTGTTCTCGAGGTACAGCTCGTCGACCATGTTGGCCATGTCCCGGTCCCGGTCCCGATCGGATCGCTTGCCAGCTAGTCGATGGGCAGGTGGTCCACGGGCAGCCTGGGATTCCCTGGCATCGACGAAGTCGTCCTCGTCGGGATCCTCGAGGAGGACCCCCGCGCTTCCCTGTGCTACCAGGCGCCTCTTCTCTTTGTCGGCGAAGGACAGGATGCTCGCGTACGAGGCCGTGTGTCCGCTGGTGGGAACGACGTAGAAGGAATCATTTGCGGATTGCCCGTCGCGGGACACGGCACGCAGGGCAGCTTTAGAGTAGTACTTTCTTAGATCCGGCTCGGTGGAAACCGAAGAGGGTCCCCTGACTCTAGTACGCTTCTGGACTGGAGGGTCAGGGGTTGGAGCCGGAGCCGGAACCGAGGCCTCGGGTTGTTCCTCGTTGATCAGGGGGAGTCCTGCGAACGCAAGGGGGGCGGAAATCTTATTAATGATACTACCGAAGGCGCTGTAGAACCTGGAGAACCCGTCATCACTAGTATTAGCTTGCTTATTATCTACTCGTTCCTGGTTTGATACGTCGTCTTCTAGGCCGGAACTCGACTGTCTCGAGAGTCTTCCTTTCTCGGGAGAATTGGCATTACTTGGCCTGTCAGAATTATCAAGCATATTTTGCATCTTAGTTTTAGATCCACTTCTACGTGAGGCGCCCTCCATGTTTCCAGGGGCTTCTGTATTGGACACACTTGGGCTGAGCGGCTGAGACCTGTACTTGGAGCGAATTCCGCGGGCGGAGGCGAGATTGCTCGCAATGGAAGCCCCGAGATCGCGCGGGGGATACCGCGGTTGCTTTGGAAGGGTTGGCAGAGGCTGCGCATTTTTTTCATTTGAAGTTTCGGTGGAATTATTGTTTGTAGGTGGTGACGAAGAGGCTACACTTGTAGCCCCTTCGTCCTTTTCACTGGCCTGAGAGTCATTTTCGGAAGCGGCCTGGGAGCTGAGAGGCTTGCTCGGTAGTTGTAGAAGTTCGGAAAGTCTCCGATGGTGCTGCTCGAGCAACTTCAAGGTACGTAGAGCCTCGACGCTGCTGGTGTTCCGTGCGGCGTTGGCGAACTCACCGGCGGCTCTTGTATGTTCGTTAACTGCAACGGTAGTATCAGAGGCGTGGGTTGCTAGAGACGCGGCTCTCGCATGATCATGCGCCTATTACTCGGTAAGGTGAGCTATGAGCTGCGGAGAATAATAATAATTTGGGACCTGGGTAAGGCATGAAAGAATAGGAGGTATAAAATCCTACCTTGATTAGAGGCGCAGAATCCATCGTGTGAAATTTGCGAAATACGTTCGCAAGGCCGGAAGTGATCAAACTTTAGGTACATGTACGATGGAGAGATGTCGCCCCCTCGTATGTGGGAAGGGTATATACGTATGTATGTATGTAGGAGGTATGTTAATGTAGTACCTAGGTATCTGAGTGTCGAGAGCTTGTTTATGACGATAAGCGGGAGAAGTGGATGTTGCAAGTTACGTTTGCACCAATAAAAAAAAGCTAGGGGTGTATTAAAAGAGAATGCATCTCTCCCATTTGCGAAGATCGGGTGCGGAAGTTTGGAGCGAATAAGAGCGGGGCGGAGGGGGGGGGGGAATTTAGGGGGAAGAAGAAGGGGGGAGGGAGGGGAAAGGACCGCAGCAGCCGCAGTTATTAATTAATTACCTAACATAAAGAAAGTTTCCAATTGCTTTTTTTATGGGCAACCGGCAACCTCCTAGCGGGTCAGCCAATTTATCCTTCTAATTGGTACATTACATAGTACATACGTCTCGTCGTATAATATTCGTATACACTATTATTCGTATAATTACCTAACCTATATGTACTTGGGATTATGTGGGTAAGTGGGGTACTTTATTTTAGGAGGTAGCAACAGCTTCATCCCTGAGAGCTTAAATGGAAGCCTGGACTCTTTGCCCTTTCCTTTGTCGCATACCTCCCAGCTTACATAGTAGGTCCCAGCTTAGGTAGGTTAGGTTGGTAGTCAGGTAGTACGATTATGGGTGTCTTGCGTGTTACGAAGCGAAGTTGAAACTTGGATGGTGGGGTTCATTCCAATTCTACCATCCCAATTCTATCATCCATATGTACAAAAGAGTGTGGCTGGCGAATCTAACCTTTCCTTATTCAATTACCATACCAGGATTCATGACAACATTGAACCATGACAACCTATTTGCCCCGTCCGGTCATTGAATGAGGTCGGGAACTTGGTGTGGGCTTAATCATCTACGTTACAACAAGGGAGTAATCGAGCATCGGCCTTTTTTCTAATCTACTCCTTTCGATATTTATGTTCTATTTATTAGAGATCGTAATATCATCTAAAGCCGAATTTAAAGAAAGGAACATTTCACCAATAATTAATCGGGGAAAAAGTGAAAGGTAGAAAAAAAAAAGGAACAGGCACAGTTGACAGTATCGACCTCTAAACAGAGATCCCGGAATCATGACGACAAAGTCTCGGTAAAAAAAGAAAATAGTATTATTCTAGCTGCCTAAAGCCATCCGAAGCTCGAATTAAATACGCGGGACGTCTAACTTGGTCTTTGCTTGCATATACTATTATACTACCTACATACATATAAGGTATGCTCATCCTATAAATATACCTAAACAACACTTCTAAGAGGGCGAAGGAAATAACTCTTTAGCAATCACCCCCCCTTTGTCTTCTAATATCTCCGGGATATATCAACTTGCTGTGTCACCTTCCACCACCGTCGGCATCTTCACGCCGGGGGATCCTCGTCATCAGTAGCGGCGGGCTTTCGTCATCATGGATGTCGCAAACTCTCCCAGTCCTGGCAAAGTTGGGAAGCTCCTCCCCAAGAAGCTAGCCACAAAAAAATGGAAGAAGCAACCTTCAAAAGAGAGTTTCGGGTCGACGGCTAGTAGCGAAGGCTACCTTTCTCGAGGAAGAAGTGCAAGCAACCTTGGTAGGAGAAGCGACTCCTTTTCGACTACGCAATCTAACGAGATGGTAGGAGCTGGAGACGATGAGGATGGAAGAGAAGAACCTGAAGAGAGCCCCGAGGCTTATTATTCTGACCCTGACGATGCGTAAGTAGTATTCTTATTTTTTTTTTTTAAACTCGCATTTTTATTTATTTATTTAATTCCATGTCATCTATTTGACTCCATTTACAAAACCTCCCTTTGGTTTGATTATCTACCTCAGTTATACGCACATCATCATACCTAAATATGTCATATTATATTATATCATTTGCTTATTTATTTCTTGACACCCCCTCCCCCTCCTTTGCATCTCTCTATCTGTTTAATTCTAGGTATTTCTAGTAGTTAAATAAGACTACAACCAAAAAAAAACCCTTACCCCTCTGCTCGGTCAAGCTGACCGGAGATCAATCCCTGCCTACCTACCTATCGAAGGTTGGAACTTGGAACTTGGAATAACTAAAAGGTAATTCCATTCAACTTTCAACTTTGGGTATATGAGCACCTTGACTACGCACAGCCAAAAACCAACAATGAATTATACGTTTCGCACCCTCTCAAGAATCAACTGCTAGTCGTTATTTATTTATTTATTTTTTCCCTTGCGGCTGTAAGCTGAACAAGTTGTAGGTGGCGTTAGTCGACTCCGCCTACGCGATCTAATCCCATTAACCTAGTTGAATACATCTTGTACCCATCCTGTATTCTCTTTTCATTCGCTCTACCTACCCCGGTAACCCGGTTCGTTACTTTTTTCGTCATACCTATTGTATCATCTAGTGCCTTCATTCCCCTTATCTTCAAAAGTACATGCATACACCACCTGGGCACATAACACATACATGCACAACTACTATTGGCCTCACCGTTTAATTCTACCTGTTGTAGTAGAGTTTGTGGCTTTTATCCACTTAACACTTTTAGTCTTGGTGGAGCGGTCGTCGAATCGCACTTAGCAACCAACAGATTTTATTGACCTAGTCATTCTCATAGGTCTGCGGCTCGGCCCACGGTTCCTTCAACTCATCCGTCCCAAATTGGGCAGTTGACAACATCGTCACCCTTAATCCAGGCTGATCACCTTCCCCGAGTAAAGAGTCAGAGCACCGACGATTTAAACAGAATTCCACGATCTACTACCTTCGCCGTTACTCCCACCCCTAGCTTTTCCTTCGAGCCGGCTCGTCCATTAACCCATACCAAAACTGGCTTGCAACCACCCCAAGCTTCTTCGCAACGGACGAAATCGCCTTCTGGTAGGTTCAGGGACGCTTTCAGGGGTAAGAGAAGCATAAGTGGTGTACAGGAGGTTGGCAGCGACATTCAGGCAGAAGCTGCTGGTAACGAGGAGGCGAAGACGTCTCGGAGGTCTACTACCGGGTCTACTTCTCGGCCAGGCTCGAGTGCAGCTTCACAGTCCGACACCAATGACATAAAGATAGGGTCTTCTTCTTCTTCACGTTCAGGTCGATCAAAGAAACCTCCATCTATTGATACTTCTAGCCGCCCCCTTACACCGCCGACCGTCGAACCTGCAGCTCTGGTTGTCGTTAATACACCGCCGACCCCGACTGAGAGTCACCGCTCGAGGAACAATTCATCAGGTAGCGCGGGCTCGATCCCAAATGTGATTGTCTCGTCTGCGAGTAGTACAATAGCGCACCGACGAATGAGATCAGGATCTGGATCTGGAGCAAGTATTGGTCCAAGCAAGCTATCGAACATAACATTGGCTCCTCTGACGCCGACACCTGAGAACCCACAAACTCCTGGAGGCGGTTTCTTCTCGAGCATGTTATCTGCTGCACAAAACGCTGCCAACACTTTAAGCACTACTATTACAAACAGCAATATAGGATCGGGTGGAAACAAACCCAAATCGAACGCCCCTAAACAGACACAGCCGAGCGACGACGATAGAGTAGAAGTTGAGACGCCTGCTGGACAGTTGAAGAATACTAACATGGGCGACAAAGAACTCGCCGTTAAAACCCTCGGCAAAGGGGATCTAAGTCTGAGCCAGTTGGGAATCCAGGAACCCGGAAGCATCGTACCTACTCCAACCACTGCCAAATTCTCCGACTCTACATCCGAATCAAGGGCGCGTTCCGAATCTGCACCAGTGGATAATACGACTGTATCTGCTAATGGCGATGGCCAGTCAGACGACCTGACGATAGGAGGGCCTCGATCCGTCTCTGATAAAGCCGGTGTATCTCCCCCAACTAGTATATATGAAGGTAAGTCAGGCCTACAACGTACTGGTAGCATTAAGAGTGCTCTGGCCCGGACAAGACGGAAACGCGGTAGTACCGGAGGGACCGCTGGAACCGCTGGAACCGGAACCACGATCGGTGCGGCCATCGCAGCAGCTAATGCCTCTGTAGCCCACCCTTCCGCCGCCGGTAGTACCCCGAAGCTCACGGGCTTTGCTGTAGCGAGCAAGAAACGCAACCGGGATTTCCACGCGTTGTTTAAGAGTGTCCCGGACGACGACTATCTCATTGAAGATTATAGCTGCGCCCTCCAGCGCGAGATCCTTGCTCACGGCAGACTCTACGTTTCGGAAGGACACCTATGTTTTAGCAGCAATATCTTCGGATGGGTCACGACCTTGGTTATAAGCTTCGACGAGATTGTATCCGTCGAAAAGAGGAGCACCGCTTTAGTCTTTAGGAACGGCCTGATGATCTCGACGCTTCACGCGAAACACGTATTCGCTAGTTTTACCAGTCGAGACTCGACTTATGACTTGATTGTTAACATTTGGAAGCTTGGACACCCCTCCCTGCAGAGTTCGCTTAATGGAGTTTCGCTGGAGGGAACCGGCGGTGATAAAACAGAGAAGGTTGGGGATGCCGATGCTGATGCTGTAGTTGGAAGCCGAAGCGGAACAGGATCTGAAGAGGATGAGAGCGAAGACGGAGAGGATGTCTACGACGAAGACCAGGACGACGAAGCGCTAGAGACAGCCAAAACTACCGACGGCAGTCCTGCCGACACGGATGGCGAAAAGTCTGGCGCTAGAAAGGTATCTGGCGCGGTCGCCGGCAACGGCACGGTTGAGAAGACAGATTTTGCCCCTGCGCCTTCTGGAGTGGCTGATTTCCCAGGACCAGCTACTCATGCACCGACAGATTGCGGCGAGGCGGATACTCATTACGATATAGTTGTCGGTGATGACATTGTTCCTGCCCCTCTAGGAAAAGTGTACAATTTGGTATTTGGACCGGCGTCTCCGGCGTGGATGGGTAAATGGTTGACGGGCGATCAAAAGTGCACCGATCTACAGATGGAGGACAAGAAAGGACTAACCGTTGACCACAAGAGCCGATCATTCACTTACATCAAGCCGCTTTACGCCTCGATAGGACCTAAGCAAACCAAGTGTTTAGTGACCGAGACAGTAGAGCACCTGGATCTTGAGAAAAGTGTCCATGTACTGGTCGCTGTGCAGAACCCGGACGTACCCAGTGGTAACATATTCAGTGTAAAAACCAAGTATTGTCTTTCCTGGGCCGAAAACAACTCTACCCACGTAAATATCAATTGTACCATCGAATGGACTGGCAAGAGTTGGCTTAAGGGTAAGACTAAGGATCTTTCTCCGACGACGTGATTATCGAGTACTGACATGCGCAGGACCTATCGAGAAGGGGGCTAAGGAGGGTCAGACCCAGTATTGTAAAGATCTCTTTGCCGCCCTGAGAGCAGCGGTTTCTTCGACACCTCGCCCTGTGGCTGCTAATGGTGGAGCGGCAAAGGGTAAGAAGAAGCGAGCTAAGGGCAAGTTGCACCAGGCTTCTAAGGAAAGCTTGACGAGCCCATCAGATTTAGCAGTAACGAAAGCTCAAGACTGGGGCGTATTTGAACCGCTTCATGGTATTCTCGGCCCCGTTTTAGACATTCTCAAACCGGTACTTACCGGGAATGTCGTGTACGGATTACTTGTCGGGTTACTAGTGGCGACTTGGTTTGGTTTTGGATTCAATGGCCAGCCGAGGATTGCACCGTACGGGCGGGATTTGAGATTCGTGGGATACCCAGACCGCATGGTCGCGTACGATGAGATGTGGCGACGAGAAGAAAGCGATCTATGGGACTGGTTGGAAGATAGAGTAGGACTCCACCGCATGAACGAGGGGGCGATGCCGGTACGCAAACGGGTAATACATCCGCGAACAGTCGAAGAGAAGTTACGCGAGGAGCGTATGGACGAGCGAGAAATCGAAGAGGCTATCAAGGTAACAGAGGAGAAACTACAAGTCCTAAAGTCGGTCATGGAGAGAAAGAAGACGCCACCAAAATCCAGTGGCTATGGCAAACCAACGACTAAAATACCAGCGACCGAGATATAGGGATGAAGGAAAGGAGAAGAGGAAGAATCAAGCAGCAAGTTTTTATCACCCAGATATTATTATCACACAGCGGCAAAGCTACGACAGCGGATTCCATATGTCAGCAACCATATAGCATGCACACGACGCCACGACGAAGCACAGTGTTTTCTTTTTTTTTTTCTTTTCCTGTAACCCATAGCCGTGTATCTCATCTCACACAGACTTGTCTCGAGTGTCACTTCTGTTTTTTTTTGTTTTTAGCTTCGTCTAGGTGTCCGGGGCGTATGGCTTTCGGGGGTTAGCAATTCCATAAAAATTTCATTTTGTAATATGAAAATAGCATTGCAACTTGGGTACGAAGGAGTCTGTTATAGAAGGGTGATGGAACTGTGATATAAGTATATATATATATAGGTATATAATCTTAGGTACTTTTAGATGCATATCAACAATATCGAGTTTTGATACTTTTTTACCTCTTGCTTTCGAGGTATGTGCTATGTATAATGTAGTCGAACAGCTTCCCCCCTGCTTCAAATTACTTATCGTACCTAGGTACCAAAGATAACGATAAAGTGGATACCACTTAACGCGTACCAGGGCAGCTACAGCCGGGCAGGGCATCAAAACGCGTCTTCGATGGCGGGGTCCAACTCTCTAAAAGTTGTGCAAGTTGCAGCTTACAACTTACAAGTTACAACTTACGAGAACTTACCTTAGCAATCAAACTAAGTCCAAATTAATTATTTACCAACCATCAGAAAAGATTGCGACGTAATTCATTCGGCACAATGGAGGAAGACGACATATCCCACCATTATAATAACAGTCACCGCGCGTTCCTACAAGCGTTCATGGCCCGCGGCACCATGACCTTCACCCAAGCCCAGCCGATCCTCGCCGCGATATTCACAGCCCACGACCAAGACGAATACCAGAGCGGGAACAGAGAGGAGGAAGTCACGCGCGAGGACTTCGAGTCGTACGTCTCGGCCGCGTCGACGGCCATCTCGCCTTTCGACATGGAGATCCGCCCCGCCACGCACCAGGTCACCAAGGAGCGCGTATACTCGCTCATCAACACGACGTCCGACGCCATGACCCAGCTCGCGACCCTCCGCTCCCCCGAGGAGATGGCCTTCGTCAGACGCGTCATCGACGCCATGTTCGACCGCTACAACTCCCCGCGCATGGAGGTCATGTGCCTCGACGGCATGCAGGCGAATAGACTACGAACGGCGCCTCGGAACGAGGACGCAGAAAACGCAAACAGAGAAGAGGATGGGGAACCGCAGCAGACGCAGACGCAGACGCTAAAGGGCCTCAAGAGCAGCGAGGTGGAGCAAGTGCTGCGGGGCCTCGTGGACGAGGGCTGGTTCGAGCGCAGCCGAGCGGGGTTCTACTCGCTGTCGCCGCGGGCGCTGACGGAGCTGCGGCAGTGGCTGGTGGACGCGTATAACGACCCGGAGGCGGGGGACAACGAGTGGCAGCGGATCAAGTTCTGCGAGGCGTGCCGGGAGATCGTGACGGTGGGGCAGCGGTGCGCGGAGCGCGACTGCTGCGCGCGGCTGCACGACATCTGCGAGGACGCGTTCTGGCGCACGCGAAGGGAGCGCAAGTGCCCCCGGTGCCGCACCGCATGGACGGGCAAGCACTACGTCGGCGAGCGCGCGGTCACGGAGACGGAGGCGTATCAAAGGGGGAGGAGACGTAGTGGGAAGGGAGCAGGGGGAGGGAGGAGAAGTACCCTTGTGGAGGGTATTATGGATGGGGAGGAGGAAGAGGAGGAGTAGTAAGGGGATGGTATTTGACTCTCTCTCTCGAGACTTGCCATTCATGGTCCTATTCAGGTGGAGTATGATAGTGAGATCTGCGACTGCGGTGAAAGCTACGGCTATGGGATGTGTTTATTTGTACGATTATATTCGGTCTACGGGGGCCAGACGAAAAAAAGAGAAAGAAATGGACAAAAAGGAATCGGAACGGATGCGGGAAAGGGAGGTGCTAGATTTAGATACCCTTGGACTCTTGTTCCCCTGAAAATGAAATTGCAGCCTTGACGTACATTCGTGATGGTTGTTGTCTAGGTTAATTAATTATAATTTATAATATTCTCTCACGGAGTTACTTATATTCTAACTTAACGGGTTAGGTAGCTATCTTCTACGAGGCCTCCTATGTTTGCCGCTTCAGTGCTGAGTACTTGTAGTTATGTACGATACATGCATATACGTACATATAGGTACCTACCTACATACCTATATGAGTACTTTATGCAAGTTCTATCGAGCTCTCGCCACAGCTAATGGTGGCTGTGCAAATCATTGATCTAAGCCAAGATATCGGTACAAGGTATGTGCCTAATGTACTTGCAGCTCCCTAGCATTAGCGAGCATTTCGCATCGCAACGTAGGAGCCAATCATTCATGATCTGACATACAAAGATAAAACAGGCTTGAGCGTTTATTAAAGCTGGCCTTCTGCAGCAATCGGAGACCAATTCATTTATTATCCTCCTTTCACCTTTCACCTTTCTTCCTTCTAAACATACCTAGTTACCTTAGGTACTTTTACTATCATACCTACCTCTTACACTCAGTATAAGACATCAACATGCTCGAGTTCTTTTCGTATAAGAAAGCGAAGAAACACCGGGAGGATAAAGCTGACAAGGAGAAAGAGAACGATAAGGGCAAGGGCAAGGGGAAAGAGGAAAAGCCAAAGAGTGATGCTGCAAAGCTTAGCACCGATGCTGCTCACTCCGAATCCACAAGCTCCCCTGAGATCACCTTGGAGCGAGTAGAGGGTATGCCTATCCTCGACCAAGAAGATGAAAAGTTCCTCGAGCGCCTGACTTCCTCGTCAGATAGAGGCGCCAGCAATGGCAACGGCGATGGCGACGATGACGAAACACCACCGCCCTTGCCCCCGCGGGTCAAGACGCCTGTCATCGAGATAGAGGACAGCGACGCCTCGAGTCTCGCCGGTAAGGAGGAGGAGGAGAATAAACAGGAAGTTTCTACGAAGGATAGTGACGAGGGCAAAGGGAAAGATAAGGAGAAGCACAAGGGCAAGGGCAAAGGCAAGGATAAGGACAAGGATAAGGACAAGGATAAGGACAAGCACGACGCCGATCACAAACCCAAGCGCTTCTCCTTCGTTACGAACCTCTCGCGCAACATGTCCCTGAAGCGCAAGCCCACGCAACACCTCTCCGTATCCGCAACCTCTTCCTCCCCCTCGGAGCAAGAAATCCTCCAAGAAGAAGAAACCGACATCGCGCGCGTGCTCTCGGACCTGAACCTCGCCGCCGCGGCCGCCGCGTCCACGGACGACAAGAGCAGCGGCGGCGGCAAGACATCCTTTAGCCTGTCGCGCGAGTCGGCCGACACCCTGCGGCGGTTCACCCAAGTCCTCCGGGACCTGGTCAACGGCGTGCCGACGGCGTACGGCGACCTGGTGCGGCTGATCGAGGACCGCGACGGCGCGCTCGCCCGCTCCTACGCCAAGCTGCCCTCCGGCCTTAAGAAGCTCGTCGCGCAGCTGCCCGAGAAGCTCACCTCGTCGCTGGCCCCGGAGCTGCTGGCCGCCGCCGCCGAGGCGCAGGGGATGAAAGGGATGAGCGTTGACGGGGGGGAGGGGAAAAATGGTGCAGGAGGGCTGAGCAAAGGCGAGGCGGTCAAGAAGCTGCTCGGCGCGAACAATCTCCTGGAATTGGTGACGAAGCCGGGCGCCGTGGTCGGCCTGCTGAAGGGGATCGTGAATGCGTTGAAGGCGAGGTGGCCGGCGTTCGTGGGCACGAACGCCCTGTGGAGCGTCGCGGTGTTCTTGTTGTTGTCTGCGCTGTGGTATTGCTACAAGCGCGGGAGGGAGGTTAGGTTGGAGAAGGAGGCGTCGGATGCGGCAGCAGCAGCAGCGGAGGTAGAGAACGCGAAAGGGGGGGAAGGACTGGTGGAAGGGGTGGGAGAGGGAGGAGGAGATGGGGGTGTGCTGCGTATTGAAGGAGGAGGATCTTCGGATGGGCAACTACAGAAACAGCAGCCGGTTGTGTCTGTATCCGCGCCGACATCTTGAGAGGATGCGGAAATGTGGTGGTAATAAGCAGATGATACCGTTGCTGCTCTGTACTAGGAAATAAGGAGGGGGGGGGAGACAATCAACAAAGGACGAGTGGGCAACGTGCAGGAAAATACGACTACGAACGAGGACGCGGAGGCAGGTTATACGGCAGGAGGGAGGTACTGCTGCATGAGTTACGAAAGATAGGTCTGCGATGAAGATAGATACCCGGGTTTTTCATGTTTTCATTTGATAGGTTAGGTATGTACATATAGATATAGGATCGGTACCCTAGGTAGGTACCTAATTTTGGGTTACGACGTTGCGGTTTGCGAAGACGGAATGCGAAAGCGATGATGTTTAGGTACCTACCTACCTAGAGTACGAGTAATGGTAATAATAAGTAAGAGCAGCAATAATAACAATAGAGCTACGGAAGGCAAGTTTTATGTGTGATCCCGTCTTATGTAGTGCGTCTAGTCTAGTCGTGATCGAAAAAGGGGGTGAGTGGGTGGGTAGGTGCATCTTTGGAAAAACTCGAGGTGGAATGATTTTTATTATATTCATATCATTCGTTTCATATTAGCTTCCTTGCTTGTTAGGCTACTATTTCCACAGCCAGTAACGGTGAAAAAGACATCGGCAATCCGCATCAAATTCCAACTTGGGTATTTTGCCATGGTCAACAGACCTAGCCTATTATTGCCTATCTGTGTCTGAGAATAGTCTGAATACCTCGCATGTGCTATATGCTTAAGTTGATTTCTTCTCCCAGCCTGTAAGTCGAACTATGCTCTCCAGCAACATACACCGCTCTTCTCGCAGCTTGCCATGTCGATAACCTAGGTGGATGGATAAACGGTCACAAAAGCCCTACTCTCCGCATACCAATGCCAAGATTCAGAATAAGCCAACCACCTCCCCTCCACAGTCACACGTCGCCAGCCTGAGGTTGTCCAGGGCTCCCACCTCTCCCTCGGCCTTCCCTCTCTCTCTCTTCCCCCTCATACTTCAACCCCCAAAAGGCCCCTCCGCTCCATCAACGAAATCGTGATAGCTTAAGAGACGCCCGGCGATCGATAGCAGGAACCTTAGAGCCGCGCCGCAGCGCATGCTAGTCGTCCTGGACGAGCTCCTTGATCTCCTCTCTGCCGGGGGCTATGCCGGCGGTCGTCTCGGCCTTAGCGTCGCGGCCGCCCGTCCGGTCGATCACGCGCGCGCCGTCCCGCATCCAGAAGTCCACCTCGTCCACGATGTCCGCGACCACGTCCTCGACGATCTGCTCGTCGTAGCGCTCCGCCACGGGCCGGAGCTTGTCCAGGGACCCCTTCGATGGCGACGACGCCGGCGGAATCGCTACCGTCACGGTATCCGCGTCCACCATGTCCACGTCTCCGTCTCCGTCGTCTCCGTCCGAGTCCGAGCCTTGATACCCCGGGGGAGGGTACCAGAACTCCGGGCCGAAGTTGACTTCGGCTGCACCGCCCCGGAACACGCTGATCGCGGGGTAGTATCCAGCCATGCCGTCATCCATGCCTTCACGGGCACCGACCTGAGCTTGTGGTTTGGAAGCCGGTGGTAGGAAAGCGAGAAGGTCGGTGAAGGGGGTACCCATGAGCACGCCATTCTTGTATATGCGGATGCAGGATTTAGGCAGCGTGCGTAGGGCCGGGACCGGGTGGTTGGAGTTAGGCTTGTCGGGTGGTCTACTGCCAATGGTGCCTGAGGGCCCTGCAGGCGACGGATTCATCAAGTCCTCGAGTTCTTTGGTCGTGTGGTAGTCGATCTTTTCCAGGTAAATGTGTTGCTTGAAACGGATCGGTATTCGGTCTCGCACGATGTTGGCAGCCTCCATTATCGGGTCCTCCTCGTCGAGCAAGTCTACGGCTGGATTGTATTGGCCCTGCACGACCTTTCTGTGAAGATGCTCGGACGGCAACTGGATTTCGAGTCCGATCACATCGCCTTCCCTAATCTCTTCGCCGGGTGGGAAGAAGTCTTTAGGCCGTGACATGTGGACCTTCTGGCCTTGTACATCTCTGATGCCGTAGCTGTAGGCGTCAAAACCGACCGGCGCGTCCAACGAAGCTTCCCGTCTCGCAAAGCCCATACGCACGTGGCCGTGCGACTCGATGGTTCCATCCGCGTTGCTTTTGATAGTACCTCTCGTAATCTTACATTCCCAGTACCAACGTCCCTGGCGCACGGCCACATTAGCTCTTGCCGTCCTAAATCCCTTATCTGTCGTTATATGTCGACCTAACTGGTCCATGTACATGTGTGCGGCAGCATCTTCGAAGCTGATATGGGCGCCATAGGGTTCGGGCTCGGTCTGTCGGTAGTAGAATGAGGAAGGGAAAGCTGGGTCGGCTATGCAATGCAGGTAATGGAAGCTCTTCTTGTTGAAAACACTATGAGTACCTAAGGTTAGTAAATGGGAGGGATAACATAATATCGAATGGGACCTACTGTTCGGAGGTCTCGTAAAACTGGATAGTAGAACCGTCGGGAGCGGGTACTTCGTGATGGGGTGTAAAGACGGGCCCTCGGGCAGTTTCGAAGTCGGAAGGTCTCGGAGGTGCTAACTTATAACGCAAAGGCGAAGACTCGTTCGGAGGGAGCTCCTTAATCTTAGGATCGGGTGTCGCTCTAGAGCTATCGGCGCCTGCTCCGGCTTTGGACTCTCGCTTCTTTAACGTCTCCTTTTTATTTCTGGCAGGCTTTTCGCGTGTCATGGCGGGCGCGTCGTCATGCGACTGGTACTTATTAGGTTTTAAGTCGGGGTTGGGGTTGGGGTTAAGAGGGGAGGAAACTGGGGGCGCGTAGTCATCTTCGAGAGGTCGTTTCTGGGGAACGGAGATGGGGAGAATAGGAACGGGTACTGGGGTGATTTGCCTTTTTGGCAGATCCACGTCAGTAGCCATGGTGACTAAAAACAAAGGGGGGGGTATTAATTGAATTAAACGACTTAAGTGCTCTAGGCTTTTTTTTTTTTTTTTTTTTTTTTCAGTTTAAAAAAAAAAGAAAGAAAACTACGGCGGGATACAAATGCTAGGATCAAGACGACAACGGCGTCTGAAAGAATGCGGTGGAGTTTTGTTTAAGTAACGATAGTTACACGGAATCTTGCTGCGGCTCTAAACTTTAACGTCTTACATAGGTAGTACACCTAGGTACCTCTGGTTAAGTACCTATCTATAGGTATCCGATCCTTCTTAATGTTAGCGTTGCATTTTATCTAGTGCAACTCAGCATCCCGACTGCCCGTTGTCAATAGTATTGTATTGTACCTAGAAAAGTTTAAGATAATAGAACCATTTAAGGGTAGTATCATTATTCATTATTCAACTAGCTGCGACTTTCTATAGTGGACCACATTAGCTGCAGTGCTGCACTGCTCTGTCTCTCAACACTCAGTATTAGATTTTAAATGAAGACAAACACTCGCACTGAGATTGAAAATGTACTCTTATGTTGCATTCTCTATGTACCTATGTACTTAGCACTGCGCAAGTAATTGATTGTCATATAGATAGCATTAGCTACCTGGTATTCGTAAATGCATTTATCCTGCATTGCTTATGAAATTGTGTAAAGTGCAAAAGAATAAGGCAGAGAAACAGTCGTCGAAGAAAGCATTGACCTTTTGCCGGAACATAGCATGAACACGTCCCACAAGAAATAGTGCATCGCATGGATTTTCAATGCAAGGCAAGTCCTACACAAACGAGAGAGAAAAAAAAGGGCGAAGGTAAGAAAGAGCAAGCTTGAAAAGTAAGAGAGAAACACCTCAGAAGAAAAGTAAAAAATAAAATAAAAAACAGTTTAAAAAATTGGCAAAAAGATGCGACCACCACGGGACTCGAACCCGCAACCTCAGTCTTTCACTACCTAGAAATGAACGATAGACGTTATTTTTAGGAGGACCGCGCGCTACCATTGCGCCAAGCAGTCGGCTTTCTGGTTCGTAGGCACGATCTTTTTCGGATCGTGCCACGAGCGACTGTTCGCTTGGAAACACGGCGAATTATTTACGTTTATATACGTTAGTTGGTTTAGTTTGCCACGCTAAGTTGGGGGGTAAAAAAAAGTCCATTCTTTGTATGTGTGTGTGTGTGCGGGGCGGATCGTTAGTGTGAGACATATGTAAACCCAACTGGGATGGAACACTGACTGACTGATTTGAGCGACTCATTATTTGACCTCAGAAAAAAAAGAAGGCCGGGTACTTGGCACGGTAGCAATCTAAGCTGCCCATGCCGGCCATGTTGGGGTTGGCTTGCAAGGTTGTTCATTTTAAGGTTTGGCGATTTGGAGAATTTTGGAGGGGTAAAACGATGCAGAGTATTGTGTGTACAAGTACCTACAATACAGCACCTAATAAAGCTGCCTTTGTACTATGTAATACACTGTAGGAAGGTGCTATTCATATTCAACATTTATCATTTTACAAATCCATGAAAAGTCCATAAGCAATTTCTCATCCTATTATACATACAATAGGTACTCGACTTAATCTACCCCGGATACGTCGTCGTCCGGTTCTCCCCAGAACGTCACACACGTAGCAACCGCATAATCTCCATCGTGGCTAATACTAAGCCGCCCGTACATATCCCCGGTGCCATGACCTTTTATAACAGCCACGGGCGGACTAGTTTGCCTTGGTTTTTCTATCTCTTGAGAGTCCGAAGGTGAAGGGCTCTGCTCTGCCATAGGATGACTAGAAGACCCTTTGTTTCTTAACGATTTGGCTAATTGGTGTTCGTAGGTAATTGTTATGTCGTGGAAGGTGACCCTATAAATATTACAGGCTTTTATAACAGCTTCCTTTGCAGCCCACCTAATATTCATGTGTAAGTCAAAATGTCAAAAGAAAACGTTCTATACCAACCTTCCAGCCATAAATCTAGCCGCATCCAGTATGGCAAGATGATATTGCCGGTCGCGTTCACCATTCGAGTCGTTTGAGGACGGTTTAAACTCGTGAAATACGGGTTCGAGGACTTTAGACGATGCGCGAACAGCGTTTATCTCCTCCTGGGTCAGGACACGACGAACAAAGTTTACACCCCGGTTTTTGGTTAAAAGACTATAAATCCTTGGGATCCGACATATATCGGTGCCGACCCCAAATGAGAATGGGAATTTTCTAAGAGAAGCCATCGTGTAATCAACTACCTAGGAGATAGGTACCTGTTACTGCTAATTGGAAGTAAGTTGATGAAAAGAATTGTTCTACTACAACACGCAACGCAACGGAACGCAACACCTAAAACAATAATTCGAAATGATGACCTAATCTTAATCGCCAACCCCCAGAGAAATAAGAAAAAAAGGAATTTCAAATATTTTACCTTTGTCGTGTATAGGTATTTCTGTTCTGATTCTTCTACATTATCAAATTTTAAATTTATTTTTAGCTATGAATTACTATGACTGACTGATAATAGCTGATAACTGGCGACTTGTAAACTTGCTGGTTTTTTTTTTTTTAAGTGCTCATGACTTTGAAAGTCTCGCTTCCCGTCTTCCCGATCCAACCTAACACCAATACTGTCGCACCAATCAAATCCCTTCAAGCAGCCCGAAAACGATAGTAAACGGCATCCATACATTGTTGGGATGAGGAGAGTTTTTCATTATTATAATCCCCTTTCTCACACATACTTCTTCATAAATCCGGTGAGAGATTTCTTAGGATCCTTATCCTACAATGGGTGCTCTTAGTTCTCGCCAAGTAGCGGTGCCCGCTCGGTATCGGCGTCGCGCGCCGACGCAACCCTGGCGTTTCTTCCGGTGGGCACGGCAACTAAAATAGTAGCCACGAAGAGGATCGCCATGATGATAAAGGCGAATATCCACTGGAACGCAATAACCTGTCGAAGGAACTGTGAGACGCCGATGGCCGCTGATAGGACACTTAGACTGAGGCCCATGGTGTAGTCCTATGAAGCGTTTGTTAAACAACCCGAACATGCAAATTGAAAGACATAAACTAGTGGTAAGACTAACCTTGTAGATAACGATGTAAAACAGGCCGTACACCAGAATTGACCAGATGAAAATGTTACCAAAGATGCGCGCGACGAGCGAGGCAGGGTGAGGAACCATGATGGCTCCGTTCCAGTAAATTGCGACAAACGTCCAGGCCAACGGGCCCGAGACGACGGGATAGTGGATGAAGCGAGCGTAGCCCGGGTGTCGGAAGTACAGCGACGTCAAGTTAATGAAGTTGAGAATGATGAACAGCTCGGCCCAGCCGAACAGCGAACGCACGAAAAGCATCACAAAAGCAAAGTGGAACAAGTTGTTCAGGATGAAGTGGCTTCCCACTGCGCATGCTTCGTTTACACGATTGACATTGCCGGAGAAGAGGTGTGCGATGTAGACGCCCTGAAAAACGAACAGTACGATCCTGAAACATATACATATTAGGTCGACTGTCTGGTAATGATGGGTACATCATGCGCCTATGGCTTACCAATAGATGCTAGCGATGATATGGTTCATCCGGAAGGCCGTCTGGTACGCATAGTTCTGATGCCATATTTTCCGGTGAGGCCAGACGCCGTCATGGGGCGAATGAAAGGTATAGTATACCGAGACCACGATCGATAGCAACCAGGTGATAATCGTCAATAACTTGTCTGTTACGTGTTAGAAGTGCCATACTATCTCCTTCATACTTCACTTTCCCAACAGGTGAGTAAACAAAAATTAGAAGCAAATTATAGCATACTGCGAATAAGTCAGCTCGGTTTGTTGAAACAGTATACATCACACAAGACCATACGAGCTAGCAATAGCTGTATATAAGAAGCTGTTATACATACCAAGCAATGATAGTGTTCTTTGTATGGGTATCGCGTTTCGCGAACGGGTTTACTAACAGCATGATCAGTATAAACTCCAACCAATATCCTCACTTAACAATCCATAATTCAGAGTATACACGTACTATGATGAATCCGTTCCATTATGACAATAACTTTCCTTAGTTTACAACCGATTCGTGTAAGTGGACAAAGTAAGTCAAGTCAAGTAAATAGAGACAGCCGGCTGTAGATTGTACTATCCAGAATACAAGGCAAAATCCCGAAATATCCAAAAGAAATCACAGGGAAATAATAGCAGAAAATTTTAAAGGAAGAGAAAAAACGAAAGCCCAATGGAGTTTTAAACTACGGACATTCGTGGTTCAAGCGTATAAATCATGACAATTCGACAATCTTCAAGGTGGTCTAGGCTTTGGGGGATGACGATGGTGGGGTCCCTTGTTTAATGGTTTAATGCAGCATTGGGAAATAATGTGCGGGGGAGGCTTAGCGGGAAACGAAGAGAGAGTGGTGACGTCGTGCCTGAGGAAGAGTCTAAGACTAGGTACCTAGGTAGGTACAGGTACCCAAGGTAATTCCTAACCTCTATGTCCTATATTATGTACCTACAATACCTAACATCAGAAAGGAAATCCTCACCGAGTTTCGATGTACCGCTGAAGCAGGATTTTCTTCGCAACCCTCCTTGCATCTGCGAGCATGAAACACAAACGCGAACAGCCTATGAACGAGATGCAGCTACCGATCTCTGTTCGCATTGCCTATAGGTTAGGTAGGTATATGGGCTGATACACGTAACGACGAATCAAGACGCCAAAAGTATTTGCCAGGACGCAGGACTAGGGGATACCGTATCATCAATTACAGGTATTTACTTAAGTAGTGACATGTAAAAAAAGCTACCTATCTCTGTATGTAAGTGACTAGACGAGACAGAGACGGGGATGAACAAGTGAATGTATTAGGTAAATAAATAAGTATGCAAGTAAGTTGCGGATGCTACCCCCTAAAGCTGAAAGCTATGCTACGTCTACTAGAAAAAGAGAAAAGGAAAAAAAGAAAGAAGAGAAAAATCTATGACGCTACGTTGTTACACGCACGGATTACGAACCGCAGACGTAATACCGCACCAGACGTAGTAAGACGATCGAGATGGGTTCCTTGTCACGAGGAGTAATTAAAGGCCAGGAATAGTTTAGACGCGGCTTGAGGATAGGGGGATTGGTTGGTTACCTTAGGTATACATAATATACTGCCTATTAATGCTAATAGGTTATGTAGATCGTTTGCGGACGGGAGAGGCTTTGTTCGGATATCGTGCACTATCTAATGCAAGCCCAACCCTTACATAGATCTACCTATGCACTACATAGTACATATTTATTGGTATGTATATATTGTTATACAACACCTCAACATGTCGAAACGAACAAAATCGAATTAACTTAACTACCTAGGTACCTTAATGCGAGTAAAGCTTCTTCAGCAAAAGAGGGAGCATTTGGTCCGGCTTCAAGTATGAAAACCAGATACTTATGTGGTGCGACGCGAGCAGGCAGCTCGAGCTCTTCGTAGCATCGATTACAAGTTTGGTTCTGGGATTTGCTTTGAAGCTTGATCGGGACGCAGCTGCGTCGTTTTTCTATTGGTCGGAAACCTCCCAAGCTGCGGGGTGAGGCGAGAGACACTGTCGCATCGCGACCCTTTTGGCCCTTGGTCCTTCGGGATTTTTTATACCTAATACACTACCTACCTACCTAGGTACCTAAGGAAAGGGAAGGATTTGCTTATTCTCCTGCCCTGCCGCCGTGGCGTTGGGTTTCTTGGTCACGGGGGTTTTATCGTGTCTGCGTCTGCCTTGGAGAGACGTCACTATAGATGATGGTTACGCCTTACGTAGGAGTGAACAGGACGACTTTGCTTGGCGTAGGCGTTTTCTTCTAGTCGTAACCAAGTAGTAGGAGAACCCTACCTCCATGAACAAGCCACAGCGTCAACTTATAGGATATGACATAAGAGAGGCAATTAATGCATAGGGTTACTCTATTTCTCCCTGTTGCGTTCGAATCTCTCGAATAAACCCCATTAGCCACGCCCATCCCCAGGATTAGTGACTTCCTCTCATGGCAGTGCTGGTAGCGGATACAAATAGACCTTATACTAGAATTCTATTGTCGCTAGTCCTCGTAATGATACTAACTAATTACAGCCGTAAGGATCCTATTTAATATCTAATAAGACTGAGTTGCCCTCGAGGTACCTCCGAGCGCTTTGTGGAGTATAGTCGCGGGGAGCTATCGAGGATAAGAGTAGCATCTCAGACCTACCTATACTCCGAGAGAGTTGATCGAGTCGTCTCACTAAATCCTTCTTCCTCGCAGCACTACTACATATGCGAAAGGCAGTATCTTCTCAGGCAGGTACCCATCCTAAAGCCCTTGTTAAGTACCTTTTATTAGGCCATGATGGCTTTGTCGTATATAATCTCAACTTCCGACACGCGTTGACCTTGCTAGCAAGTATCTGGTTGCACTGATATTAAGTATTCAAGGGGTCCGATGTCGTGAGATTTGCCTAGGTAAATACCAGGGTCCTGGGAAACACGAGCCTTTCTCACCACTATGAATCCTCTCAAAACACACAGGGGCGAGTTAGTAGCAAGGTACATGGGATATTTGGGATGAATCGTAAAGCCACTCCCTGCTGGAAGGCGGCGTTGCGTAAGCAACGATATGTAGTGGGCAAAAGGATGCGATACCGTAGACTGATCTAGGATAAGCTCACGTCCGAGAGAAGAGATGGAGGGTAAGTATCCTAAAGTAATTTCAACCACTCATTATTATCTAAAGGTATACATACGACTTGGTCTCATAACATATTCGTAGAACTAGAGGGTTACTTCCAGAATCTAACTAGTCCCATGGTTGAGTATAAAAACACAATTTCATCCAAGATTTGAGTTATGCTGCTATGCATAGGTGAACAAGTCAATTCTCTTTGATGGCGTTGCCTCGATTTGCTTTGGGACAGCGCGGGACGGACAGACAATTTAAATGAACGCGATCAGATGTAGGTATTTTCTTGGGGATAGAAATCAGCGGATTAGGCGCTCTAAACCAACCCGTATGCTACCCACCTTCACCTTTATTTGTGAGTGACCTTTTCGCTTTCCGCGCAGTCGCTCGTAAAATATGGGATTGACGACAGTAGATACCTAGGTATACATATCACTTCGCTCGGGAGCTTGCGGCGTACTACATCGACCCTCCAGAGTTGGTGGTTGAGTAGGTAGATAGGTTAAATAATTCAAAGTAACCACAGACTTAATACTTACGAATCATTCTCTACCTATACCAAAATACCATAATAGATGTACGGACTAAAACTACAGCCTGGTAGGTATTCACCGGTGAAGTGCGCTTTATATTGAGCCGCCTGACGTAGGTGTGCGCCGGGGCTCGTAACAATCAAAGTTGCGGTCGGTGAAGAGCCCATGCTACTGCAACTACAGCCCACTAGCCAAATACGAAGACCATCAATACAGCTAGGGCACAGAGTAAATATTGGATTCGATATTCTATTTTAGACCTGCGGTCTGAATTCTAGAAACAGGTTTCAAAAAGGGGTATGCGAAGCTCAAAATATCAAAATTCAATTGTGTTTATTCGGTCTAGGGTTATTTTGAGTTCCTATGTTGAGCACCCTGATGGCGGTCAGATCATGTACCGGTGGGATGGCGTTGTTGTTGTTGTTGCGCATGAAGAGTTTGGCAAATTTGGTTGTAGACATGAAATATTCTATCTATTTCCGGTGAACATTTCATTGTCGAGCACCAGGCCGGCGATACCAATGTATATGTAGTATTGAGGAGTATAATAACGATGCAAATTACTCTTTACTGTAATACGTAGACTATGAGGGGATGAGTATAAATCAAGACCTACCTCTCTATCTCGGAACTGTTGGGGGAACAATTTACTAGGCAATTCGCCGACTGATAAACTTACCTAAGTGGGTGCCCGCGCAATATTTTTGCGTCTTACCGAGCCTTGTTTTTAGCCGTTTGCAACGTAATATGTAGCGTCTTAAGCCAATCATTGGTGTGATATAGAATGCATATGCTTCCCCGAAAACTCCATCGGGGTGTACCACAAGACTGACCGCTGGCCGGCTGCGTTGAACAGGTGTAGTGAGGGGCAGGCGATTTCAAGATCGAGATTAATTGTGATAGTACCGGCCCCAAAGACATAGAAAATCTTTCCACGTTCCCCGACAAGATCTACAAGTTGTAGGCGCGAATCGTGTCTTGGCGTTCGAACCGTTCATGATAGCATAAAATCCACGGCTCTTCTGCAAATTCCCGTACCATCCGGCGTCTCATCGAGCCACGTTTCTCTTTCTAAGGAACGGTAGTCGGCGAAAGATGTAGTAAAGTCAAGCAGGCTATCAGTAGGGATTCACCGGATTCACCCCTTTGGTGGGGTTTCGGTGGACCAGTTCTTTTTCGGCTAGGCCCAGCTCTTTCATGCCCCTTCTTCTCGACTTGTTCTAGAAAAAAATGCATCCGATTGTCACTTCTTTGAGATCGGGGGGAAATGTCCCAGAAAGCCCATGTGTTTAACAGTTTCAGTCAAAAGAATCAGTTTTAGTGACAGTCTTCTGAAAACCAAAGTATCAAACCCAATTTGTCCTGGAATGCTCAAGGATATGTGTTGGGAAACCGGGAGACGGGAACAACCCATGATTAGGTACCTAACGTCCCAACGTCCATGTCGGAACCAACCTAAAACCAATCACAGAGGATTGCGTTAGTTATCAGCTGACCTGTCCTTCCATATCAGTATTTGAGACGATAAGGGAAACTGCAGGTGAATCTGTCTCCGGATATCGGCAGCGCAACCGACGGTGTTTATTTGTAAAGGAAAAGCGGAGTTAGAAAGTCACAGCATCCCAAAAGGTACTGACACCAGTGTCCCCCGCTCGTGTCTTTATAAATCAAAGCACGATAAACTTCATCCACCTAGAACCTCTTCATCCGGAAGCATCATCATTCCATATCCAATACCACTTCAAGTATCATTAGTAGACAATATATCGTCCTAGGAAATCCGAAATTGCTATAATGAACCGCTTCGAGCAACTCGTCCAATCCATCAAGGAGGAATTAGGGCCGTCCTCCGGCCTGACTTCTGCTGATGTGAACGTGGACCATTTAACATGTATGATGGATCGATATATCTCCGACGAAAAGGAGTGGTCCAAGTTCGCATTGGCGGATGCCAACATGGCGTATACCAGGAATCTCGTTGACGAGGGAAACGGCAACGCAAACTTGGTAAGCGACAGCGCTCTGTCTTTGTCTAGGTTGCCAAATATCCATAACGACGTACTGACCGAACCAGCTCGTGTTAGTTTGGACTCCAGGGAAGAGCAGCCATATCCACGACCACGGTAAGGCACATTGCCTGATGAAGATCCTCCGAGGCAACCTCACCGAGACTCGATACGACTTCCCCGACGGTGATGATAAGAAACCGATGCAGGTCAAGTCGGAAACGGTGCGGAAGGAGAACGCCGTGGCCTATATGGCCGACGAACTCGGACTCCATCGCATGTCCAACGAGGGAAGCGACTACGCCGTCTCCCTACACCGTAGGTCCCCCCCTTTTCGAGAATAAACATTCCGAGCCGCTTGGCTAATGTTGATAGTATACACACCACCGAACGTGGCCAAGAACGGATGCAACATCTTCGACCCTAAGACGGGGAAGATGACGCATATCTCCAAGTTCGGCAACTATTCAGAGCACGGGCGGCGGTTGGAGAGCTAGAACACTTGTAAGCTATGAAGATATTATTATGAAGAACTTGTATGGAGTTTTGGGAGAGGCTCTCGGTGTCCATTGTCCAAGGTGTTTTCCTTGGCGAAATGAGATTAGGTTTCCTTTTGTCAACTTGACGGAAGTAATGGTTATGATTATCCCCTCTGGCTATGAATATCCTTGAGAGAATGTTGTCACGTAGACTTGACATAATAGACTTGATATAGTCTTGATTATCGCTAGAGGAATCTAAGTACCTAGGTACATCAGGTTCCCTGTAGAGAGCAATCAAGAGTGTTGAGATACTTCATACGATAGTAAATCAAATAATGTGCATCTGTCGTTTCGTAATTCAAGAAATTATTTGAAAGACTGGAAGACGAGTGAAGTTGAAAAAAAGAAGAGAAGTCGTTGGGTTTGCGGCTCTTTTCGTAATATTTGCATTCTTCTATCATGTTGATTTGGCCTAGCTCGGATTGCACCATCGCCATGTTGTTTCATTCGTCGGGTGTTGATGATGAGACCTTCACTTTTGCCGTACTGTTTGTTTACTGTGCTGGAAACTGTGCCGATATCCGTTGTACAACTCCTGCTATAGAAAGCTTTCCTTATGCAAGTATAATGAATGCACTAGTACACTAGGTACCCAGGTATCCGACTAACCGATAGGTTCTCCTTGGCCAGTTGATCCTGAAAAGGTAGGTCAAGCCAAAACTGAATAGCTTATTTATGTCCACTAAATATTCATAACTTGCAGACTGTCAAACAATAGCAAAGGAAGGAAAGCCCATGGCCCGTCTTTACTGCCAGTAATAATGGAATCTTTGCGAAACGTGCAACTGCCTGATCGTCTTATCAATGTTGTCATAGGTGATGCTGTAGCTGCAGAGGCCCTTCCACGAGTTCGTCACGTGAGTACGAGAAGCTTAGACCTGTAAAGAGTGTACATAGTAAGGAAGTCGCGTTTACAGTTTACTGTTTGCGCGTCAAAACCATCAACTCTTTTTTTTCTCTTTTCTTCTTCACATTTTCTCTTGAGAAAAAGTGATCTGGTCCAAGATACCTCGTTTTGTAATTGAGTCCACACAATTTTTACCTTTGACGTAGGCACCTCCTATGCATATGCTGTTTTAAAATTTAGGTTGATTTTATTTCACAGAACCACTTATAACGTACATATTGTCGTTATTTTTGGGTACCCTGTTTCACCCGTGATGCCGCCAGCCAAGCGTCGCCCTAATGCGCATCCGGCGGGACAACCTCAATCCAAATCTGCCCGCCCTAACAATGCAGCTTCTTCGCAGTCTTCAAGTCAACTTATTGACCTCACGGCCCCTCCATCGTCTCTTGGTCATGCCAATCGGCTACCACCAAGATCCGAATGGGCCGTGATTGATGATGATGAAGGCTTTCCTGACCCGAGTCAAAGCAACGAAGATCCTTCTTCTTCCTATGAGCTCTATGGGACCTTAGACAACAAAATCGTAGGCATTCGGTATTACAACGGAGTTGTAAATCCGGGCGAGAAGGTCCTCTTGCGCCGCGAACCCGGCAACCCCTATGACAAGAATGCTATTCGCGTTGATAATGCCATGCGGAATCAGATTGGACATATACCTGCCACACTTGCGGCCAAGCTTGCACCATATATCGATAGCGAAGATATCATCCTAGATGGTGTTCTTACAGGCCACAAGGAAACTTTCACTTGTCCTGTTCGTCTATTTTTCTACGGCACTAGTGACCCTAGAAACCGTCTCTTATTAGAGGAGAAACTGAAAGCAGATAAGCTTCTGAAAGCGACACAGCTCAAGGCTACTAGAAAAGAAGCAGAAGCCCAAAGGAATGCTGCCATGCGTCTGAGATGTAATGCATCCACCGTAGGCTTGGGAACTGAAGAGGAAGAACAGGAACGGGAACAGTCACTCCAAGAATTGGCCGCAGGCAGCGAAGCCGTACAGTTTAGAGGTGATCTTCGCTCCGTCGACGTATTCTCGGTAGACGAGGATGCTCTTTCCAAGCTACCTAAGGCGGATCAGCCCGCGACCATCAAATCAACACTGCTGCCATACCAACTCCAAGTAGGATATTTTAGCTTCTTGTTTTTGTGTTTAACGTGCTAATGGTCATTATAGGGGTTAGCTTGGATGATAGCTAAAGAGAACCCGCAGCTCCCTGCCACAGGTTCAAAAGAAGTTGTGCAGCTTTGGAAGCGTCATAGCAGCGGGAATTTTCTCAATTTGGTATCCAACCATATTACTAACACACCACCACAATTGGTCTCAGGCGGTGTGCTTGCTGATGACATGGGGTTGGGCAAGACCCTCCAGGTCATCAGCTTAATCATGTCGAGCGGCTTTAGTGACGGTCCGACTCTCATTGTTGCGCCAGTAAGTGTCATGAGTAACTGGGAACAGCAGTTTGAACGACATGTGCAGGAAGACCAGCGCCCCCGAATTTTTAGATATTATAAAGCTGGAACGTATTCCAAGGATGAAGTTTTGAAGCACGACGTCGTCATCACGACTTACGACAAATTGCGCAACGATAAATCAAATAAAGGAATATTATTTTCGATAGAGTGGCGCCGGGTAGTTCTAGACGAGGCCCACGCTATTAGGAACTTTTCGACTTCCAGGGCTAAGGCCGCATTCGAGCTGAAGGCCAAATCTCGTTGGATGTTGACTGGCACGCCAATGTAAGCCTATTAGAAAAAGTCTTAGTTCAGTTATTTCGTTGACGATGCTGACGTGCCATTTATAGCGTCAATTCGCCCAAGGACTTCTTGTCGGCTCTGAAGTTCCTAAGAATGACTGGAGGTATCGAAGAGACTACATTCTTCGTAAACATGATTGACAAACCTCTATCCAGTGGTACAGAAGGGGGAGAGAATGAGTTTAAGCTCGCCAAGCAGCTATTCCAGTCGTTGACTCGAGACCTATGCCTTCGTCGGAGGAAGAATATGAAGTTTGTTGACTTGAAACTGCCTGCCAAAACCGAATATATCCATCGCATCAAATTTAGGAATGACGAGAAGCAGAGATATGATGCTTTGTTGTGCGTATTTGGATTCACTTTAAGCCCGCTTAAGAAATCGCTAACCAGCTCTAGGTCGGAAACTACGAAAGCGCTGGAAGCGTATCAACAAGAAAGAGGAGGTCAAAACAACCGTCAAGGTCCCCAGATACGATTCACAAGTGTCCTAGAAAAGCTTCTTCGTCTCAGACAATTGTAAGTGCTATTATGATGAATCGGAAATATTACCATAATACGATCATCATGGTCTGTTCTAGCTAACTCCCGTATTTACAGATGCTGCCATTGGACATTATGTGGAGGCCGGGTGAAAGATGTCTTGCGACCTCTCGAGAACAAGAAAATTGTTGATTTCACTCCGGAAAACCTCAAGATTTTACAGCAAGCTCTTTTAGCTGCCAATAACGAAGGCGAAGAGTGCCCGATCTGTACCGATGCAATCAGCATTCATGACCCTATTATCACAGCGTGCAAGCACCGTTTCGGAAGGCCTTGCATTGCACGAGCTCTAGAAAGAGATAAGAGATGCCCCATGTGCCGCCAGTCGTTGAGCTTAGAGGCCATTGTTGGACTCGAACCAGTAAATACCGACAACCACTTTGACGGTGATACACGAAGCTCAAAAACGGAAGCTCTGGAGAAAATTTTGAAGGCAAGGCTCGAGGATCCGGAGTCAAAGGTTGTTGTCTTCTCGCAATGGACTTCGTTCCTCGAAATCATCGCAAAGCTGCTAGATGATGCCGGATACAAATACTGCCGTCTCGAAGGCTGGATGACAGCGACTCGACGCGATCAGTCCATAGATGCCTTGAATAACGACCCGGACACGCGTATCATGCTAGCAAGTCTAGCCGCAAGTGGCGTCGGCTTGAACCTAGTAGCTGCCGATACGGTTATACTTGTAGATTCCTGTAAGTCTACCCAACAGATGCTTTATCATATTCGTCTTGCTAACTGCAACATAGGGTGGGCACCAGCTATCGAAGACCAAGCCATCGATCGCGTGCATCGCCTTGGCCAAACACGTGAGACAACAGTCTGGAAGCTAGTGATGGATGATAGCGTCGAGGAGCGCGTTCTCAACATTCAAGCTAGAAAGCGAGAGCTAGTCAGTCTAGCGTTCCAAGACAAGGCCAGAGAACAGAAAGACACAGGTCGCCTAGACGACGTTCGACAACTGCTTTCATAACATGATCTCTTAAGGCTCCTATTGTACTTATGGCAGGCTTGGTCACTACATTAGGAAATACGTTCTGGTAGGAATGGCGGCGTGGAAAATAGATGGATGAGGGGTTAGATCTAGAGACTACCCATTGCTGCAAGGCAGGATCCTTGTTTTGATATGGCACTAAAGAGTTTTGTAGATCAGTTATCCGCCAGCTCCAGGATACTCTCGCTAGATAATTCCTAGGTACAGCTGAATTTACTTCCATTCCTTTATCGTATTTAGCGAGATATCATATCAGCGGTTTCTTTAAGTGAGCTGAGAGACGTTAAGGGCTGAGAGATTCGGGGCAAATCTCCGAACGTGCAGTGTACCTGTCTTGAAATGTCAACGTTACATGGGATAAGGTACACTACCTAAGGTAAATACGATGACATATCGTAATACTGTAGCCTTCTCCGCCGGCCAACCTGGATTGCGGGGTGAGTGGGCAGTGACCGGCAAGCCAGCAACAGACGGGCGAGTGATGTATGCACGATGCCAACGCAAATACGAGGTCAAGTGCATATCACGAACTAAGAAGTATCTTTGTATACAACTCATACCAATCCACAAACAGCCGATTCTTAACAAAGGAAAAAGAAGAAGAAAAAAGCCTCGCTGTAAAATTCGTAGCAAAGTTGCGAAGCTGAGTCAGACGGCTGAATTACGTTTGCTTTTCTTACGTTCGTGATAGTAACACAGGAGAATGATATAGTATATGATGTTGTCACTAATACATACATCGTATCCAATAGAGAGATGGTGGAAACTCCACGTGGGTACGGGTAGAGAGGATGATCTACCTATAATCTATTATTGTTACTATAGTGCTAGGTTAATACGATATATAGAGACAACGAATCAGTAACTCCACCGGCTGAACTCACGCAAAGCGGTAGGCTAGCCCTTGGCGGCGGGGGCTCGTGTTCGTTTCGTTAAGGGTGGCGCGACGAAGCTCAAAGTTCAGTTCAGCTCTACCTTAGCTTGGCAGCTTTGGCTGGGCCTGATGCGACGTTATTTTAGGTATACATAGTAGGAAAAGAGGAAATACTACCTCGTACCTAACTGCGGGGAACTCTGCTGCTGTAGCTTAGGTTAGGTAGCTACCTAAGGTTAACAAAAGCGGATAAAATCTCTCGATCCCATTGCCCGAACGAGAACTTTCCTCGGACAGGAATGGAAAAGGGAAGATACCTAGGGTAAGGGATAGGGCCGGGAGAAGCCGGTGTGGACATGGGTTAGGGTTACATCGATCGGAGTACGGGGAATGAAGAGAGAGATGAAGAGGGAGAAAAAGATAGAGAGAGGGTCGGGTCATCCTGGGTGCCACGCGATGTGATGCTAATGCGTTCTTGATCCTTCCACGCAGTTGCGATGTCGCGTAGGGCTTTTTTTTAAAGGCTTCTATGAGAAGTTCTATAGGACTATTACGTAGTAGCCATGCTCATACTATAGTACCTTATACTAGTCATATATGGGGTACCTAGTTATACAGCAACTAATAGCTACGATGTAATATAGTATTACATACCTGTATTACATATCGCGAAGGGTGTGAGGCTGACCTGACCCCTCGTAGAATCTAACCGGAATGGTTAAAGTAGTCTCGCAGATTGCAACATCATGTTGCCATCGTGCCATTTTTCTATGCCTTTCTCTCTCAGCTCGAGACGAGAAACGCTATTCGACAGAGCGATTCTAAGTGGAATTATATCCATATTAAACTACCACTGTTACTACTACTATAGTACCATACAACTGCTACGCCTCAAGATAATGTAACTAAAGTTAGCTCTCAAGACTTGAAATACGATTTTTATCAGGCCAAACAGCCAACTTAGCTCTGCGGGAGCTGCGGCATCGACTGCCGGAGAAGCGCGACATTAGTTAGACGATGATGATGATATGTACCTAATGTAGATTATCAGCGTGACCCCTCGTGATACCCCGTTAACGGGATCGTGTTGAGACAGACAGGCATATACTATGAGGTAGATAGGCTAACTACCTGAATAATCACCTAACTAACTCTGTATGTATCATTCGTGCCTTATGTCAATGGAGTCTTTACGATGCGGGTCTTTGACGATGCGGGACCAATCCCCGCACTATGTCAATATTACGATAGGACCGCAACATCGTCTTGCGGTTTCTGGTCATATGGATGGATCTTGGATCCGAATAAGGCGGAAACGAACTCATCATGCTCAGGGCATCGTTGGAATGCCAAGGTTCCGGTAAGCCCGACCCAGCTCGGCCGTGGTTATCTCGTTACGTCTCGCGAGAAAGGTGTTCCAGCGACGTGTATATATAAGAGCCTCGAGCCGTCACCTCGTTCACCATTCCGGAAGATGTCATCTTCAGCACTCGCCTTCGCCACGACATACAACATAATCTAGAACCAACAGTAACATCTAACATAGATCTAATAATCTATAATCATTAATCTTCAATCAACAATGTACGCCCTCACCACCATCGTCTCCGTCCTGGCTCTTGCCGCGAACCAGGTCCTCGCCATGCCAGCCGTCAAGTTTCTCCGCTACACTTCCGAATGTACGTGTTTACACTAGCCCCCCCATCTCGCTCTTTGTGGCTTTAACTCGGAGCAGCTAACATATCTCTCCCTTCCAGGCGCTTCGACTTACACCGTGCTGTCGGGTGACACATGCAACGCCATCATTAGCAAATTCAACAACAGCTTTACTCTAGACCAATTGTAAGCCCACCCCTCCCCCATTCCCCTCACCCCCCTCTTTCCCACGAACCCCCTCAAAACATACATACCCAACATAAGCTAACCCCTTCCCCTTCCCCAGCTACTCCTGGAACCCCGAAGTAGCCAAGGACTGCTCGAACCTGTGGCCCGGCGAGCAGGTGTGCGTGGCGATCCAGAAGGAGCCCAGCCAGCCGGGCTGCCCGGCGCCGACGGCCACGGGCATCTCCGCCAGCTGCAACGCCTGCTACCACGTCGTCGAGGGCGACAACTGCTGGGCCATCACCCAGTCCAAGCACATCTCCCTCGACGACTTCCGCAAGTGGAACCCGTCCATCGACGCCGCCTGCTCCAACCTCCAGCTCGGGTATAACTACTGCGTCGGCGTGAAGGCTTAAAAAGGAAAGGGGGAAAGGGGGAAAGAAAAGGAAAAGGAAAAAAAAAAAAAAGGAATTGCCTACCAGGTACCTAGGGAAGGAGGTATAGCCGGGGAGAGGAAAGCAGAGCGGAATGAGAGTGATGCTTGTGACGAGGTTCACGTTGCAAGTTGGAAGGTGGAGGATCATGAATGAGGAAACGATCGAATGAATGAATGAATGAATGGCTTTTTATAACGACTTTTTACGAATACCAGTTTAGTTGAACTATCCTTAATTTCAAATTCCTACTTCGTATTCAACATGAGAAAAAACTTCATCCGTCGATTTCTCACGAAGCTCACGTTAGAAAGGAGAAACAAAGTGAAATAGGCATGAGTTTCGCTTATTCGGTACCTGTTAGTGTTATCATCTAAGGTCCTGTAGCTAATCATCCTTAGTTCAGCTGCGAATCAAAATGCTACCTAACCCTACCTAGGAGGTAGGTAAGCTATCTGTAGAGACTGTGATGTCATGTTAGAACATGAAGCAGAAGTTCCGAACTCATTCGCAAATCCAGTTAAATAAACAGGGACCGTGACCGGCGCTATAACCGCGAATCCTAGGTCTGAAGTATAACCATCTCGTAACTCACAAGACTTGTTGCTACTGGAGGTCAAGCAAGGCCAGGCCAGGCCAGGCCAAAGAAAGTAAGGACTCTGGGGTCAGACAGAATACGACGCCCAAAGCTCATCCCCAAGTATATCTACCCCTCCTTCAAACCCTAGCCCAGCGCAGACTGACGGCAACAACGACGACAGGCAGCACGCTGACCAGCTCGCCGAGTCCAGCGAACTCGGGCGGGATACGCGCATTCTCTCCAGCGTTGACGAATGCCCCGGTCGCGAGCAGGATTGCGAACAGATTGTACACGAAGCTCCAGCCGAAGTTGAAGGCGACGCGGCGCACGGCGGCCCGCGACACGTCTATCATGGTGAGCACGCCGCCGAGCGAAGGCCGCATCAACACGACGTCGGCTGCCGACTGTGCCACGTCCGTGCCTGAGTTGACGTGCACGCCGATGGTAGCCTGGGCTAAGGCCACGGCGTCGTTTGTTCCGTCTCCTACGAAAATGACTACAGGCTGCTCCTTACCGTTCGACCCTGTCTGGTTTCCGATGAGTTCTTGGATGTACGCTCGCTTGTCCGCAGGAGAACATCGGGATAAAGCGTTCTCCGCAGGAATTCCCAGCGAAGAAGCCACGGCCTGAACAGCGCCATCGTCGTCGCCGCTCAGCATTGACACGATTATGTTCCTCCTCTTCAACTCTGCGACAGTCAATTTTGCATCTTGTCGGACAGTGTCAGCCAGCCCAAAAACGACCACGAGGTCGGATCCGATTGTCACGCAGAAGGCGGTATGGCCTTCTGATAGAACAGCTTGCACGCGAGGGTCAGATCCAACACTAAGCCAGCGAGAGTTACCAGCCTTGATGGAAAGCCCGTCGGTATAGCCTTGTACTCCTTTACCAGGGAGGGACTTAACCTCATTAGCCTTGGCGGCAATGACCCCTTGAGCTTTCAGGTGAGCCGTGACAGCGGATGAGACTGGGTGATTAACGTCTGCCAATAGGCCCAAGATCTTTGAAGAAACATCTTGCTTCGCTTCCGAGAGATACTCCTCACTTATAACAGAGAGTTTACCCTCCGTCAGGGTCCCAGTTTTGTCAAACACGACATGTGAAGCCTTGTGGGCGATTTCTATAGCCTCGCTCTCTTTGAAAACCAAACCTCTCTCTGCGGCAACACCACATGCTATCACGATAACCATAGGGACGGCTAGGCCTATAGCACATGGGCACGAGACTATGAGTACTGTGATGCCGTATGTTATTGCCTGTGTTACGGCCTCGCTCCCCGACTTCCCTTGAGTGCGAACTCCCACGGCAACCCAAGCGATAAACGTGATCAAAGTCAAGGAGATAACGACGGGGACAAAGTAAGATGCGATCCGGTCTGCAAGGTCTTGAATCTTGGGTTTTGATAGTTTAGCATCGTCGACCATTGCCGCAATGGTGCTAATTGTATTTTGCCCTGGTAGCTTCGTAAGGCGTACTGTAACGGTGCCGGGGCCATTTAGTGACCCGGCAAGGAGAGTTGACCCCGGCTTCTTCTCGATAGGGCGCGATTCACCTGTCAACATCGACTCGTCTACTTCTGTTGTACCAGAGACGATAATACCGTCTGTAGGAATCTGCGTATGAGGAGCGACCTTGAATTCATCGCCATATTGGAGTAGTCTGGTGTCTATACCAATTTCGGTACCGTCATCTGAAATTAGGACTGCGGTGGAAGCTTGTAGGGACCGGATAGAGATGGACTCGACGGCTTTCTGGCGAGCAAGAGCGCTAACCCACCGCCCAACCATGATCAGGGTGACCAACAAGGTGCTCGTTTCAAAGAAGTTACCCGTTGATAGCGGCTGGCCGGCAACGAGATAACCAAATGAAACGACCGAAAAGGTGTACGCTGCCGTGGTACTCAAGACGATCAACAGATCCATTTCGACTACCCTGGAGAAGACTAGACTTTTCAAAGCTTTCGGGTAGAATGGTCCCGCAATGAAGATCTGGACAATGGTCGCCAGAGCTAGGGAAACACCACCATATACAATCGGACGCTCTTCCACCGGAGCCCATGCTAATACTAACACGGGTATGGTGAGGAGTACTGAAGCCAGTGTCATCCAGCCCATATGTCGAACATGCTTGCTCCCTGCAGCGATCGCGGGATCGGCCTGCGGAGGTGCAAGAGTAACGGGGCTCTGGAATCCGTGATTGATGAGGTCGCGGGCGCCAATGACCTCTGGCTCGAATGTAATGCGAACGGTCTTTTCATCCAGGATATCTACGTTTTCTACTCCTAGGGGCGTGGGCTGCTGAATAAACTGTTTAGCTCCTCCGACGGGAATAATGTCCAGCGTCGAGCCATGGGTTGCCATTCTCTCGCATTTGAATTCAGTCGTTCTCTCAATATGCTTGACAATATCGTCTGGGGTGGCCAAACTGGAGTCTAGTTGAAATTCAACCCTGGCCATAACAAGGCTTGTCTTAAGATTCTTCACAGCATCGACTCTACCCAATGTCTGCTGTAGTTTAGTTTCGCAACCTGTGCATGTCATTCCAGTTATACTGAGGACGATACGCTCAGAACCAGAAAGGCCTTTCTCAACATCAGCGACCTGAACATCTTGGCTCCCAGTTATTTTCGAAGAACTTTCGATCACGGTGCCGCTACTCTGTTGGCAACAACTTCCTTCAGAGCTTGCATTCCCGGAGCAACAGCTCGATACTTTAGCAGGTTTAATTGCGGAAGGATTCTTTGCTCCCCTACAACAACCCTTGTTACAGGACGTGCCACCTTGGGTTTTGGAAGTCGAAGATTTACGTTCCGGGGACTTCGCGCAACAATCTACTGCGACCTTTGGTGTGCAAGTTGGCGCTTGTTTCTCCTGGGATTTAGGAGATTTAGGACGGGTGGTTCTCTTAGGCCCCCGCTTCCTTTCCTCCGAAGAAATATCACGAGCCGTACAGCACGACTCCTGACCCAAGGCAATGAGCGCCCTGCACAGGCATCCAATAGCTGCAAGTCTGATCTCATATTTTTCGCGAATCGACTTCTCCTTAGAAGATGAGATACGGCTAGAGCTTGAATTTGCATCATCACCTAAAAGTCGAGTTAGAATAATTATCTAAACCTAGGTGCGTACTTAATTTGGGCAGCGAGCTAGGTAGCTGATACTGACCTTGTCCCCTTTGGATGGCAGTCTCTCGAAGTACGAGCCGATCGATACACGTTGCTAAGTAGCATCAGCTTTTTTGCCGTGCTCTCGCATAGGCCGATATAGTGCTCAAAAGGACTTACTATCACAACACGGCTTCGGTTTACCCTCGCAGCAAGTGGCCTCATTAGTTTCAGGCTTTCTAGTCGAGCAGCAAGCGTCTTTGCAGGTATCCTGTGGAATATCATCTGATGGCCCATCAAACTTCCCATCAATATCTCCCTCGGCATCGCAGCAGGAATCCTGGCAGCATTCATCGGCTGCTTCTACGAGTTTGCAGCAATTGTCCTCGATGCCTTTATCGGCTTTAGAGCCGCAACAGCCTGTTGAACCCTTGGGTACTGCTGCATTTTCGTCTTTGTCTCCACAGCAGCTATCGACCTCCTCATTAGGCCTGCAGCAGGTATCTCGACAATCGTCGACGGAACTTGGCTTCGCTGGCTTGCAACAATCGTCGGGCTCAATAGCGCCGCCGGAAGCTTCACAGGCGATAGAGCAGCAGTCTTTGTTCTCCGGAACCGGTGGGTTGCAAAAGTCATCCACTTCACCAGCCTTTGCACTATTGCCATCACCGCAGCATCCCGAACTACAGCCAGCATCCTCTACCTTTGGGGGAGGAGCAGCAGGAGTGGGAGCAGGAGCGCTACAACAACCAGCGGTGCAGCAGCCTTTCTTTGATTCGGACATTTTACTTGTCTTCCCATTGACAATTCGGATATGGAAAGGGTTAGAAGAAATACTGAGTAGAGGTAAATTGATTGATCTTATATTTATTTGTTGGCGGTGAGACAAGGATGAAACAGGAAAGGAAACTTGTTCTTTAAGAAAAAAAGAAAAACTGCGAACTTCCGATTGTTGCTTCCGTGCTTCGGCACCAGCAGCGAGGGGTAACGGAGCACAGTCGTACCTACCACCGGCAACCTCTCTTCGCCGGAAAGCGGGCAATTTTATGGGTAATTGCTACAGTGGGAGGAGGTATTGCGTCTGTTTGTCTAGTATAGCACCTACCTAGGTACCTAGGTCCTACAGCCTATAGCACGGAGTTAGTTTTAGGGGGTTGCTGCGGGCACTGTCCTCCGAAGTCGGCTGGTTCTAGCTGCAAATTCACCTGGCAGCTGAAGACATCTCATTCATTCGTCTTATTTCATTTGCTTGCAGCTGAACTGCCCAGCTCACTTTCTCAACTCACAAATTCCACAACATGATACAATATAATATGAGACTCAATTCATACAGATGTGATAATTAACATAGGAGTATTAAGATAAGACTCATTTGAATTATGCTTCATAAAGATGAAACTAGATTATATCTCTAGTTACACTCACAACTCATCAGTACTGACAAATCATCAATGAAAGTAAAAGTTTCACTCATTATGAAAGATCAAATTTCGCAGTTGATTTCATCGAAACCCCTCTTACAGCCAATGCTGTTGTTAGGTAGTTAAGCTATGTTACACTAAATTTTGTTATTGCTGACTTTGTAGATATCGTCAGCTTCGACTTTAACAAGCTTCAATAGACAAACGAGATGATATCTACGGACTAATATCGAAACTCTCAAAACTCACCAGAATCAAGTTTATGAACCGTTTCGATTCAATTTTTCAAAACGGTAAGTAAAGTGCATTTTTCACCAAAGTATCTCCAAGTACTCGTCAAGACCGAAGTGTAGCTACTTGAGAAAAGTCGGCGTCGCCGTTTTTCAATAGTGCAATCAATCCTCGATCCTCCAACATCAATAACTCGTAAGAATAGCACCTCTTGCAAACGTGATCATGAGGTTGCTTCGTCCATTATTTTATTATTATTATTGTTATTTTTTTCTCTCGTGATCTTACAAGATGGGGATTGCTAGCAACCCTTCCTCCACTCCCTACCTGCCTAATACACTCACTTCATATTGAGGTATTCTTACAAGACTCGCGATGACAATGACACCCAAAGTTAGCAAATATTGAAAAGTGTTGGCGGTTAGCTATGTTGAACAATAAGAAAAAAAAAAGAGTAGTTTGATGTGGGTTGCACAATACAAACCCCGATGTGACACTGTAAGATACAGATAGGTATCTTACCAACCTAAGGTAACTCATTGGCGCCGACCCCTCGCATACGCATGCAAGGCTACCGGCACGTCCAACCCGCCGCATTAGACGGGAAGCCGAACCAGAAACCTAACGCCGACGGGATCGCCCTACAGATAGCGGTCCACCCGTAGCACACCACACAGCTTTGGCTGGGTAAGGTAGGTAGGTACAATAGCTGCATCATCCAGGGTAACCGTGGGGGGGCGGATGGTGGTCTGCAAGCTAGTAGCAGTAAGAGTTGTAGTTGTTGGCGAGCAAATATCCCCATCGTCCCAAAACGGTTCGCTGTGTCTTTCAACATATGTAATATGCAGTGTGATTCCAGGTCGTGTGCGTGCATGTGCGCGCGCAAAGCGCTTGATAGACGGGCGAACGGGCGGGGACGATCTGATCGTATGCGATGTGATGTGTACCTAGGTAGGTAATAGGTCATGTCATGTCATGGTATGATATGGTATGGTATGTCATGTAATGTCATGGCCATTACCAGAGTTGCCTTTCGACCGAACCCTACCTCGCCTCACCTTACCTCACCCGAGGTGAATGGTGTCTGTCATTCAGGAGCATGTGCTTGTATGTGTGCGTGTGCGTGAGGGAAGGGGATGAGAAGAGCAAAGACCGAGTCTCGAAATGAGGAAAATTGAAATAAAAAAAATTGAAGCTATCGTAATATTATCGTCTCATATCATATAAATCATCATCGCCGTCGCGATAGATCTCTCGTCATCACTCATCTCGGGGTTCGTGTTACACCGCACAGTGATCCTCCCAAAAACGGGAACGTACGGTTCCCTAAAAAGGATTTACTTACTATGCACCTAGTTGGTCTAGTGTACAAAAAAAAAAAAAAAAAAAAAGAATTGGGTTTGGACATGGGAGCAGGCATGGGCTTTAGGCGGCTAGGGTTTCGCTGGAAATGGTCACCCGGCAGTTGGATGCGAGACAAGCTGGAGAAAAAGAAAAGGGTTACATACGTTGGGCGGGCTAAAAGGGGTCATGATCGGCAATATAGGATTCGGGTCTGATGTAAGTTCGGTATTTCGCAATAGCGATTCGGGTTAGGCGCCGGTACGCTCGTCTGGCTCATATAGGCGGCATATAGCCAGCGGGAGGCATAATAGGTATAGTTACCATTGTGGCGGGACCAATGAGGTACTATCCTCGTCTGACTATTTTTAATTCGGTGGTGATAACATGCAAGCCTAAGTCAAGGTCTCTTGTCAGCACTTTACTACCCGTCAATGAATCAGCCACATTTTTTAAGTGCCAGAGTTTAGGATGTAATAGTGTATTATGCAGAGATGGAATTGGCTCCCCTGGTTGGATGAAAACTGGAAGAAAAAGCATGTCGTGATCGAGAGCGACAGCAAGGTTTACGACAGGAGAAAGCATCCAGGAGGATTCGAATCACCTTTTCAAGCTTGTATTTTCTGCTCGTTTGTATGTAGGTAAATATATTGTAAATAACCTGCTATGCTCTGTGCTTTCCCATCGCCCCTTTTGATAAGTACTCAAAATAAGCAGTAGACCCTCAAACACTGATCTCTTATATCCCCCATATATACCTGTATATATAGAAACAATAAGTAGTATCTAGACAACAGCCCTCCCCATTATACGCCAGCCTGCAACGGTATTTGACATCATCGTCTGCTCCAGGTAAAATCATTGCTCCTCGAGACGCCCGTAAAATTAAAAGATCCTAATAGGGTATTGTTTACCTGCGCATTAATCGAGGTCCCATCTTGGGGGTGTCAATCAAGCGAAAGACGAACAGTAAATCCGGACCGTCTCTCCTTCTCCCCTCCGGTCTGTTCCCCTTTCCGCCCCGGGGTATCAGTTATATTGCCAAATCCAAGCCCAACGCATTAGCCGTGGTCATTACATTAAAAAAAAGAAACTATTTGGAGTACACCGCTTGGAGCAGGTTCTGCACGAAGAACCTGGTTGCCTATAAGGATAAATGCAAATGCTAATAATTTGACAAGTAGACGAGTGACGTAGAACGTTGGTGGTACACAGGACCTTAGTCGTACAAGGCTGGTCACTGAAGTTCGGTTCGGTGTAATAAAGCTCCAAGATGCTTGGGAACTTCACTAGGTTAAATGATGATGAGTAATGCCGATATATTCCAGTACGGTTGAAACGGTATGGGCATAATTTCACTTCTCGTGATGGCTAGTGTAGTCTTGAGGGGTCATATTCTGTGTGAATTGGATTAACCTCGACCTCGACTGGTTGGGAGAAGGCTTTGAATTGACGGACTCATTGGAGTCCCAGTCAAATTGCGTGTTCCCCGTTGCATGCTGTGCGTACGTATTCTGCTCTTGAATAGAACCCATCATATTCTGATACAAAGGGGTTGTGGGGAGACCGTCATGTAGCTCAGCATAGCAAGGAACATTCTGCATGCTGAGGTCAGGGAACTCGGTCTCAAACGGTGTGAAAATCGGCTGGTCGGCAGGGTAATTCATTCCGTGGTGGAAAACGTTGTTGTGGTAATTCTGGCTGCCAAACTGAGCTAATAAGCCTGGGGTGTCTGGCGGAGTCTTGAGGTTAGACTCGCTGACACCAAGATTATTACCTAGTGCGTACTGGTACTCGGGGCGTCGGACTTCCCGGAGATCTTGTTTGTCAACAACAGCAGGGGTCATTGGGGTTGGAGGGGCGGCCCCAGGAAACATCGAAGAGACCGGTATCACCGGAGAACGATTTTGGAATTGCATTATTAATGCCTCGGCATTCCGGTTTAGGAACATGGGTGAACGTGAGCCTGAGCTAGGCTTCTGGATCCTCCCATGGTTGCTGGTGCCTGAAGCGATCCGTCGTATTGCCGAGCCGGGGCTTGAGGGATCCAATGGCATTTTGGGTGCATAGCCAAGATTGTAAGAGCGGCTCCTCAGCGAAGATGTTTGAAGTGTTGCTGGCCGCGGGATGTTTCGGCGGGAGGCAATATTAGCAGGAGGCGGGGGTGACTTGAAAGAGTCGGTGGGAGTTGGCATTCCTTGAGGCATCATCGGTGTAGCCAGCCTCTCGCTCATAGGAGTGTTTTCATCATAATCCTGTAACGATTCCATGGCGTTCCCGACTAGTCCGGGTGTAGTGAAAGTTGATTGAGACTGCGCAAAGGGTGTTACAGTTGGGGTTGACAAGTCTGCTTCAACCATAGTATGGTACTGTTGGCTGGACTGTTCCGCACCAGTACCCTGCTCGTTAGGCGACGGCAGGCTATTGATCATGCTTGTCATTTGCTCACTTTGGCCGGAATAATCGACACTGCAAGGAGTGAAGTCCGTCATGGGGGAGGAATGATGGTAACTTTGATGGGACTGAGTTTGAGTGAATTCGGTCACATCGGAATGCGAAAAGTCGAACGGCAGCGGGGACTGGAAGTTGCTAGGTGTATTGCCTTGAAGGCTGCCAGATGGATCTTGTCCAGAAGGCGAATCAATGTTAGTGTCGGGGGAGTCATCTTCAGTGTCGTCATCATCGGAGTCCTCGGTTTCCTGAGGAATCGAGTTGATATCTGGGAAAATCGCGGAAGAAGGTTGCACGCGCTGTCGGGCATTCTCGCCCATTTGGTCTGATGAGCTGCCTTGCGGGCTTGCATCGGGCGAATCTGGCTCAGAGCTAGCCTTCTCCTTCGCTCTTTGCTCCTCATATTCTTGCTGCTTCTTCTCCTGCTTTGCCTTGGCACGCCTATTTTGAAACCAATTCTAGCAATATCAGTCAGTAATATGAACTAGCAGATGCAACGGTATTTTAAATACATTAATTCTTGGTCGTTCTAGACCGAGTGAGTCGGCCAGTTGAGCCTTGACCGAGCTTGAAGGCTTCGAGTTTTCTCTGAAGACCTTCTCAAGCTTCTCAACTTCTTCCTTAGATAACCGCGGCTTTGATTCCGCTTTGGGGTCAGCCAGTACACCTCGATCGGCGATGAGATGGCTCCGAGGCGGTTGATAGCCGTAGATATACTGAAATCCAGGGAAGCCAGTATTATGGTATGGGCTCTCGTTATACTGCATGGTGTTTCCCTGCGGGAAGCTATAAGCCGGATGAAAATCCGGATGAGCGTGGTAATGCATTTTATATCTCTCTTGAGTAGTCGCCGGATAGGCCAGAATGGGTTAATGATTAAATGTGTGAAAATTATCGAAACTGTAAAAGAAAGTAGCTCGGATCTGCTGATTATGAAAAAATAGAAGTCGAAGTATTAGGCGTAAGATCGATGTCCCTTGCAAGGGGGGTTTAAGGACAGAGATATATATATATTATGAGACTTTGCCGAAAGCTAAATTTTCTGTTCTTTCTATAAGGAATGACTGTGGGTTAGATATCTGGACTAAACGGCCCAAAAAGATTGTTGGTGAACGAACGTGGTGGTGGTAAACTAATCCCAAACACAACAACAGATATACAGCTAGGACGACGGGGTTGAGGCGGTATAAGAGCAAGCAAAAGGCCAGACGGTAGAGGACGGTAACCAAGCCAAGTGAGACAGAGCTCGCCTTGAACCCCCGAGTTCTCGAGACTAGAGACAAGCTGGGTCGAGATGGAACAAAAAACAACAACACAGGAGAGCTGGAGAGCGGGAAGGGAGAGAGGGGGGTGGGCGTGTAGTGAAGTAGTTGTAGTAGCAGGCTGTGGGTCTTCCTGGACTTTGCACGACCAGCGAACCGGGAGGTGTGTAGGTACTTCCGCGGTACTACCACGAAATTGGGTGGAGGTGAGCGAGGATTCGACGAGAGGCGGGTGACACTGGTCGGCGACAGGGTACCTGGATGTACATCTGGAACCTCCCTGGTACCTACTTACACCCACTTTAACTCGAATTGTTGTTTATTCATCAGATCTGGTGTTTAGTGCCTACCCGTACCGCAGACACGGAGCCTTTTCTCGTGAACAGGGTTAGAGCTGCTCAAGCACTGACTTGTCCGGCGGGCCTAGGCTGGCTGGCTGGCTGGCTGGTGTCATTGGGGCCAAACCGACCCAAGCCAATGCCACCACCAGCTCATAAGTTTTAAGCGTCTCTCTCTCTCGCGCGACCGTCAGACCCCCCCGAGGGTATGCTTTTAAGGACGCGCCAGAGGAAAGCCAAAATGGTTGAAGGGCCGGGTAGGAGAGAGAGAGGGGGGGGGCCACAGCTGCACATACATACAAGGTACCTACCTACATACATCAGGTACATACATACGTACCTGGTTAGTTGGCTCACTGCAGGTGCTGCGCGCCACTGGAGCCAATGGGGAAAGTAGTCGGTACGAATTACATTCGACCGCACGTACGGATTGCATAGGAGACACGCGGGTTGATGATGGCGGGCGATGATGACGGTTCCCTCACCGATCTTGTTCCTAGCTATGCGATCCCTACCTAGGAGAAAGTGAGGGTTAAGCAATGGGTGGTGGGAGGGAGAACCGGCGAAGATTTGTTATCAGATGTCCACAATACAAATGTGTCGCGCGCAGTTTGGGTATGAATGCAATGTACTAATACCCATTGGAGTATTTGAGATCCCAACCACGCTACCTAAGACGAGCCCAAGCAAGCTAGCCCCCTGTCTTGGCTTCCCTACCTTTGCATAGGCCCAGGGATACCCGTGGAATACCCGTTAGGTAGATACCTATACCTATCATGAACGGAGGTGTGTGAGATGTAAGATGCCCTGAACAAGGAGATTCAATCATTCGGGCCTTAGTTGAGAAATGCGGGGAGAAGGGAGGCGGATGGGAAACTAAAGCAGGTACCAAGTTTTAAAGAGAGACTCTATGCCCTCTTCAGATCAAGGGTGAAGCATAAAACCGAATAGCTGTAGGTACCTTATTACCTTAGGACCTATATGTAGGTACCTAAGGTAAGATAAGGAGTGCTAGAAAAGAAAGGGATGGCTGAACTGTTTTAGAATTGTTTTAGCAACTTTTAGTTGGGTAAAATCTTAAAAGGGGCAAAAGAAGGCTGCTCGTTGGTTAATGGCTGGCTATGGCTGGCTAGGTCGGTAGGTGTATGGCTTAGGTACCTAGGTAGGTAGGAGGTACATATGGCTTAGGGCCGCTAGGTAGGCTAGTCTAAGGCTAGAAGCTAAAGGTTACGCTAAAACAATTCGACCTCTTTTTGTCTGCTTGTCTCGTTTCTCGTTTTTTTCTTTTCTTTTTAAAACATATTTAGCGGGATAATCACAGTGCGATTTAATATTGTAAAGCTGTCGGAGCCTTGGCATCCCCGTCCAACACAGCCCTGTCCGGGGCCTGTATAAGTGTAATTAGTGTAATTGGCGTAATTATCACGTTGTCATGTGAGCTCCATTTTGTCTTTCGTTGGCGCCGTTGCTAATATTATGGTGATGACAACGGTAGAAGATGACGATGTTTATGTTTAGTTAGGTACCCATAACAGGTATCTTTAATTGAATCTTATCAAAACCACTCTGTCTCTACGTCATCTTAAGATATTACCTCTCTGAGAAATACATGGTAGATTTATTCCCGGATGCACAAACCACCATTGCGGACTTGTCAGATAATTACTTACCTAGGTACCCAGGTAAGGTAGGTACCTGTCTAGCAAGTACCTAACCTACCTCCTACCTATGGTAGGTACGTAATAGAATAATTGCTTTATAAGTCTCTCTTATTTTATTATTATTTTTTTTTCATGTCGTAAGTGGTTTTTCTGTGGCCACAACATAGGTATTTTATTCATGCTTCACGCCGCGGCAATAATGGTGAAGAAACGTCAAGTAAAGACCCGGCATCCAATAGCAGTGCTACCTTAAGAGCAAAGAGAACAGTCTCGACTGGCTGAAATGTCTAAGACCTTGGCGAATTGCCAATTTACGTAGGGTGAACAGAGTCCATAATTTTGTTACCATTTAAGATAATCCCAAGTTCTTCATCCTCGTAGGCAATAGTAATAAGCATAATACTATAGCACCGTATTCGTAGTTTAATAATGACTGTGCTTTCCCATGTTAACACAACGCTGAGATAAGTTAAGTAAATAAAACGTACATAAAACGTAAATATAAATTCTCAGTTACCAACTCATATTATCTAATCTAATCTAATATAACTATAGTTACTACGTTATGTACGTTTTTGATGGTAGTCACATCTTACATAGTGTATAATTGCGTTGTCCTTTCTTTGTTTTCCTCCTCCTTCTCAGCAGTTCCTGGATGTGCTCACTTTACTGTGGGGACCTACCCGGATTCGCTCATATCCCCTGAGACCTTGATAGGAGCTCTAGCTAAAAAGGAAATCTCTTAAGTCAAGTCTCGAATAGGACCTTTCCTAAAAGGAACACCATATCCACCCGCCCGAAGGTTGCAGTTTGGCGGTACCCACAGGATGAGCATCCATGATCACTGATGAGCAGCATGGTATCCCCGGATCTAGGTACCAAGGTACTTCCATTGACATTGACAGGCGGCGGTCACCACCTTTTTGAATTTGATGTTAATTTTTTTTTTCTCCCTTTCGCTTACTCTAATTGATCTGCACTCTTGCACTTATTCAAATGGACCCCCAATCTACCAGAATTGCCGTCAGCCTTGACAGACCTCGGGGCTTATTACTTCATCTACCGAGCTTGACGCCAACTTATTCAGATAATGGATGAACCCTTTTTTTCTCTACACAGGACACATTTTAGTATCGCATCCTACGTTGTCTTCAATGCTTCATAGAGAGCACTTGAAATAAAAGAGATAAGGCGTTAATCGTTGCCTTTTAACTAATTCCGTGCCTTAAGATCCAAGCGGCTAGTACCTAACACGACATTAGTGATAAATTCTGTCTCTCTTTTTTAAGTTAGATGGTAAACATCAAGCGCTTGCCACCGACTTCGTTCCAAAGTAACGACTTCGGGAGTCTTTCGCTGCTAATAACTCCACCTCTTTCCTGCTAACCAAGCTTTCCGGCCGCATTCGGCCTCGCAATTTCGAATGGCCATTAGCCGGGCCTCTCTACTGCACCTCTATCATGCACGTTTTAGCATCGGTGCAAATGTCATCGTGTCGGTGTCCGCGTTCCCGCACAACGAAAAAGAAAGGAGGCCAGTGTTTGACAAGTACCTGACTAAATATCGTAGGCAACCCATGATAGGGCGCCCGATCCCACCATAATGCAGAGTGATTCAAACTGGCAGACAGCAAATTTCGCTCACATGAGGTCTCTTCGGTTTCGAGCTTACCGGTGATGTTTTTCAGATGCATCGTAGCTTGGCTATTCCCGCTTCGTGATTAGACCTTCGCACCTCGTAGGTCAGAGTTACATCACTTGGAGCTAGGCTCGACTATTTCTAGAGAGTCCACGATTACTAGACGTGCCTACCCGTTTTCTGCGATGTATGAGCAAAAGCCGAAGCCTGATAATATAAGATGATTGGCTCTCGATCAACAGATTGACCCTCAGATCCTCATAAAGGCTTTCAGCATTATGGATCTAACGCAGCTCACACAGTATGGACGTATATTCATCCCTATACAAATTCGAGGCCCAGCAGCTCGGTACCGATGGCAGATGGCATTTTATGGCGTGATAAGCGGGATGGAAATAACCTACGGTTCACTTTAGAGCTAATCTACTGATTTTTTTTCTCCGTCCTCCTGTCCTAGGCATCTTTGATTCTTATCTCGGTGCCCAGCTAACTATGCTCGACTAAAAAAAGCACTGCCGGATCAACTAGGGCTATATACATGCGTGTACCTTTTGGGGGGTTACTACCTAGGTAGGGAACAAGAAAACATATGAGATTGTGCCTGGGCCCCCTAGGTAGGTAGTAGTTTACTTGAAAAGAACAAAAGAAAAAAAAAAGAAGGAAAAGAAAGATACCGATGCTTCGTCTTTTGCCTTTTGCCTTTTGCCTTTCTGGGGGGTTAAATGCCAAGATTCTTAATATCATTGGGTTGTGTGTAGTAGTGGTTGCTAAAATCAACAATGATGTCGCAATAACATTCTCCTTACTACGTCAAGTCACACACACCCTCGATTTTCTTAAGATGTGCAATATAGGTCGGCCGGCTGGCTGGTACCACAGGGGATAGGAGGGGGAGTGGGGATTTGCATGTGTGCTGGGAATTTGGGGTCTAACTTTTACCGGGGTTGCTTTAGTTCCCATATAAGCGAACATTTTGCCAAGCTGAGCCAGAAAGCTGGGACAGCAAAATACCATATGTACCTATTCTACATGGAGGTACCTCCTACCTTAGGTACATTGTAAGCTTCTCCAAAAGGGTGCAGAAGCGTCGCTGCACCAAACAACCAGTTAGGTTGTTCCTACTGCACCACCTACCTCTACATAGTATGTACTGCACTCTAC